TTATTTTTATAACTTTTATTTTATCTACTTATTTTTCAACATGTGTTTTTTTATAAATAATTTTCAACAATGAGAATGATGTCTCACATCTTCTATGCGTACTTTTTGTTTTCAAATTTTTCATATGACTCATTTTTTTTCAAAATAAGTGATTTCTCCTCACAAGTTCTATAGATTAGGGTGTAAAAATCTCTATTAAACTCAAATGATCAATCAAATTTTCACATCAAATAAATATTATCCATCAAGATGATGAAGTAAAAATCTGTAAAATTAAATTCATGTTATCTTTCATGTATTCAAGGAGTATTATAGCATTTCATACTATTAAATCATTCTTTTAACTCAATAATAATCTTTCTAGTATCTTTTGGTATCAATCAATCTAATTGATTTAATTTTTGTGCATATAATATGATATAAGAAATTTGTAAATTAGATAATTTTGATAGTTCTGCTTTTTGTTTTCAATTTTGTTTTCAACAACAATGAATTTGTTAATTTTTTTGCTGGTCTACCCTGGTGAAAGTGGACCAGGCCCATGAGTCCTCCAGGTCTTCGAAGAAGTATATTTCTAAATTTGAGCCCTTTTAGGTCTTCGTAGTATACTGCCAGTTGAAAACGTGTAATTATATTTTATTCGTATGCACCTCTCTAACCATATGAAGAAGACAAAACCAGGTGTAATATTTCACGGACTGATTAGCTCTAGCTCCTCGCAAAAAATCAGAATTATGAATAAGCCCCCATCCTTTTTCTGAACATTCTTATAAATCGGACAAGTTTTCTCACATAGTCCTCCACATTGATGTTAATTTTTATACGCTATGATCTGTGGGGCCCTCGAATCCCCGGCCTCTACAGTCGGAATTAAAAGTCAATTCTAGTAATCGGGACGTATTTATGAAGTAGCGGGAACGTCTTAGTCGGAAGCCCAGAGGAAGATGAGCTAGGATGGATGGAGGAAAGATCGAGACCTCGGACCCTTTTATCAACGCTGCCATTAATGGCACAGTGCCATCGGATCGGATCGTTGACCTCAGATTGAGGATCTGAGCCATCGGTGTTGCGTGCTCCAGCGATGCATGAGCATTATATGTTGCTGCCGGACCCCGGCAGCCGTTTAAATCGGAGGTGCGTCGACGGGTCAGGCCTCGATCAGGGCCGGGCCCGATCCCCATCCAAGCCCCAAGGCTTGGTTCCCTCTCAACACCCCCGGAGAAAAACCCTATATGAAGCTCGAAACCAAACAAGCCCGAGCTCTCTCTCCACTCTTGGGAGGGGGGGTCAACAGGTAGGACTAGATGGAATATTTATATTTTTCTCTGATTATAATAAGATGCATTACAAGAAAAGAGAAATTAGTGCATGAAGAAGAGAGAAAGTAAAGTCGGCGGCGCCAATCTACATCAGGATTCGTTCTGAGCCTGCCAGCACAAAGCCCGACACCGGGATTCGGGCTTTTCCCAGATTTCACCGAAGTGGAATCCAGCTCCTCGGAGGATCTGCTAACTCCGTTGACAAAACAACTTAAAGGAATTGTAATCTATCGATAAATATAAATATTTAATTATATGGAATGCGCGGATAGCTAGCGCCCATGTCGGACTATGGTTGACCAGTGGGGTCAGCTTCGAATTTTCTCTGATACGTTTCCACGCTGCGGTGGCCAAGCGGCCCACCAGCCAATTCAGAGCTTTTCTCTCTATTCGGCATGCCGATCTCCTCCGTCACACGACGTCTTTCTATTTCCTCTCTCTCTTTCTATCTCTCTCGCTAACATTCCAACACCTCTCTTTGTGAAATGAGTCCCTAGTTTATTAAGGGCTCTGAGCTGCTAGCAGCAGAGGCAGACAAAAGCCCTAGCCATCCTCCGCACAAGGCTGCTAGTGCTCGTCAGCGTTAACATCCCCTGCACCCTCCTCTACTACGCCGCCGGCATCTCGGACTTCCTGCCACTGTCCAGTAGGAACTCCCCAACTCTACTGGCGCAGGCCTTCTCCTCGCAAGGTCCGTTGGTCGATGATTCATCGGGTTCGGTGCCCTCTGTCTCTCTCTCTCTCTCTCCCCGGCACTCTTACGTTAACTGACCTTCACGTGTTCGTCCATGGCCCCCCGGTTCCGTTTATTTTCCTTCTTTTTCCAGTGGCTTCGTCTTGAGATGGATGCGGAAAAAACGTGTAGCTTCAGAATCAGTGAGTTGTACCCTCAAAAACGTGTAACTTCATCCCCCCCGCGGCATCACTTTTTTGGCCGACGGTTCCTAATCAGTGATTGAGCAGCTTCCTCTTGTTTTTCTCCCGTTAGTTGGAAGTGTTTTTTTTCCTCCACAATGCGAAATTTTAGTTAGATTTTACGAGACCCCCGAAGCATCTAATTTTGTCTCTTTTTTTTTGCAGATAATTGGAAGCAGGCCTAGGGAGCGTCTCCGTTCTATTCTTTTTTTTTTTTTTGGTATTTCACACAAAAACGAAGTCAGATAAAACCTTACCATATAGAAATAATTAGTTTTCCTTCTCACAACCATCATTATCCCCGTAAATCTCCTTTATTATTCAGCCGCGAATAGCAATTGTTACGCTGGTCAACATAACACGCTCCTCACTCGTTGCGTCACGCGCGACCTGGTATGCTCGCCCTCGCCCAAATAACCTTATCTCCTCACTAGGGACCTGCGTAAGCTGTTGCTCAAAAGAGATATTCACTCTAACCCCGAGATACACTTGGAGAGGGGAACAACTCGTCCACCACTCTCTCTCTACCTTACATGGCAGCCGCCCATAGAAAATCTTCAAACTACCCCTGATAGGTCAGCATGCCCTCACCTCTGATGTGACACGTAAACATCATGGAGTATGATAAACTATAAGAGAGGTACACGCGTGCAAGAGATATATAAGCAAATCTGGACTCATATATGCAAGAGATATCAGAGTAACACTAATAACAAGAAAGTAATAATCAAGAGGTGGTGTGGACCACCTCTATCCATCTACGGCGTCGTCATTCACAAGAGAGCCCTTAGGATGGTCTTTTTAGACTCAAGAGATTCAACAATCGGCCGAGTGATATAGATGAGAACACCTCACAGTTAATTTAAAATGAGATGAGGGATATAATAAACTTTCTTTATTGGGCTCTATTAATAGGGCCCGTCCACTCATGATGCAAGCGGTTTCTTTAACCGCCTTCATCACTCCTATGGCTGGGTAGGTGACACCCGCCAGTAGGTGGTCAGGGAAACTGCCTGCGTCACCATTTCCCTCGCGTGGTCAGCGGGGTGGTTGACACCTGCCAACATAAACGCCCTATAAAACCACTGGAAATCAGTGGTTAAGTATTTTTGGCAAGATAACTGTTTAATGGCGCGATTAAACACCCGTGCCAATGGCTCCGCCCACGAGCTCGCACCACGCTGCACGCTGCTGCGCGCACGCCACCGTACTGTCCCCTACCCTGCACTGTGGGGCTGCCGTGCAAGCAATGAGTTAATGCTAAATTTCTATAATACTTATTTAGAGTCGTGAATTTAAACAAGTGAGCTATTGTCTTGGTCTTCAGCATGATGGCCCATTTAGAGAGATGAATCTAAGTTTGCGATTTAGGAGTATGAGTACAGCTGAAACGTTGATTTTTATATCTAAATATCAGATAGAGTTAAAGGAACCGAAAGATGCTATTAAAAGAAAAGAAGAGATGGATGCGCTTCATCACTACAGTGCTTGAATCTTTCTCATCTTGTGAAAGAAACTGACTCATCATATTTGAACAAAATTTGAAATTTGAAAATATTAAATTAATCCCCTTCTTGATTCTCATTATGACCTGCTTATGAGCAAGCAAAAGGCTCAATAAATATGAGTTTGAAAATGGATTATTAGTAGGTTGATTTAGTTAAGTTAAAACGTCAATAATTTTAGAGGAATGGTTTTTAGTTTTTGATGGCCCATTAAAGGCACAAGTAGAGAACGTAAGGACTTCTTGATGATTAGAATAGGCTGCGTGCAGGTAAAAATCTCTCAACTATATGGATAGGATACGACATATAACAATATGAGTAAAGTCACCGATATAGATTACCCATTAAATCTCCATCATTTATAAAATGTTCCTTAAAAAAGGCAAAATACATAATATGAAATAACCCAAGACATCATCAACCACGGACCCCCCTGATTTTTTTTCCGGAACTCAACCCCGTAAGGTGCAATCACGTGGCTGATGCAGGCAAATAAATCTGCCACATTTCCCATAATTGGCGCTGACCAAAAACATGTTTTCAATTTTGCAAACACCGAGCGCGGGGACCACAGGCACCTGCCTAAACGCCAAGCGACCCCCCTTGTCTCTGTCACATACTCACTTATGTTATTTAGTCGCTCTCTCCTTCCTCCGTCTTCTATCTCTCTCTCTCCCTCTCTCTCTCACTTCTCTCTATCTGTCTATCTCTAGCATCATCATCATCACTCTTTATAAAACGAGTCCGTCGGAGGCTGCTCCGGGTGCCATCACCGCGAGCCCTGGAAATGAATGAGATGGAGACCGATGGCCACGGCCGGCATCGGGGCACGGTGATGGACTCGGCTATCCGGAGTTGGTGCTTGTGGGGAATGATATTGCTCGCCGCCGTCGCATTCCCCTGCGCCCTCTTCTACACGGCTGGGATCTCCAACTTGCTGTCGCGTTCCGGGAGGAACTTTCCACCTCAAAAGCAAGCCTCTTCCTGGCGAGCTCCGAAGACCGATGATTTTCCTAATTCGGTGCGCTCTCTCTCGCTTAAGCTCTCGCGTTCGACTACTCCCCTCCTGCCTTCCTTCCGCTGTCCGAGCTTTCCTTCACGGGTCGTCCATGGCCCCGACTTCCGTTAGCGTCATCTTCGGATGTGGACGTTTCCGGTTATCTGATCATATAATCATCCCCTCCTCTTTACGACATCACTTTTAAGACCGTAGGAAACGTACTGTGCCGCCGACGGCTCCTGTCTCCTAGGAAAGGCCGGGATGAGCGAGCTGTTGCCCACTAGGTACTTCCTCCTCCAAGGCGACGCTGCCACCTGGGTTTTCATGGCGACCTACTTTCCTTGTGTCTGTCTGCTTGTATCCCGTAATACAGCGCCTACGGTTGATATTCGCTTCCGTTTCTCGTGATGATCGCCTTTTCACTCAACGCCCATTGAATTCTAGCTGGAAGTGTGGTGCGGTGTGTTTTAGCGCATGGAAACCCTCTGTCGAGTTTTTCGTAATGACAGTACGTTTGTGCCGCCGGAGCAGGTTAGCGACGAAATCAAACTGAAGTTTGTGCTGAGAAAAGCAGCCATGGTGGATAACACTGTGATATTGACGACGCTGAATGAGGCGTGGGCGGCTCCTGACTCTGTCCTTGATGTCTTCCTGGAGAGCTTTCGGACAGGAGAGCGCACGGATAGGCTTTTGGAGCACTTGGTCATCGTCAGTCTGGACGCGAAGGCGTACGAGAGATGCAAGTCTACGCATCCCCATTGCTACGCTTTGAAGACTGAAGGAGTGGATTTCTCGCAAGAGAAGAAATTTATGACGGAAGATTACCTGAAGATGATGTGGAGAAGGATAGACTTTTTGAGAGTCGTCCTTGAGATGGGATATGACTTCATCTTCACGGTAAAATTAGCTTTTCTGTTTTAAATGAATTTTGTTTCAAAGAACGTAGAAAGCCTACGATCCTGAACATGCGTATTTTAAATATGTTTTCGAAAAATATTTCGACGGTCACGAGATCCAGGGCCTACTATTCGGATGGAGTATTCATAATCGATTTCAACACAGATTAAAGCTAATCTATCTATAGTTAGCCTCTAATACGTTGCACAAAGAGCATACATAGCGTTGAGGGTTCTCTCTCTCTCTCGCGCTCTCTTTCTCTCTCTCTCTCTCTCTCTCTCTCTCTCTCTCTCTCTCTCTCTCTCTCTCTCTCTCTCTCTCTCTCTCTCTCTCTCTCTCTCTCTCTCTCTACCTCTGTCTCTCAGTCTCTCTCTTTCTGGGTGACATTCGTGAACCTCTGTTTCACCCGGGGGAGCTGACATGTTCGATGGGTGAAACTCTTTTTTCCTAGATTGAGAATATATTTGGCTCATTTCAGTTTCATCGATGCATTTTCATGTTTATCCACCATATTCTTCTCCGGACCTTAAACTGGACGAGTTTTATTTTTAAATCTTTTAAAAACCATAATGAGGGTCTTTCGCACCAGATGAGATCCGGTATTTCGAACAGTTGATCTGGATTAGCTGGAATGTGGACTGACTCGATTCAGATCCCTCCTCCGACAACATGCATTGGCTACTGACAATCACTATAATGTGATCTAGAATGTGGTCAACTTAGTCTTCCCTTGCTTCTTGAAAGTGGTGATGCTAACTGTAGTCTGATGAGAGTTCCATGATGCAGCTTGCCTGTAAACGAGAATGTAACTTTTGCATTTATGTTACAAGTACTTGACTCGGTTTTTCGGTAAAATTAATGTCTCAGCTTGTTATAATGTACTACACTTGCGGTTCGCCTCATCTGTCGTCTTTAACAGCTCAACTATACGAGGGAACTACATCGTTTAAATGACTTGGAATCGAATTATGTAGTGCACAGATGACGCCCTACTGAGTTGTCGGGTTAATCCTTGGATTTAGCTATCAAAATATATGTCTGAATTCTGGCTATTTCTCGAACTGCCGACGCGTATTACTCGAAAACAACGTCTAACTTCCGCTATCTTGTTGCAGGACGCCGATATATTGTGGTTCCGGGACCCTTCGCTGTTCTTCTATCCAGACGGGGATTTCCAAATTGCATGCGACCATTATTACGGTAACCCCGATGATCTAGGAAACAGCCCCAACGGAGGGTTTAACTATGCAAGGTCCAGTAATAGAACGATAGAGTTTTATAAGTTTTGGTACGAATCAAGAGAGAAGTACCCAGGCAAACACGACCAGGATGTGCTTAACTTCATAAAGGGCGGCCAGCGCCTCCGCGACATCGGTCTGGTCATGAAATTTCTACCCACCGTTAACTTTGGCGGGCTATGCGAGCCGAGCAGGGATTTTAACAAGGTCTGCACCATGCACACGAATTGCTGCATCGGTCTTGGAGGCAAGGTGAACGATCTTAAGATCATGCTGGAGGACTGGAGGCTATACAGGGCTTTGCCCCCCAGCGTGAAGGGCCTCGGGGGGCATTCGTGGAGAGCGCCCCAGAAGTGCTGATAACCCATGAATCCTTCCACATTCGGGACGCTTGCTGAATTTTCGTTCTGTACGTTAAATAATATATATATATATATATTATTTGTTTTCTTAGTCTGGAAATGCCGCATTTAGCGCCTGCATATCTATGATCTTGCTGCCACGCAGGTGTTCCATCTACAAGGGTAAGTCATGCTCAGCTTTGCTTTCTTCGAAAATGAATAACTTGGCTATTATTTTTCAAAACCCATGACGACTGTAATAATGTAGTTGTTTTAGATGCATTCGACGAGTTGTAGTAACTATTGTAATCTACCATTTCTCACAGTGATACCTCTAATCTTTGGAATCGCTAGAAGTTACCCACAAACCATGCCAAAAGTCGTCAGTAGCCAAACCAGTTGCTTTACAATTTGTTTAAGACATTTTAAATTCAGAAATATTAAAAAAGAGGGGGAATAGGTTTCTAAATTTGTGTCCTTCTGGATCTCCGAACTAATTCACCGCCCGCTGAAAGCATGCCATTAAATTTTCTTCGTACGCGCCTCTCAAACCATACAGAGAGGACGAAGCCAGATGTAAATATTTCACGGACTAATTGACTCTATCTCCTCATAAAAAACTGGAATTACAAATCTTCCCGTCTTCCCAGGTAGTCCCTCACATTACTGTCCATTTTTTATACGTGGGAAGCTAAGCAACCCCTGGTAGACCGCCGATATATCGGTGGGGCCTACACCCGCTACCGCCCCACCAGTCTCTACGACTCTCGGCATTTATAGTGGGCATTTAAACTAAATTCTACGTGTCGGACTTTCACATTTATGGAGTAGCGGAACGTGAGCCGTCATGGGGCCCACAGGACGTCGACCTGGGACCGACGGAACGGAGTTTTGACCACGACGTCTGACCCTCCTCTCAACGCCCGGTGCCGTGAGATTAGACAGTTGACCGCAAAAGAGGATCTGAGCCGTCGGAGTTGCGCGCTCCCTCGCAGGAGCGTTCTGGGTACCCGTTTGCCTGTGGAATCCGGCAACCGTTTAAATTAGTTGATGGAGAGGTGCGTCGAGGGGTCGGGCCTTAGGCCAGGCCGGGCGTGATCCATATCTCGACCCGGCCCGTTTTATCTCTTAAAGCTTGGCTTCCTCTCAACACCCCGGAGAACAGCCCAAAACTCTATGAGGCCCAGAACTGCAGACGCATACTACTTGAAAAACACATCTAATCTTCGCTCTTTTGTTGCAGGACGCCGACGTGTTGTGATTTCGGGATCCTTCGGTGTTCTTCTATCCAGTCGGCGATTTCCACATTGCATGCGACCATTATTACGGCAACTCCGATGATCTAGGAAACATCCCCCACGGAGGGTTTAACTATGCAAGGTCGAATAATAGAACGATAGAGGTGTACAAATTCTGATACGAATCAGGAGAGAAGTACCCAGGCAGCCACGACCAGGACGTGCTTAACTTCATAAAGGGCGACCAGCGCCTCCGCGACATCGGTCTGGTCATGAAATTTCTAACCCACCGCTAGGTTTGGCGGATTATGCTAACCGAGCAGGGAGTTTAACCAAGATCTGCACCATACACACGCATTGCTGCATCGACCTGACAGGCAAGGTGAACGATCTTAAGGACATGCTGGAGGACTGGATGATGTAGGATGAATATGACTGACGCTGATGGAATGGGTAGGGAACACAACGGGTAAATAACAAGCCACGAAACTCGCACACGATCGGATCTGAACCTTTGAAAACCAACTGTGGTGAGGTGAGAAGACCGTTCCGTTCCTCGATCGAGGGCGGGAGGACTGTCTCAGGTCACCGTGATAAAATAAAGCTCCACGTTTCAAAATCTTAGTCGACCTCCAAACAAGGAAATCGCAGCCCACTCAACTGGTCTCGAGCCCACACGGCTGAATCCGATGGCGATGGAAACACGTTTTGAGGAAAGACGGGATGAAATCAAAACACACGACCACCAGAGAGGGTTGAGAGGGGACCTTCGACGTCTGCACGCTGCAATGTTGACGTCGATGGTAGAGCGGAGGACGAGCCTGTCGCGGAGCCAGGGCGGATCCTGGTCTCGAGTCGCCGTGGCACGTCCGCCAGGCGCGGGACGCACGAGCGCGTTGGCTCTATCACGTAGTCGCTCTCCTTCCCCTCTTCGTGCTCTCTCTCTCTAACATTCCAACAGCCCTCTCTATTCCGTAGGTTTCATTGGGGCTCTGAGAAAATTTCAGAAGCAAACAGAAGTCTTAAGTCATCCTCCGCGCATGGCGAAACCCCCGACCATGCTAGCGCTCGCCGGAGTCAGATTCCCCTGCGTCCTCCTCTACGACACCGCCGGCATCGCCAGCTTCCTCCAGCTGTCCAACAGGAGCTCCCGTGTTGAGTCACTCCCATCCGGGCCTCATGCTTCCCGAGCTTCGCTCCACGCGATCGACCATGGCCCTTGATTCCGTTATCTTCATCTTTCGACATAGACGTCTCCGGTTTCTGATCATAATCATCCCCTCCCGGTCATGACATCATTTCTTGACCGTCGGAAATGTACTGGAAAGGCCGGATTGAGCGAGTTGTCGGCAGCTAGGTGGTTCCTCCAGGGCGATGTTGTCATCTGCGTTTTCATGGAAACGTCCTTTCTTTGCTTCTGTCTGTTAGTACCCCGCAATACGCACCGTATGGTTGATGTCAGCGTCCGTTTCTCGTGATGACCGCCTTTTTATTCCACGCCCAATTAATTCTAGCGGGAAGCGCGGTGTGCGTTTGGGCACCTCGATTTCCTCCGTCGAGCATTTCGTAACGAATGCCATGCCGCTGGAGCACGGTAGCGACAAAATCAAGCTGAAAACTGTGCTGAAAGAAGCAACCACGGTGGATAACACTGTGATATTGACGACGCTGAATGAGGCATGGGCGGCTCCTGGTTCTGTTCTTGATCTCTTCCTGGAGAGCTTTCAGACAGGAGAGCGCACGGTAAGGCTCTTGGAGCACTTGGTGATCGTCGCTCTTGACGAGAAGGCGTACGAGATATGCAAGTCTAAGCATACCCACTGCTACGCTTTGAAGACCGAAGGAGTAGATTTCTCTCAAGAGAAGTTATTTATGACGGAGGATTACCTGAGGATGATGTGGAGAAGGATAGACTTTCTGAGAGTCGTCCTTGAGATGGATATGACTTCATGTTCACGGTAACTTTATCTTTTCTGTTTCAACAGATTTATTTTTTTAAAGAACGTTGATGGCCTACGATTTTTGAACCTCGGATTATATTTTTTTTATAAATCTGTTTCTCAAAAAAATATTCGGAAGGTTCCAGGGGCTATCATCAAGATAGAGCATGGATAACAGATTTCCACGAATATTGAAACTAGTCTGTCTAAAGTTAGCCTCTAGTACTTACCACAAAGAGTATAGCCTCGAGATTTCCTCTTTTCTCTTCTTTTTTTCTCTTCTCGGTAACGTTCCTGGGCCCCTGCTCTGTTGCCCAAGACAGCCTTCAACGACTGGAGCTTCTCTTTCAGAAACCCCTTGCCTTGGGATTTTGAACTGGCTTTGGGTGATATAGAGATGATTAACGGTAGAATTTCATTCTTATCTCACCATATTTTCCACCAGAACTTAAAGCTGATCGAGTGTGATTTCCAGAATATTTAAAGCTATAGTGATAGTGCATAGGATCAGATAAGTCCGGGTATCGGCCTTTTTCGATCTAGGTTAGCTTGAATCTGAACTCAATTCAGTCAGATCCCTCCTAGCGCGGATTGAAGCAGCCACTGAAAATCATTATCCAAGCTGACCCCCCATCCCAGCGTGCATAATATTGGCTTTCCCTTGTTTCATTACGGTGCTGATGCGCTAGCCTGATGAAGTTCTTCAGTAACCAAGCATCGAACCTTTGTACTTAGCCTTTGTCTAAACTTTTTTTTTCCGTCATACTTCGCACCCACTGTTGTAAACTTGATCGTCTCGAATTCTTGCCAATGAGTATGCCCAAGGATTAGTTTGTGAAATTTTCCTGGGTGTCCGACAACTGACAGGTGAACGGTTCTGCATAAAATTTTACGGTCGATGAAGATCGGTTGTCTAGCCTGTGTATCTCAAAGTGCTTCATGAAGCAGCCTAGTCCACCAAATTAGTGGGAATCAATTTATGGAGTGCAAAGTGGCCACACTTACTTGCCGGTGGAGCCCTTTCACGTGGCTATCCACATAACCTACTCTGTCCGTTGGAGCAAATTGGCAGGGGAAGAGGTCAACAGTGGGAAAAGAGGAACCCTAGAGATTTTCCCGAGGGACCCGAAAGACGAAAGTGTAGATCAAAAAAACGTAAAATATAGCAGAATTATTGAAGCTGGAGCGGAACACTCAATAGTAGTTGTCATTTCCTCAAGGTCTACGCCCGGTTCTTCAGTCATGAATATCCTCCCACTCGTCGGAAACGGCTCGGTCTTGAAATTTAATGCTGTGAGGCATAGTGTCTCGACATAACTGCGCATCCCATATGATAGCGAATAAAATTATTTAATTTCCTCGATTCATTAATCTAGCCCTAAATTTCTTCATAAACCTACATTTCCTTGTATCCAATGCATCGAGCTTTGAACTTACTGATGTAGGCGCAAGCATTCATATATATATGCATATGTACGTATTTTTGGTACTGAAGTTCAACCTATTGTTGCTTCAAAACTGTGGGCACTCGTCGAGTTTTAGATGCAGCCCGAAAAATACACGGGTTCCATAGTTTTCGACTCTGGTCTCTATCTTTTATCCGCCGCAATTCATATAAAAGTTGCTCTTTTCTTGCAGGACGCTGATATAATGTGGTTCCGAGACCCCATGCCGTTCTTCTACAAAGACGGTGACTTCCAGATCGCATGCGACCGATTCAACGGCAACCCCGACGACAGGACGAACATCGTCAACGGAGGGTTCAAATATATAAAGTCCAACGAAAAAACAATAAAGTTCTACAAGTACTGGTACGAGAAAAGAGTGGAGCACCCGGGCGCTCACGACCAGGACGTGCTCAATTACATCAAGGGCGACCAAATCCTCCACGACATCGGGCTGAACTTGAAATATCTACCCACCGTACACTTTGGGGGGATATGCGAACCCAGCAGCGATTTCAATCAGGTCTCCACCATGCACGCAAATTGTTGTATTGGATTGATAGATAAGTTGAACGATCTGAAGGTAATACTGAAGGACTGGAGGCAGTACAATACTCTGCCGCCCAGAGCGAAGGAACACAAGTGGGGAGTCCCCCAGCTCTGTAGGTTACCCAATTATTCACAAAACTTGTCCATCTTTTGTTCATTCTGGTCTCTTTTTTACTTTTTTACTCTTCTTCTACCTTTCAGTACTACGTCGCACCATTAAGCCTGTGCATATCTTACGATTTTGCTGCATGGAGTGGAGGGGGACGAGGAGCACTCCCTCCTTTAAGGGTTACCCATGCCTCTCAATATTCCACCCAAATCAGAAATTCAGCTATGTTGTAAGAGAACCTGTATGATTTAGTGTTTTCTCCGCAGTTGCATCAGAAGGAGGTATAGTAAGCAGTTTCCTCTCGTTTTTATTCCATTTTTTTTATTTTCGGATCTTGCTACGGAACGGGTATTCCATCTTCTAAAGTTACAAGCTATTTTTCCTATAATTAGAAAGTCTAGCTAGATTTTAGGAAACCCACGAAGCATCTAATTCAGTTTTCTTCTCTGCGGACAACTGAAAGCACTTGTAGGGAGCACCCTCCATTCGATCGTTTTTTCTTTTTTCAGTATTTCAGTCTAATCAAAATATACCGTACGAAAATCATAATATTTCCTTCTCACAGTCTTCCTATCTCCACGTACATCTCCTTCATTATTCAGCCACGCAACACCCAGAAAACTTTCTACCCTCACCAGGGACTTGCAGAAGGTGTTGCTCAAACGAGAGATTCACTCTAACCCGAAGATACACTACTAAGACGGAACAATTCGCCCACAACTCTCACCTTTCCTTACATATTTGTGGGACCCTCCTGCTTATATCGGAGGGCCATCAATGGAACATTTTCAGATTGCCCCTGACAGGTTAGTGCCCCATCACCCTTGATGAAGCATCAAAACAGTGTGGAGCACGATAAACATCCATTAACAACCATTGGGAATCGGTGGTTAAGCTTTTCTCTAAGAAACCGCTTAATGACATAAGTTCCCATGATGGGCGCTTACATCGATGTTAATGGGCCGTCCCAATTAATCTGACAATCCACCCACCGTTGGCCTGGCGCGTGCCGCACCTGTGCAATCCACGCACCCGCCCGCACCGCCTTCTGCTGTGCCGTAGCGGTACCTCCGCCCACGCAGTCGCGCCACAGTGCACGCTACCACGCACGCGCGCCTGAGTCGTGCCGTGCCACCGTCTTTCTAGCGGCTGCTAAGGTTCATGAGAGCCACCGTGAACCTCGCCTCACATAGCATTGTGCCGCTCTGAGATTCCTCCGGCAGAGGTATAAAGCCTTCGGTTGGAAGGGGGACGGCGGAGGCTCTACTTGAACCTCTCTCTCCCGACGAGAGCCGAGCGATGTCTTGCAATGGAGCCGTGACCTCTGGGAGCGACGGGGAGATGGAATTCGTCGGCAGCGAGGAGGCACTCGAAGAAACCGAAATGTACACGCCTCTTTTTGGTCATTATGAACAAAAGAAAGAAAATGGAATACCAAGAGGTATAGCGGGAAACTAAGCAAATAACAACTAATATTTACTTATTGTTTGTTTACTTCATCCATACATAAGCAATTATTATCTTATGATATGTTCATTGAAAAACATTTAGCGAATTCTTCCTCTTTGGTAATAAAAAAGATAGGTATCACTGCCTTCTCCATTGCCAACAAATGAGTATTTATTAAAAATAAAATATTAATTAGTACCGACCTAATCCCATGATTTTATGGATGATTCAAATCACATAAGTCTATTATGTAATAATTGTGTTTCACTTAATGAATTAATTAGTTATTAGATATATATATCCAATATTATTGAGTCTTTTTTTGAATTGTACAACGTTGACTGACTCTATTTCTCCATTTTTGTTGTGTTACTCTATACCATTGAGTTTAGTTCCCCTTCTAAACGTAAGTTGACTTGCTACATGTAGGAAAGTAAAAATGCTTATTTCATTAGGAACTTTGTCATCGGTTAGAGTATGATAAAAGATATCATAATCTGCAATGTTGAAGTATTGGCATGCTTTTACAAGGTGTATTTACCATTACAAATATGAAACTCATTTTACTAAATGATGTGATCCCTTAGAAAAAAAATAGAAAGAGACATAGCAGGTCTTATGAATATACCCAAAATAACGTAATAATTTATTGAAAATAATTCTCAGAAACACAAAATAATTTCTCTATTAAAATAAGTTACCCTTCTATGTATTTTATCAAAATCAAAACTAGAAAGTCTTTGAAAACCAACAATATGGAATATTGTAGGCAAGGAGGGAAGGGTTTAGGGGAGAGAGTGAAAGAGATATCATTAGTGCATGGTGCTCCTACAATGGAAGACCCTCACCTCACCACGTATGTTAAACTCTCTGACTCCACCATGATCCCTCCCCTCAATCCCTTCCTTCTCTTGTCCTCCAATCAATTTCCTTAGTCATTCTTCATTTCATGTTACTCCAATTAATAATGAAACTTGACATTAAACCAATGGAACAAGCCAATGGAAACTACCATACTATCATAATTTTGACTCTAAACCTATTAAGTTAAATATTAGCAATGAAATTCATCTGAGATATGAAATTTTCAGAAAAAAATATTACATATTAATAATTCACCTTTAGTCATGCCCAAAAGACATCATTCACTAAAATCATTCTATTAGAGTTAAATAAAATTTTATTTGAATTTAACCCCTCTAAAATGATTTAAGTTATTATTGAATTATAATTTTTTGTAATATTGGTTTCGTTAACATAGCTGTAATTAAGGTTGTCTCTAGAGCATTGTTAAGTGGGAAAAATGAGGTGGGTCACGAGGCTCCAGATTAAGTAAAAAAAGATAATGACTTATTAGTAACCAAGATAAATCGCAGAACAGAAAGTAAATCATGTAAAATAAATTTATTTTGTCATAAAAATCAGTCACTCTTGGTTCTACATCATCAAGTAGCTATAGTTTGCTAAATGCCTGCCATTAAGACTTGTTAGATTAGAAGAACAACCCATGATGCCATCACTCTTGGGAAACTCTAATGCTCTAGAGTTTTTCTTGGACAAGCTTTACTTCCCATGGAAAATATTTTGCACATATTGTATTAACTTATTGGCTATATATATATATATATTGGTAATATTTTTAGCATTGTTTGTACAAAATTAGAGTGCACCTCCGTCATACAGAAGGCTGCTGCGGACAGTCTCTGGTGGAGCGCTAGAATTGGGACATGGGTTCCTTCGTGAGCCGAGCCAGATTTCTATCCTTGGTTGCTTGTCCATTCTCACCGTAAAGGCAAATAATGTGGGCCCCACCTCCCAGAACCCTCGCGCATCGCTCGGGGAAGAGATTGTGGGGCAGGGCCCACGAGGCGCTCCAGGACTCCGAAAGAAGAAGGTTTCTAAATTTGAGCTTGTCCGGGTCTGAAAAGTAATTCCCTGAAAAGTCTGGACAGATGGGGCACTTTAACTGCTATAAGTATGCCCGCCCCAAACCATATAGGCGAGAAATCGAGGTGTAAATATTTCACAGATTAATTGGCTCTATATCCTCATAACTAGGGGGAATTACGACAAAACCCCGATCTGAATGCCCCTACGCCTCCGGACGCAGCAACTGGGCCCCAAGAAAGAGAGTGAGAACCGACAGATGGGGACTCGGTCCGAGCTGGCGGCGCCCGCTGAAAGCCGACGTGGAAATGAGAAATGGTGGGGGGGGGGATGCCAACGTGGTGATGGAGCTTACGTGAGATCCAACGGCCCGTAATTTTGGGCTTCGGGCTTTTTTTTCTAACTTCCACCAAAATATTTTATAGTAAGAATTATGTTTCTCGAATGCACGGGAATCCGGCGACTACGTGCACGATGACTGACCCGCGTGGCCGGTAACGACTTCAAAGCTTCAAACCCTCTCTCTCTCTCTCTCTCTCTCTATCTGTTTCGGTAACACTCCCAGCATCCTCTTCATAAAACGTGGCCGGGGGGTTAGCGGTAGGCTTCATTGAGGACTCTGAGCAGCTTGCAGATGCAGATCGCAGCATCACGCGATCGTCCGCAGATGGCGGCTGCCGCGACCGGATGGAGGAGGTTCCCATGGGGGTTGATAGTGGTTGCCGGTGTCACATTCCCCTGCGCCGTCCTCTACTACGCCGCTGGCATCTCCGACTTCCTGCCGCAGTCCAGTAGGAACTCCCCAACTCTATTGAAGAACGCCTTCTCCTCCCAAGCTCCGAGGACCGATGATTCACCTAATTCGGTGCGCTCCCTCTCTCTCTCTCTCTCTCTCTCTCTCTCTCTCTCTCTCTCTCCCCCGTTCTAGTACTCCTATCCGGAACTCTTCCCGTGTTCATCCTTGGCCCTCCGCTTCCGTTCATTTCCTGTGGTTTTCCAGTAGCTTCGTCTTCGGATGGATGCGGACGTTTTTGGCTCCTAATCGGTGAGTTGTATTCTCAGAAACGTATAGCTTCATCCTGACCGCGACATCACTTTTTTGACCGACGGAAACGTACTATGCAGCCGACGGCTCCTGTCTCACTGGAAAGGCCGGAATGAGTAAGCTGTTGCCTGCTTGGTAGTTTCTCCCTGGCGACTCTGCCATCTGCGTTTTCATGGCGACCTCCTTTCCTTTGTTCCCGTCTGCTGGTACCCCCCGATACGGCGCCTACGGTTGATTTCTGCGTCCTTTCTCGTGATCATCGCCTTTTTATTCCACGCCCAATTAATTCTAGCGGGAAGCGCGGTGTGCGTTTTGGCACCTCGATTTCCTCCGTCGAGTCTTTCGTAACGAATGCCATGCCGCCGGAGCAGGGTAGCGACAAAATCAAGCTGAAAACTGTGCTGAAAGAAGCAGCCACGGTGGATAACACTGTGATACTGACGACGTTGAATGAGGCATGGGCGGCTCCCGGTTCTGTTCTCGATCTCTTCCTGGAGAGCTTTAAGACAGGAGAGAGCACGAATAGGCTTTTGAAGCACCTGGTGATCGTCGCTCTTGATGAGAAGGCGTACGAGAGATGCAAGTCTACGCATCCCCATTGCTACGCTTTGAAAACTCAAGGAGTGGATTTCTCGCAAGAGAAGTTATTTTTGACGGAGGATTACCTGAAGATGATTTGGAGAAGGATATATTTTCTGAGAGTCGTCCTGGAGATGGGATATCACTTCATTTTCACGGTAACTTTGAACTTTTATATTTCGCCTGAATTTTTGTTAAGAATATTGATGTCCTGTTATTTTTTTAACTTTTCTTTTTCTCAAAACTTATTCGGAAGGTCACAGTATCCTGGGCCTACCGTTCAGATAGAGCATGAGTAACGGATTTCCAGTCAGATTGAGGTTTATTTGTCTAAAGTTAGCCTCTAACACGTAGCACAAAGTATAGATTTCCGCTCTTTTTTCTTCTCTACTGGGTAACGTCCTTGAGCCTCTCTTGTACGAAGATAACCTTCAGCGATTGGAGCTCTTCTTTCAGAAACAGACTTATTCTATTCATGTCAGCTTTAATGACACCTTGCCGTGGGATTTTGAACTGGCTTGAGGTGCTATATTTATAGAGATGATTAATGGTAGAATTTCATTCTTACTGCACCGTATTCTCCACCTTAACTTAAAGTGAACCAAGTATGATTTCCAGAAGGTTCAAAGCAGTAGTGCTGCTGGATAGAGTCAAATCAGTCCAGGTTTCGGTCATTTCGATCTGGGTCAGCTGGAATGTGGCAAACGTAATCCAAGCTTGCCCCTCGACATCATTTTGAGTAACATTAGCCTTCCCTGTCATGAATATCCTCCCAGTCGTCGGCAAACGGCTCCAAGGTACCAAATTTAATGCTGAGGTTCACATCAACTTTTAAAGATTTGCGGCGTACTTCCTGAACTTTTAAACTTGTCGAATCCCATTTGACAGGGACAAAAATTATTTCCTTTTCTGGACCAATTATTCTAGCCCTACATTTCTCCATAAATCTGCATTTTATTGTTTCCATTGAATCGAGCTTTGATCTTACTGATATACGCACGCACGAATACATATCCATGCATGCATATGTACTTATGTATTTCTGGTATTAAGGTTCAACCTATTGCTGCATCGATTTTAAGGTGCAGACTAACGGAAAAACACACGAATTTCATGGTCTTCAAATCTGGTCTCCATCTTCCATCTTCCGCAGTTCATATAAAGGTCGATCTTTTGTTGCAGGACGCTGATATAATGTGGTTCCGGGACCCCATGCCGTTCTTCTACAAGGACTGCGACTTCCAGATCGCATGCGACCGATTCAACGGCAACCCCGATGACAGAACGAACAGCATCAACGGAGGGTTCAAGTATATAAGATCCAACGAAAGAACAATAAAGTTTTACAAGTACTGGTACGACAAAAGAGAGGAGCACCCGGGCAGTCACGACCAGGACGTGCTCAACCACATCAAGGGCGATCAGTTCCTCCGCGACATTGGTCTGTGCATGAAATTTTTACCCACCGTCCACTTTGGGGGGATATGCGAACCCAGCAGCGATTTCAATAATGTATCCACCATGCACGCGAATTGCTGCATAGGATTAAAAGATAAGTTGAACGACCTGAGGATCATACTGGAGGACTGGAGGCTGTACAACGCTCTGTGGCCCGGCGTGAAGCGCCCTCAGGAGCACAAGTGGAGAGTCCCCCAGGTCTGCAGGTAACCGAATTATTCTCAAAGCTTGTCCATTTTTGGTTCGTTCTGGTCACTTTTCAACCTTTTTTTACCCTTCATTTTTTTTTCTTTTTCAGTACTACGATGCACCATTAAGCCCGTTCATATCTTACGATCTTGCTGCATGGAGGGGAGGGGGCGCATTACTTCCTTCCTCAAGGGTTAGTACCTCTCATTTTTCCAACCCAAATTGGAAATTCAGCAGAGTTTTAGGATAACCCGTATGATTTGGTTTTTTCCTCTGTAATTGCATGAGAAGGCGGCATAGCAACCAGCTTCCTCTTGTTTTTTCCTCCATTTTGTAATTTGTCAAGATCTTGCTGCTGACTGGGTCTCCCCTCTTCCAGATTAAGAAGTGTTTTTTTTTCTGAAAATTAGAAATTTTAGCTATATTTTAGGAAACCCCAAGAGAAATCTAATTTAGTATTTTCTTATCTGCAGATGATTGGAATCACTCGTAGGGAGCACCCTCCATGTAATCTTTGTTTCAGTATTTCACATAGAGACCAAGTCAAATAAAAACACAACATATAGGAATCATAATATTTCTTTCTCACTGCCCCCTGCTATCCTCATACATCTCTTGCATTATTCACATGTTGAGCACAAGAGTCACATCACTGAACAGGTGAATAGAAGGCATACCTCACTTGTTTCTTACATATACTGTAACAAGAAAGTCGGCCACTCCACATTAAATCTTTTGTTGGGTGTTTGGGCGATCAAATCCCCAACAGCCCACGTATGACCAATAAGTATAATCTTGATAATCCTAGATGTCTCATACATGGGGCCAAGGGTCCTTTATAGATGGTCCCCTAGTCAGTTATCCTCACATTTTTGGTATGGGATTAAGAGTTCCCACACTAGGTGATGTTGGGGTAGTGACATCTTATGCTCCTCCTTTTGATGATGTCATAGTTGTGACATCATCGTCTACTCTTGTGGTTTTGGGTTGCCATGTTAGAGTTGTGCACAACATCGTTGTGCCTTCTAGTGCTCATGGTGCATCTGCCTACATAGTCGTCATGCTGACACATGTGTTATGTGCTGTCGGCCCATAGGTGCCACACCTATATACATGGGCATCGTGTCAATGTGTGCTAGGACCATGCCAGCACGTGCCATAGTATTATCGCTAGAGGTGTTCTTGTGAGAGGACCGTAGTAGCATTCTCCCCCTCCTATGAGATCCGACATCCTTCTTAGATGTTGTTGGTCAAGGTAAGCTTAGATTATATCCTCAAATTACCATTGGAGTGAATTGGTGTGGTTAGTTCCACTCCATATTATCCTCATATGTATGGTAAACTTTCAAAAGAGATACGTGAAAAATCGGGTATACCAAGAGGTGTGAAGGGAGCTAAAGTAGGTAGGCTAATTGTCTCACTTGGGCTACAATCTGTGAGGGTCTATCAAACTAAGGAACCAATCTATTGTGTTAATTCTGTCCTTGGAGGCTCTTGTGGGTGGGGTAGATATGCAGTAATATCTAGTCACCTACTATGTATTTAACCTCTTGCCAGTGTCGATTAGTATTTATTTCATCCTTTAGGTTGTCCTTGCCAATGCCTCTCAGGCCTCTTCAGTGAGGTCACTATGGTCTTTGGCAAAATGGTAGGCAGCTAGCATATATCTTGAACCTTGTTGCTTCACAAGCTCCGAAGGTGTTAGTGGTTGCCTACCAATGGTGAGCCCGAATAGTGATGTCTGTTGGACACACTACTAAATATTATGGATGAACTAGGTAATATCTAAGAGATCAACCCAATTGTTTTGTCTTGTCGTGGCATAATGTATGAGGTAATTCTCCAACATCTCATTCACTCTCTCTATGTGTTTATCAAAGTAGATGAAAAGTATTGGAGAAGTTAAGCTTAGTACCAAAGAGGGTGAAGAGGGTTGACTAAGGAGGGTGAAACTGAGTTAATTCGCAGAGTATTATTACTAAAATTGTTGAACGATTCATGATAAAAAGATTGTGAATCCATTGAGTAAATCATCTTTGATTGATTGACGAGTAAGCTATCGTCGAGAAGAGGATGATCCGTCAAGAGACGAGTCGCCACCTCTTGAGAGCGTACTGAATTTGATGAAGAGTCTCTTCTTATTGCACAGACTTGAGGATGAAACTTCCTAACAGTCACCCCATCTTCATTCAGCTCTTCTCCATTGGGTAACAGCTATCGAAGAGCCGCAAAGTCATCATTTTTCCGTTCCACTAGGTGACAACCGTCGAAGACAATTCGACGACTCGTTTCATTGATCTCTAGACTTTGCAAGAAAATCTAAAGATTACTCACATCTTCTTTGTCAAAGGAGAGCCTTCGAGGCTGTGGACACTACACGACGATCCTCCCGAACACTTAGGATTTCAGTGCATGACCAACGCATCACTGCCGCGATGTTGAAACTTTGTTTTCCTACTTTCAACTTAAATCATTACTAGTCACTTAGTAATGGAATTATGAAAATAAAAATTCACAAATCTCAAACATCATATTTCAATGCATAAAAAAAATACAATTAGAAATGATGCACCTTTAGACACTTTAGATTCTTATATCGAGTATTTAAGAAGGATGTCAAGCACTTAAATATTTAAGCACTCTTTGGAATAACAATCTAGACTTTACTTCTTTTATTCACATATTTATCACTTCTTCACTCATATATATATTTACAAGATGTTTAAATTATCAATACTCATCCAAGAATAATATTGATCCTACATTTCTCTTTTTTCATGGCTTGATTTTTAAAGTTTACACTATATTTTTTAATTTTTTTTTTATATAGTGGATAAGTAGTTTTTCTTGTAGACAAATTTTGACAATAAGAATGATGTTTTATACCCTCCATCAAAGATACTTTTCATATAGGGGCTAAACCTTTTAGATGGGCCAACATAGAAAGTTAACAACATTAACAATGTAAGATTGAATTGTCTAGTCACTATTTTAATGTCATCTATATGGCATTGACTGTATAGTTCATTCCCTCCATATAATCATGCCATGTGTTCAGTGTGCTGCACGTGCCCACCATACCACATGTGTCTTTTGAGATATGCATGCCTACTATGTTGTTGAATGTCTATGAGGTTCCATTAGTAGAATCACACCATGCTTGACTAACCCTATGACACTAGCACCACATGTGTGTGCTTGCAACAGGTAATGTGTGAAGAGTGCTAGTTACATGCATGGTTGCATGTGTAAGTGGTTGACTTAGTGTGCCCATGCGTACTTACAAGGTAATGTAGGCACACATCAAGATGGCATGGGTGAGGCACGTGCCCAAGTGCACTATGGGTGGATTGTGAGATTAACTAAGTTGGCCCATTAAGCATCCATTATAGGGACTTACATATGACATGGCAAATATATGCGACATGACAAGGTGGGTGGTGATGAGGTGCTGACTTGTCAAGGTACTTTTGAAACTTGCCATGGGTGGCTATCTCCTATAAATAGGAGTGTTACATTGCCATATAAGGCAAGTGAGAGTGATGGATGGGTTGTTTCCTCCTCTAACTAGTCTACATCATGATTATAATGAATTGTCTCATTGAGCAACAACTTCCACAATTTTTTAGTGAGAGAATAAGACTATTTGGTGCTGGACAAGCATCTAAGGGTACATGTTACCCAAGTCCTCCCACAAGAACCATCTATGGCAACAACACTGTAGCATGCACCGACACAGCACTCACACGTGCCAACATGGTGCCCACGTGCAATGATGCGACACCTGCACATGGCAGCACAGCATGTCTACACATGCATGACACCTACACTCAGGGGCACAAAACACACGCACCCCTGTGTGATGACTGCGCAAGTGGATACACTACAAGCACCAAGAGGCACAATGACATTGCACACAATTATGGCGTGGTAACTCAAAGCCATGAGACATATTATAATGTCATGAGCATGACATCATCTGAAGGAGTAGAGGACATCACTACCCCGACATCACCCAATGTGAGAACTCTTAATCTCATATTAGAAATGTAAGGACAGTTGACCAGGGGACCATCTATAAAGGACCCTTGGCCCCATGTATGAGACATCTTGGATTATCAAGATTATCCTTATTAATCATACACTGGTCCGTTGGGGATCTGATTGTCCAAGTGCCCAACAAAGATTTCGTGTAGAGAGGTCAACTTCCTTGTTATACTAATATCAAAGTCAAGTTGTGAAAAAGGTTAGACTCTTCTTCCCCTTCCTCCTTATTTAATATTGGTGTATTGCCATGAAGGCAGAGGCTAGAGTGGGTACAAGTGGTACCTAAGGAAAAGAATTTCTTGGCTGGTAGAACAACAAGAAGCTATGGTTAGGACTGTTGAGACCCTTAGAAGTCAATTGCAAGATGCGTCTAGCAATATACAAGGACAAATCGTCGGCTGGACATCTCAAATAGAAGAATAGACCGATGAGGCATTGGATGCCTAGACAAAGAAATTCAATGAGGAAATTTAGTTGAACTACAACCAGACATGAGAAATGGTTATGTTTTATGAAGCCCATAAAGAAGATATTTTGACATTGTAGGGAGAATTTACCCAACATATGTCAAGGCTGCGACAATAGATAGAGGAAGTTGTGGGCAACCTCCAAATTAGATTTGGCAACCTCTAAAGACCTCTAGGTCAAGATTTGACAACTCTATAATAGGGTTGCACTGAAGGAAGTAGGCCAAGATATAATAAAAGAAAATAATTTCTCCAACACATTATAGTAGCAGAGGTAGAGGAAACAATCTCAATTGAGGCAAACATAACTTAAGAAAGTAAAGAGATGAAAACTCCGTAAAATAGACTATATAGAAAGTTCAAAATATAATATACACATTATCAACTCCGTCTAATTATTCAAAAGCTCAGAATGCTCAATCCCCTACAAATGTTGGGAATCTTATTAAGTTGAGTGACCCTTAGTGGGCTGTTATGACTTTGTTACATGAATGCCACTGCCAATCACTAAATCATGAAGGTGATGGTGAATAGTGGATCAACCCACAACTTACTCTCATAGTAAAGGCAACCAACTCCAAAGCCTAAACATAAATAAGAGTGGCACGAGGAGCAACTTTCTAGTGCCATGAAAAGACTAGATGAACTTCTTAATTCTCTTAATGGATGACTTTGAATTATCTACCTTGACTTTCTTGTCTCATATTACTAAGTGACTCCACCCTATGACAATGATGTCAAAACTTGGAGGAGGAAAATGTCACAAGGTCAGCTAGGTAGGGCGAGCTTCCACTTATGAAATCTCACAAGCAACAAATGTCACGATATGTGGACATGACATGATTAACGTGTGCATTGACAAAAGGTTATTTTCTACAATGCTTCAAATTTTGTGTTGACATTGGAATACCCATGACCACAACTAGTCTAACCCATGTCATTTGAAGGTGATTGACGTGACTTAGATATTGTACAATAAATCACATAAATTTTAAATTTATAAAACTAGAAAATATTATTTTTTAGATTTTTTATAAATATTTTAGAATAAATAAATCAGTTAGAATTTGATAAAAAATTCCAAAAATAGTAAGTAATTTCTAAGTTGATCACAAGGATGTAAGATAATGATGGATAATATTTTAGAAATTTTTTAAAATAATATGATTTATATTATTATTAAACTAAATGATGAATATAAGATATATTTAAAATTTTATGAAAAAAGAAAATAAAGTTGGTGATTCACTCAATGTCTCGATAAACATGAATCAAACAAAAATAGAGTTTCACTTGGTGATTCTTACGTAAGTGATTATAGATGATTTACTAGGTCAAATTAAGTTCTCTAAAAGCCAAAAATATCGTAATTCAATGAAGAAGAGTTTTGAAACTTGAAATTAAATAAAGTATCACTAAATTAAGTGAAAATTAAGTTTAAAGTAAAAAAGATAGAATTTCGGCCTCGCGATAGTGATCATCGGAATTCTATGTTTGGGATAGTTATCGTACAATGTTCATGACCTCAATGGCTTTCATTGGAGATAGATGACTTGGGCATTCATTGGATCTCTTTTCAAAGTCTAAAAAATGATGATAGAAGTTAAACTAATTAAATAATAATAAAATAAAGTTTTGACATCGCGACGGCGATGCATCGATGATACGTCAAAATTCTAAGCATTCAGAAAGATTGTTGTGTAATGTCTATGGTCTTAAAGACTCTCTTTGAACAATGATAATGTAAGCAATCTCTAGATCTTCTTGTGAAGTTCATAAATCAATTAAGTAAGTCATCAAATCATCTCAATGGTTGCCACTTAACGTAGTAAGAAAATTATAACTTTGTAACCCTCTGATGGTTGTCACTCGATAAAGATGAGTTGAATGGAGGTGGAGTGCATCTTATAGAGCTTCATCCTCAGGTCTACACGGTAAGAAGAGACTTTTCATCACATTTGTTAAACTCTTAAGAGGTGGTGAGTCGTCTCTCGATGAAACATCTTCTTTCTAATGACAATGTATTCTTTGATCAATTAAAGATGATTTATTCGATAGATTCACAATCTTTTTCTCTATAATTATTTAATAATTTTAGTAATAATACTCTATAAATTATGTTGACAAGATTTTCATCGATGATTGAATGATTTTGACAACTTAATCATTCATCATAAATCTGTATGAAAATCATAATTTAATCAGATAAAAATATGAGTTTTTAACTTTGATAGGATTTAAACCCTCGCCGATCGCCCACCTATATGAGAGAGAGTGAAATAAGTATGTGAATACTCTTATAAAGTGATGTCATTGAGGTATTTTCTTCTAATAAATAAGGGATAATTTAAGTATTAAAATTATTAAAATCTTTTGAGAAGACTATGACCATTAATTTATTCTCAAATCGATTATATGTCGAGTTTTGAGATAGATATATAGTAATATGAGATTTGGTAGTCAATGTGTTCATTTCTCGCATGTGTACGACCACTTCTTACTCTATACCTAGTTTGCTACCAATGATGTAGAAGGAGAGTGATGCACACATGTCTCTTACCAATCCATCCTTAGTCGCTCAAGCCATTGTTCATGGCTCTACCTTACTATGCTTCCAACTCACTTGCCGACTCGACTAGCTAGCAGGTTCTCCCTTTTTTTTATCTTTTTATTTTATTTTATTTTATTTTTATCTTAAAAATAAGATTATAAAAATTATATGAAATTATATAAAATTACATAATTAATCAAAACTTTACGTTAATTAATAAAAAACAATTTAAATAATTTAATATAAATATAGTTCTATTTATCATAAGTTAAAGTTAAAATTATATTATTAATTAATTATTAACTCATAATAATAAAGATTTATCAATGATGCTCAATGACTAGTCCTCTATTGCAACAACTCCAACTATCTTTATAGGTCTATCTTCATGAACCCTTTTATTTATACTAGGGGTCCCACATAAAAAATCTTCAAACTATCCTTATAGGTATGTTCTTCATCAACTTTGATTAGACATTTAAAAAGTATGGAGCATAATAAATGCTCATTAACCACCATTATAAGTGCTGGTTTAGTTTTTCTTTCAAGACAACCACTTAACAATTAAAGTTCTCATGATGAGTGCCTCCATCAAGGTTAATGAACTAGCCTAGTTAACCTCACAATTCACCTACCATGCCCTAGCACTTGCCACACTCATCCCATTCACACGCATGCATACACTGCCTTATGTTGTGACATGCCGACACCTCTGCTGATGCACTCACACTATACCGCACACTAATGTGGATACACATGTGATATCCCCTACACCACATCAAATTGTTATCATGGCAGTGCCCACCAAGGTTCATAGGCAGCCACCATGAACCTTGTCCCTTAACATGTTGTGACGCTATGTGCAGATGTTATGTTATGTAATGTCATGCTAGCAGCCACAAAAGTTCATAGGATGGCCCTTGTGTGGGTCACAATGTTCTGGGCAGAGTTGACTGCATGCACTATGTTGGATGAGTGAGTGTCTCCTGCTCTCCACATGTACGCTACGCACATGCATGCACACCTCCGCACGCTCAGACGTGCTTTGAGGTTACATTGTCGAAAGGTTGCTCTTTGGAATGTCCGAGTGAGGCGTGTGGCAGCAGTTCTAGTGACTGTGCTTTGGAAGACAACTGGGCCCCACAGGTGCTCTATAGTAGTAGTTTGTGGGCCGAAATGCGCTCCTCTGAGACCTCGGGGGAGGCACCAGCGTATCTGATACTCCCACCTGAGCAAACGTGCGCTAGGGCGCAGGATAAGCCCGGTCAACGGGTCTTTTGCTGGGAGCGGGAGGTTCTTATTAGTGCGTCTCCCTCCTTTGAATTCCACTGAGGGACCGTTACGCTCGACCATACACGAGCGGAGGGGCGGACACGGGGGAGATCGGCGATGGCGTCCTCAGATTCATCCAGCGGAGGTATAAAGCCTTCGATTGGAAGAGGGACGGCGGAGGCTCTCCTTGGATTTCCTTCTCCTTGAAGAAAGTGGGGATTCCATCGCGATACCCCGCCGCCAGCGGAGATCTCTCCCCCGACAAGAGCTGAGCGATGTCTTGCAATGGAGCCGGAAGCGACGGGGAGATGGATTCGCCGTCGCCTGCGAGGAGGCACTCGAAGAAGCCGAAATGTACATTCCTCATTTTACCCTGCGGATCACGTACCTGCAGTCGTAGAGTAGTCCGCCTGTTTCATCCTCGGTGTTCTCATTTCACATTTTGCTGCTTAGACTCCCTCGATCGGTTCTCGTTGTCCGGAATGGCACGATTCGGCGAGGTGGTATGGAAGCTTCTTCTGTGACGTGAATGTTCAAACCGCGACACGCGTATGGTTTTATTTTCTCTTCGTATCACGTACGCCTGTCTGCGCTTTCATCCACGTGGGAGGTGTTAACGAATCATCGGCACTCCAAATTTCTGTGCAAACTTCTAACAGCTTCTGTGCCGAGAGGAATACGCATAGTCGTCTCTGTTTATATACATATACATATACATACATATATATATATATATATATATATATATAGCGAAGACAATGGATTTTCCACTTGTTTCCAGAGTCATTGCCCCCTGTTATCTTGTCGCTCCTTGTTTGATTCCGTGTGTACCTTCTGCTTTTTACTGGGGCCTGTAATTTTTTTCAATGGTTATTGTAGAAGAGGATAGTTGAAGTCTTTGCAGGGATGCCAAAAAATTCAGTTCCCCTGTTCCCTCCCTCTGTTTCAATCTTGAATGTCTCGTGAACGCCAACCATCAATGGATACCATCGTGATTTTGTGCTGGAGGTTCCTTGCCATTGTGCATTTGATGTGGAGGTCTACATTAAACAGCTCAGAATTTAGAAAGCTAATTAAAATCCTAAAAAAAATTGTGGTTCACGAGGAAAATCTTGGTGTATTCCTATGTTTAACGGAAATTTTCATCTGTAACTGCTCTGAAAGGTCTTATCGTGAATATTATAAGTTATTCACAATCTTCTAAAGGGGCATCTAAATTTTAAGCGATGACTGTGTTTGACGTTGTTGCAGAAGTTTTATGTAATTTCTCTTTACGAGTTCCACTAAAATTTCATTACCAGTATCGTAACCTTTGAATGATAAGTATAATTATGAGATTTTACACCGTTTTCTCACTTATTCGAATAAATATCACTGTCATGATGCTTGCATACTTTTTTTAGGACAACTTTCAATTTAGAACAATAGTGGGGAATAAACCACTGCCAGGTACCAAGGGTGAATCAAATACATTTTCTGGTTATTCAAGTATGCGAAATGCTTTCCATTTTATTTTATTTCTTACTTTCATAAATCTGGATTTGTTGATAAAGTTATCTCCTTTTGCCTTGCTGCTATTCACTAGTTGTGCCAAAGCTTCCACCAGATACAATTTACTTTTTCATATACCGTCTTATGAACATTTTTTAAATTCAAAGATGATCCTCATGTGGTTTCCAGTATCCCTTAATCTTAAAAAACCGGTTAGTTTTTCTATTTTCTAGTCTATCATACAACAATCAGAGAGTCCATCTATTCACATTACTGCAGAGGACAGTTTTTTTTGTGTTTTAAATGTTTAATCTTCATTGTCATTGGTGAAAATAGATGTCATAGTATGCGAAACTCGTCTTATCGGTTAATTCCATCGTGCAGATTCAAAATTCACACAGCAAGAGCTTCCAGCCTGCAAACCTATTCTCTCACCTGGATGGGTAGGTTGCTGTTGCATGAAGTTGGATGAGAAATAAACAGCTTCTGGAGCTTCTGAGGGAACCGTATTAGATTGTCTACGATCCTTGGCTTATGATACTGAACGTGGAGTTTATACATTTACAGGTTATCACAACATTCGCATTCATTGGCCTGATATTCATTCCAGTGGGACTTGCGTCCTTATTCGCTTCCCAGAGAGTATTATCATCCCTCTGCTTCGCTTCTCATTTTTCATATTCCAGCTGCTCGTAAAATGTGCTGATTGTCTACGACGTATGTAGGTTGTGGAAATTGTGGACCGATATGATGTAGCCTGCGTTCCTGAGCACCTGCAGGATGATAAGCTTGCCTATATTCAGAACAGTACAGTGGACAAAACTTGCACTAGGAAATTAAAGGTTGGTCCGTCTGAATTGCTTATTTTGCTTCAAATTAGCCTCTTCTTGATGGATCAAGCCCACGAAATAGTAATTATTCCCTGCAAGTTGACACTATGGTTTGGGGATATTTTAGGTCCCAAGACTTATGAGGAGTCCCATCTTCATCTATTACGAACTCGAAAACTTCTACCAGAACCATCGTCGGTAGGCCAATTCAACACGAACTGGATATTCTCGTCCTTGTTATCTCTAGCGGGACTCATAATTCGGTAAATGAGAGCATAGTTTTTCAAAAAAAAATGGATCTTTGTGAATTTTATTTTAGACTGTTTTTAACACAGTTAGGTTCCCTTCCATGTTAGACATTTCTCATTTTTTTTCCATTGGCCTCGTTTGGCATATCTTTATTGCTGCACTATTTCGATTCACTTATCACAAGTAACAGGTGGTGACTCTAGGGAGTCCCTGTTTTTATTTATATCCAGACAAGTCCTGATAATTCCCGAGTGTGGCAACTTTGTCGACCACTAACTTCCCGCCCACTTCGGCATTCTTTTAGCAAAAAAAAATTCCATAAAAGTTATTTCTGAGCACATAGTCACCTCAGAGCAACTTCCTCAGATCAATTTTTCTTCCATTGCTTTCCACAGATGAACATTAATTACGTTTTGTGTTCTTCATCATGATTTAATAATTTGATTCATGTCTCCCCAAGTTCAGGTCCCTGTCTCCCATACTGTCCAGGTTTAGAGGGGTCGTGACTTGGTGCCCCAATGCCTGACTTCAGAGTTGACTGCTGTGGTGTCAATTTCAGGTATGTCAAGAGCCGAAGTGATAAACAGCTGAGAAGCAGGGAAGGGGAGAGCGACACAGAGTCTTGCAGTCCCGAAGCCAAGACTTCCAATGGGTCGGTGATTGTCCCCTGTGGTCTCATCGCCTGGAGCATGTTCAACGACACGTACGGATTTTCCATAAATAGCAAGGTTCTAGATGTGAACAAGAAGGACATAGCTTGGAACTCCGACAAGTACCATAAGTTTGGCAGCGATGTCTACCCGAAGAACTTCCAGAGTGGACCCTTCATTGGGGGCGGCAAGCTCAACTCCAGCATTCCTGTGAGTGCTCATCCGATCTTTTCATCTTGTTCTCCATTGCCGGCTTTGTTGTTGAGCCCTTGACGGACTCCTTGCCTGGAAATGGAAATGTTGCAGTTGAGTGAGCAAGAGGATCTGATAGTCTGGATGAGAACAGCGGCTCTTCCCACTTTCAGAAAGCTCTACGGGAAGATAGAGGTGGATCTCGAGCCCAATGAGGAAATAATGGTGACAATACACAACAACTATAATACGTACAGTTTTGGAGGGAAGAAGAGGCTGGTTCTCTCTACCACGTCGTGGATAGGTGGAAAGAACGACTTTCTCGGCATGGCTTATCTCACATTCGGCGGCCTGTCTCTCCTCATCGCTGCAACCTTCATCCTCATTCACCTTATTAGACCAAGGTTAGTTCTCTGTCATCTCGCCGGAATTCCCCTTTTCATTGGGGCCTTTGGATCTGACCCTTTTCATCCAATTCAAACATTTCAAATCGGACCCATCACATTTTCGAGCCCGAGGTTTTAACGTGATGAAAGAAGAAAACTGTTGATCCATCGAGTGCGATTGGGAGTCATTAAATCGGGTCTTGTTCATCGTAATGTAATATTTTCTTGTGCTAATTTTAATCAGGGCGCATTTTTCTGCAGGTCCCTCGGAGATCCGTCGTACCTGTCGTGGAACAAAAATCCGGCCGGCTACTCAAACTAAGCGGGCCTGCTGCTGCCCTTCTGGTTCGGCCCATCATCATCCTGTACCCTTCCCAGAGACCATACCCTCCCTGTTCACACCACGCTATCAGAAAGAAAGCTCCCACCTTCCTCTCCGCCGCCGCGTAGTTCACGTGAAAGCCACCGCCCTCGCCGGAGAACAAGCATCACACGAGGAAATGCGCCGCCGCTCACGCTGCCCGGGCGGGGGCGAGGGCCGCATGACTGGCAGCTCTGTTATTTCTCTCGTTGCTCATCCTCCTTGGGCCCTCGTTCGTTCCGCCGGCCATGCGCGCACGGTGGGCAGTCCTCGGCATGGTGCCCTTCGCCGTCCTCCTCTGCTTCGCGTTCCTCGTCCGCCCTCCGCCGGTGCCGGCGGCGCCGCCGCCGGAGCTGAGCGTGCTGGTGGGGGTTCTAACCCGCCCCGAGAAGTACGCCTCCCGGCACCTCCTGCGGCTCGTCTACGGCACGCAGCCCGCCGCGCCGCTGGCGCAGGTGGACGTGCGCTTCGTGCTCTGCCGGCTGGCCACCGACGAGCAGCGCCTACTGGTGGCGCTGGAGATCCTCCGGTTCGGCGACGTCATCGTCCTCAACTGCACCGAGAACATGAACTCCGGCAAGACCCACACCTTCTTCTCCTCCCTCCCGGGGATCCTCCCCCGGCGGTACGACTACGTGATGAAGGCCGACGACGACGCCTTCATCCGGGTGGCGCCGCTTGCGGCGGCGCTGCGGCCACTCAGCCGGCATGACCTCTACTTCGGCTACGGCATCCCCTGCGCTGGCGAGGACCCTTACGCCGGCTACATGTCCGGCATGGGCTACGCGCTATCGTGGGATCTGGTGGAGTGGATAGCGGCGTCGGATATTCCGGTGGCCGAGTTGAGGGGGCCGGAGGATAAGCTGGTGGGGCGGTGGCTCGACAGGGGGAAGAAGGCGGCCCACCGGCACACGGCCAAGAGGGCCATGTATGATTACCCCGGGGTCAACGGGAGGTGCTCGCACGAGCTCCTGCCGGAGACCGTCGCTGTCCACCGGCTGAAGACGCCGGAGAGGTGGACGACGGTGCTCAGGTTCTTCAACGCCACGGCGGCGCTCCCACCCTCCAAGCTCTACCGCTTCGACTGACCGCCCCCCCCCCCCCTCCCCCCTCTTTCTCTCTCTCTCTCTCTCTTCGGACATCAAGTATCAGATTAACAGAGCTGCTGCACCTTCGAAGCTCTACAGCTTCGACTGAGCCGACCGAACGCCCGCTGGGTGACCTTCCCGCCTCTTCTGCGGCTTCCCCTCTCCCTTCGCACCTCTCGCTATGTATAACGTTTGCTCAGGTGATCGTATTACAGTTTGTATGTCATCGTGTTAAGATTAGAGCTGCTCCGTACATTTGGAGAGAGAGAGAGAGAGAGAGAGAGAGAGAGAGAGAGAGAGAGAGGCTACCACAGGAAGGAGGACAAGGAGGAGTGCAGCGCAGAAGCGCAGAAGGCCATGGTGACCATGAGGAAAGGCCATTTTCCCGCCATCACCACCCCAGAGACGCTTCTCCACCAGGGCTTCTTCTCGCTCGCCGTCCTGAGCTGGGGGCTCGGGCTCCCCCACGGGTTTCCGCAGACCTTCGCAGCCGCCGGCGCTCCGGCGGCGGCGGCGTAGAGATGCACGCTGACCATCTTCGAGGGCTCGATCCTGTGAAAGAACGTCTCCGCCGCGCGGTGCCGGAATACGAGCAGCCTCTGGCGGGCCTCGACATTGCCGCCGTACACGTCGAAGCTCGTCTCGCCGGCCGCGCCGTCATGGTGGAATGTCCCTCCTCCCTTCGACTGCAGCCCGACGAAACCGAGGGTGTACTCGTCGGGTTGGGAATACAGCGGCGGCTGCTCCTCGATGAAGCTCGAGCTGCTGAACTCGTTCAGCCGACTCAGTTGCCCTGCAACCCAATTCCTAGTGAAGAAAACGATCGACGTGGAAAAGACGATACTAGGTCAAAACATGCATTACGATATGTGTGTGTTTATGTTCATTTAGAAAGAAAATAGACTTAAAATAAAAACAATAACAGTTGAAATAAGATCTAAGCCACATATTTTTTTTCATCTTTAGGTTTAGTTAGAATCGGATGGAGCAAAGCAAGAAGCACGCGCTAATACCTGCGCCATCTACTTCTCCCACTCCGAATGCTGAAACCTGACTGCACATCTGCAAATCTCCATCTTCCCTCAAGCTTACCTGCGACCCAGAAGAAAGCAATCGGAGATATGAAATAATATTTGACCTGAGAATGTGTACCCTTCTTCGGTTGGATCCCAGAAGAGGACATTGGCTTATGAGCAGTCGCACCTCGTGGGCTGTGTCACCGTCATGGGTTCTCGCGACCCTGAGATTCTCGACGACGTTCCTCTCCAATCTGAGCTCTTCTTCCATGTCGCTTATCTCGATCAGCCTCGCGTGCTCTCCCATCAGGTAGGGCTCCCCCATTGACCTTGAGAAGCCCGCATCGCCCGCCGTATGAGGGAACCGGGCACTCTCGTCTCTCCCACCGGCGAGAAGCTCCGCCCACCCGCCGCCGCCGTCGTCTTCGTTGGAGCGGTTGATCAGCTCCTGAGAGGCGGAGGCGACGGACAGGATTTCCTGCAAGATGTCCCTTCCAGCGTCGTCTTCCCCGTAGAACCACCCGCCGTCGTGAGCACTCGAGTCGGCGAAATCCAGCGAAGGGAACTCCTCCGCCACCAGCGGCGGCACAGAGAGCCGGTGCTGGAGCCTCGCGCACTCCAACGCCACGTCCACCTGCGTAGGGAGAAACCCTCCTGAGGCCCGGGACTAGAGAGAGGAGAGGAGAGGGAAAGTCACCGGCGGCACAAGAGAGATAGAGAGAGAGAGAGCGAGAGAGAGAGAGAGAGAGAGAAAGAGAGAGAAAGAAAGAGAGAGAAGAGAGGAACAGTGCCGCCAAACCTTGGACGGTATGAAGGGAAAGCTCGAGGACGCCAGTGCCTCGTCGGAGAGGAACTGCATCCAGCTGCCGTCGTCCCGCGCATCAGCATCAAGTCTGGTGGCGGCAACTGCGCAAGGTCGAGGCGGCAGAGCTTGAAATCCGCAGCTCTCCAGGTCGTCGGCTCTCTCGTCGCAGCTGGTGGTGGCGGCGGAGCCGTGCTCGCCGGAGGCCCACTGCAGGTGGCCGTCGTAGGTTGCGCCGTAGTGCTCCATGATCTTTGGGCCCGGCGCGCTCTTCTTGAACACCCGGCACAGCGCGTACGCGTCCTGCACGTCCACCAAAACAAGCCCCCCTCCATTAATATACAGAGAAAAAAAAAATGCAGCAAATAGAAGAAACATCCTATTCAAAATCTCATTTATCCTCACTGTGATCATACTTCTTCCCTGCTTTTCCAGAAAATAGAATCTGAACGTACATTAAATACGATGGATGATAGATGTACCAGAGATTCGTTGAAAACCAGGGTAGCGTAATGCCACCTATACACAAAACACTAAAATCACGCACTTAATCCCCGCCTGCATGCATGCATCCATGCATGCATACAGGAATCAAAGAACCAGGGGTTCTGATCATAAGCGAAAAAACCAGAACCAACGTCAGCACAAATTTAATCCCAACACACCGGAAGAAAGCTAACTAATAGTAATCAGATAGGTAGATAGATATATAGATAGATAGATAGATAGATAGATAGATAGATAGATAGATAGAGAGAGAGAGAGAGAGAGAGAGAGAGAGAGGAGAGAGAAAGAAAGAGAGAGAGAGAGAGAGAGGGAAAGGGAGAGGGAGAGGGAGAGGGAGAGGGAGAGGGAGAGGGAGAGAGGGAGAGAGAGAGAGAGAGAGCGGTGTTCGCACCTGCACGCCTGTGGCGGCTTCGCACTCCCTCTCGTCGAGGCGGTACTCGTGCATGACCCAGTCGGTGCGGGAGCCGTGAGGAGCTCTCCCCATGTAGTAAACTAGGGTTTTCTTCATGCCCACGGCGCGACGCTGGTAGCTCACCTTCCTGTCCTTGCCGGTCGCCTTCCAGTAGCCGGCGCGGGTGGCGCGGTTGGTCCTCGAGCCATTCGGGTACTTGCGGTCCCGGGGGCTGAAGAAGTACCATTCCAGGTCCTTGCTTGGAAGGAAGGACTTCTCTGCCATGGCCGTCCAGAACATGTCAGGTTATGATGTGATGGCGAAGAAGAAGAAGAAGAAAGGACGAAATACATGATGATGAGAGCAAATCTCAATTGTGGTGGATATTCGAGCACAAGTCGACATGGCCCAGATGCAAAAGTTTCGGAAATTGATGACTAAGATAATCTACTCATGAGTATATAAATGGGTGGAAGATCTTCAATTCCAGCCTCACCAGACATTTTCCGACTGATGAACGATCCTCAGCAAGACCAAGTTATGATAATGATGATGATGATGATGATGATGATGATTCAGAAGAAGAAGAAGAAGAAATTATGCGAGAACCCTCATTATGGATGGAGACGGCTTGTGTCATGCAGACTAAGATGATCTCCAAGAACAATCCTTTCCCGCTCGAGAATTCCCAACCAGGAATTCTACAAGATGGTACATCGACACCTCTACCGAAAGAAACACCGAATCGGCCTGCAGATTCAACCAGAAAAGGAGAAGGGGCGGGTTTCAGTATCTTCAGGCCTAGAAATCGGCCTGCGACTTCTCCCTTTGTGCTTTAGAGATTTTTCCATGTGGAGGAAGGTTTTGTCTGCTCCATCCATTTGGCTCAAGCGAGGACTGTAATCCACCACAGTGACCATCATGGCTCTTTCCCTTTGAAGAGATCATAGCAACTTCGCTTTTAATGGGATGGAAGGAAGAATGGGGCGGAGGGAAAGGGATAAAGTATCTGAGAAGTCAAGCAACCGCCCTGTTCTGGGTCCCCTCCCCCCCTCTACCCATTAATGGATTGATTCCGGAAATACTCTCAGGCTGGAATTGGATCTCGGAGAAGAGGAAGAGACGTCTGACTCCAGCGATGGAATGGAGAAGAGGAAATACCGATCGATTGCTCTTGAAGAAGAGGGGGGGCGACTGGAGAGGATGAATCGAATACCTGGTAGATCCCACGGCTCGCATTTGTAGAGATCGACTTCGGGGATGACCTCCAGCTCGATCTGCAGGCCGTTTATCTTCCTCCTGAGGTAGTAATAAACGAGCTCCTCATCCGTCGGATGAAACCGGAATCCGGGGGGAAGCACCGGCGCCATCTCTCCTCACGGCCTCCTCCGAATTCTCCAGAGATAGAATGAACTGGCTGTCACAAACCAGATGAACAAGAAGAAGAAGAAGAAGAGCGGAGTGAGGGCCCAACGAGTCCCCACTCCCCCAGATAACTTACAGACACCTGAAACCACAGGAACCAGAAATCTAGAGAGAGACAGAGAGAGAGAGGAAGAGGCGACCTGAGTTGAATTACAGGCAAAAACCGAACCCAATCATCCAGAAACACAGAACACGGCGGCTAGAGAGAGAGAGAGAGAGAGATAGAAGGGGGAGAAACAGGTACAGAGAGAGAGATAGAGGGAGGGAGGGAGAGAAGGTAGCCATGCCCTCCCGCCAAGCTTTATAACGTCGGCCTTCCTGCTTTCTCCTTTTCTTTTTCTCTCTCTCTCTCTCTCCCCGACGTCGATGCTCCTTGTCTTTTGCATGAAGCTTCTACCACGTGGCGAACAGTCATTGGCAGGATCAATCCAGTCATCCCGAACACTACATGACACCTGGCCCGGTTAACGGTTTTTACCGGTACGTCGGTTACGGACCGCGAGATCGCGACGTCCCGGGCTGTTGATCGGACGGCGGACACGCCGCCGGAGGTATCTTCACTGGGGGCTGGGGGAGGCGGCTGCCGACAGAGCGGGCCCCAGCCGCCTAGCTTTAGACACGTGGAGAAAGTGGGGTCCAGACTGGGCCTACTAGATCGCTTGGGCTGGTCCAGCAGGCGATCCCTTTTGTCCTGTTGGCGGGTTTTTTTTGGTGGGGCCCACTTCGCCACTACCTTTCCTTTTCAACAATCCATCCATCCATTCCCCCCTAGGTTCTTTCCCTCCTTTCCGGATTCATGCCCCACTGCGCCGCCCCCCACCCCTCTCTCTCTCTCACGATGACGTCATGGACAAATTATGTATCTACAGGCGTATGCTCTGTGCGTAGAATGTCGTATTAGGAGCCTTAATGGGCTGTATGGGTCTCGGAAGCCCGCAGAATTGGCCCATTGTTGAAACATGGGTATCAAAAAAGGGCCCGAAAAGTACGTTAAGACCAGACGCACCTCTCTCTCTCTCTAGAATGTACTGTTGGTTTCGGAGAGAGAGGAATGGAATGGAATTAGGGAGAGGGGAGATTGATTTGGGAAGAAGGAATGCCTCCCGTGGAGAGAGAGAGAGAGAGAGAGAGGAGGAGATGGCAGGTATTGGGATCGATGCTTGATCCGGGCCGAGGGGCAATCCCGAGCGAAAAGGCGCCAGCGTGAGGCTAGGAATCTAATGCTGCCTGGCGGCCGAAAGCCCACTTAGCAAGCAGAAGAAGAAGAAGCCTCTCTCTCTCTCTCTCTCTCTCTCTCTCTAAGGCTGCATGGCTCTTGCAAGCATGTTGAGCACGCGATGGGGGACTTTGGGGGGGGGGGGTTCAGATACCGGGAATAATGGGCCCAGTGTAATCAGCTGAGAGCACCGGATAATTCAACAAAAAAGAAATTAAAAGAAGAAGAAGAAGAAGAGCCAGGGGGCTCCTATATTTTCCTCCAGAAGCAACACCCATTCCAAGAAAGAAGCAGGAAATCAGCGCACCACACGAGTCCTTCCAGAGTTCAGTTACCATGCTCTCTCTGCTGCATTCAAAGGAACCCCAGAGATTTCCACCAGAACGGCCTCCAGGTGAAAAATTAATTGGGAATAAGGTCCTCGGTGTATGATTTAGTAGAGCAGATTTTTTAGCCAGGTGGAACCCCAATCTGGTGAAGATTTTCAGCAAGATGCAGGCTGAGTGAGAGAGAGAGAGAGAGATGAAGAAGATTCAGTGTGATTGGAGGAGGATAACAAGAACAAGAAGAACGAGGAGGAGGAGTCAAGAGAGGATTGAGCTGGGTTTGGCGAGGATCCTCCCCAATGATCTGCCCATCAAGGGAAACCAGTTGATCAGTCACCTCAACGCATTGCACAATATGAATACGGGTTGGAAAAGACATGAGGTGAAGCAGGAAGGAAGGAAGGAAGGAAACCCTCGCACAATATGAATTGTGGGTATATGACAATTTTGCGGAAAAGAGAGAGAAAATAAAAAATTAAGACAGAGAGAGTGAAATCAGGAACCTGGGTCTTGAAAGAATGCGTGGACTGGGCTGGGCCTCTCATAAAAGAAGCAGAATCGAGAGCTCGTTTTTTTCCTCATATGCTGATGCATCCTGTCTACTTCCCTGTAAGGAAACATGGCGGGGGGCTCTCTTAGCTCCCCGTTCTCAGCTCAAAAGTCAAAGAGAAAACAGAATCCAGGAAGCCGTTTACTTTCCCTGCCTCTTCACACGTGCTGGTGAGACACGATCAGTAGTGCATTGAGCATGATGTGGATGCCCGCTTCGTAGACCGCCTCATCATAATGCATTCCGTCTTCTGTACACTGCTCGCCGCAGTTGCTAGAAAGTGATCCAATATCCAGCAGCAAGAGAGGGCCGCCCCCCCTCTGTCTCAAGAGCTGACTTTCGTCTAGCTCCCTCAGATAGGCTTCACACATGGACTGGCTCATCTTCTCCCTCTTTTCCTCTGTATTCAACTTGGAGTTGACCAAGGTGGGCATCCCGAGCCAGAACATGTGAGAGGGCTGCGGTAGAGAAGAAACAGAGCCCGCAAATGGCCAATCCGAGCTGAATTCCGCCATGTTTGGGAGCAGAGACAGCAGCGAGGTCTTCACAGTCCTCAGAAGTCGCCCGTAGTCTGATGCGTTGTTCACATGGAGCATATGCCACATCCCAGTGCCCATGACCAGGACATCTGGGTACCTGCGGGCCGCCCTGAATCCGAGCAGAAGATCAGTAAGATTCGATTCGTAGGGCGCCCAGATGAAATCCAGCTTCATTCCGTGCTCCTCGTCCACCATCCGGTAATCGCTGTGCCGCTTGAAGAGATCCCTTTGGACGCCCTCCATTTCTGCGGAATCGAGGACCAATTTGAGCAGGGAGAGCACAAAAAGCCGGGCCTGAGAGTCACCGGCGACCACAATCCAGGACCCATTGAGGAGATCGCAGGCGTCCGCGCGGCCCAGTCTCTGAAACCCGCAGGCGGCTACCGGGCTCGATCGATCCCAGTTCCAGGAGCGTCTGGAAGAATTGGGGCCCCGCTCGTGCTCCTCCCAGACGATGTCGTTCAGGAAGGAGAGACAGGATTCCTGGGAATCGGGAGAAGAGAGGGAGGAAATGGAGGAGAGGAAGACTGAGACGGACGGGATGTAGGGGGTCAGGTGGACGCCGACGGCGAGGGTGATGAAGAGGGCGCCGCTGAAGAAGAGCATCTTGTTGCGGCTGAGGTGCCAGCCGGCCATCCCCATGGGGACGAAGAGGACCACGCAGGCCACCAGGATGCCGAATTGGACGGCACCCACCATCTCCGCCCCGCCGATCGCTGGATCCGCCGAAAAGGGAGTCTCATCTAACGGCAACGAAACCGGAGGAAGAAGAAGAAGAGGGGGAACGGATGGGGGGTGGAGGAGAAGGAGTTCGTCGCGATCTTCACCGACGATGGATTCCGCTCTGAAGGACGATGGGCACCGCCATAGTTTGGGCCCACAGTCTCTACAGAGAAGCAGGGGCCAGACTTCCACGCGATTTCAGCGGCCGTTGCCCCTCCCCTCTGGTAGCGGCATCTCGGTGTGGGTGTGCCCGTTAACAGGGCTGTCCTTTTACCGTCTAGGGTTCCGTCGTCGATCTCCTCTGGTTCCGGTTCCTCTCTCTCTCTCCCCCACTTGCTTCCCCCGGATATAGCGGCCTTCTCCTCGAGGGTTATTAGCAGAGCAGAGGTCGCAATCCTGGCTGTCTCTCTCTCTCTCTAACTCTGATGGGGCACGCGTGTTAGCATTTTCCACGCAGGCGGCAGAACATAAAGTTCCCCTCACTTTCTTATACTGCCATCGGAAAAATGAGGCCGGCGGGGCGGTCGGCCGTCGCTCTTCCGCTCACAGTGAAAGGAAGAGAGAGAAACTCGTCCACTGTTTCTTTTACCTTACTAATTAATTAATTGCCGGGGGAGGGGGGGTGAGACATGCCCCTCGTGCGGACCAAGGCCAACCACAAAAGGACCGCGACGGTCCAACCAGACCACAAAACATAGTGGACAGCGAGACTGACGGACAAGTACGGGCCAGCGGACTCGATCTTGTCGGCCGATGTAATAAGCTTAGGTCGGAGTCTCAGGCCGCCCTCGTGGGCAAATGGATTCGACAGTATAATGGTCAACGGGGGTGGGGGGTTGATAAAAACCAATCTCTCACATTATATGATCGTTGATAACATCCGCGCGATTTAAAAAATTGTGTTCATATGTTTTTCTTATTGTTTAGGAACGCATAAGATAGGGGAAAGTCGTAAAGACACAGAAGAGAAAAATGTGGGAGATCTCTGAACCGAGGATTTACCAGGGAAGCGAGGTCAAAGCGATTCCTCCACCTAGCCCTCCAGGGTGGCCCCGTCGGGGATCAGCAGCTTCTCTCCGGGATCAGCAGTGACGACCACTTTGCCCTGCCGAGAGGGGGAGAGGGTGGGATGATGTTTCGAGTACCTTCAAGCTGGTGGCTTGACTGTTGAAGGGGTAAACTCAGTACCTCGAGGACTACATTGGCCCCGAAGGAGACATCGCCGACGACCTTCAAGCTGTCGAGGTCAATGATGCTGGGAATGGACTTAAACCGGGAGAGGAAGCTGGAAACCTGCAAGGGAAATCACACGATTACAGAGAGATGAAACAAGAGAAGACCAAAAGGAATCAGTCGGACGAGGGAAGTCCACCTTCTTGAATTCCGGACCCAAGTCGATGGCAGGGTTGGCGGGGTTGGTCCTAGCTTTGTTCCGGACCAGAAAGCCGTCGGCCAACGTGTAGAGGTCCGACTGCAGCGCGGTGGGATGCAGTTAAGAGAAGACGAGAGATGGGGTTACATATCTGAGGAGAAAGAGTGGTGAGACCCGTTCCGCTGACCTGGACGAGAAGCAAGTCTGACGTGGCCTTTACGGGGAGGAACCGGGATCGAGGGACGTTGACCCCGATAGCATTATCGAAGAACTATCAGGAAAGAAAAGAGAACGCTTGCGGTAAAAAAACAGGGCGGGGGAGATTTATGGAGAAACATAAATGTTGATATTCGAGCTTACGCGGATCGCTGCCCCGGCTGCTGTTTCCAGCTGGAGGATTTTAACACCATCTACCTCCTGCAAAGTCGGAGTTTGGGTTACTTGATGGGGAGAGGGGGAAACGATGGGGTGTGTACGCTGAGGAGCAAAGAGTGACGCGGACCTTTGGGTTGGGAATGATCTCCATCTTCAGTGCATCACCCTCAACGAGACGCTTTATGGCCTTCAGGTTGATCCATCTGCGGAAATATCTTCCGTAAGAACTTTGAACGCGATGAGGTCAGATATCGAGGCTAAGGAAAGGATCGTACAGGTTGTTGGTGTTGAAGATCTTGAATTTTTCGATCGACTTGAATTCATTCACCTGGAGAGAGAAATTAAGAAAAACGGGACGGCAGCAGTTCAAAAGCTGTGGAGTTCAATTCATCGCTGTCACCTAGTTATCGGTACAATAGGAAGATGGAGGCCAGCATTACTTACGTGCTCGTCAGGAACCTGGGCGATTTCTAGGAGCTGCATTTCATTGTAGCAAGAGCAAAGTCACTGATCGCTGAGCAAGAGCTTAATAAATGAATACAAATTACACATTACGACGAGGAGGAAATAAACAATCTGCACACGAATCATCTCGCCAACTTAAATCAATCAATATTTATTCAATCATTAGATTGCAAGATAAGGAATCAAACTGGTGGTAGTTTCACCTGAGCAAACAATAACAACCTAACAATAACGATACTCGAAATGGCACCAACAGAACTGGAGATTGTTTCTTCTGTGTTTCTTTATTTGTTTCTTTTTTAAGGGCAATGATGTCAACATCCAACATCTTGAGAAATCTAGTATGCATACAAATTAACAATAACTCCCCACCACATACCTGAACCCTCCCTTCATATGAAATCAGGGTACCACCTTTAACATCTGCCAAGGTTTTAGGTGTAACCTGAGAGAAAGTATGTTCAGAAAATCAATATCACTATGGATCCATCATGGTTACATTTATTTAATCAGCGGCAGCATTTGAACCTCCATGCAGTACTCATTTTGGTTGTGGATTAAGTGACTCAATATCTCTATTCACGTTAGTCAAGGAGAATCTATGTTGATTAAATTGAGACTCGCACGGTTGTAGCATTGATGAAGGCAAGAAGAAAAACAAACGGGTCGACTATAGGATACTTATATCGACAATCGCACCCAAGTTGTCGGAGTTGGCAACAAAGACATACTCTTTGCCCTGGAAGAAAATACGAATTAAGATGTAGACTAAAAATAACAAAAACTTATAGACAGTATGATAAAACCAACTTTACAATGCAAACCTGTGATAGGAAGAAATCAAGCTTGCCACTGTTTGCCAAGGAAGGAAACACGTCACCATGGCCAGGAGGATACCTACAGAATTGAAGAGTGCACACATAAGTAAAGCACCATTTAGGTTTTGATGAGGACTCTGGTATTGTAGAGAACAGAAGCTAACAAGCATGTGACATAAGATACCTACCAGCCATCTTTCCCTATCTGAACTTTGCTTGGTAGTGGAACAAAATCTTCAACAACCAAACGAGGGTATTGGCTCTGAATTTTTGGATTGAACACCATAAGAACTATGGTAAAACTTAAAGCACAGGTAATAATCACATAAAAAGCAGAATACACTTGCCTGATTAAAAGTATGTATCGCAATATTTGAATTCGAATATTTCTCCACAATCTTCACGAATAATATACCAGAATGTTAAAATTGAAGCAAGAATGCAGACTTCTCTTTCCTATGGCTTCTACCTCGAAGTCAAGGAAAAAGGGACTCACCTTCAGTGTATCATCGTGTGTATTGAATGAGTTCATCAGAACAAGTGGAACATTGCATCCGTATTTGGCATTTAGAGACTACTCAATGCAGACAAATATCAGTTACACTGTACGCAGTCTCAGAAATTACATTGAAATGAGAAATCTTATACCTCAATTTGTACGACAATCAGGTCAAGAAATGTCAATCCATCTCGAACTTCAATTACAGATCTGCGGTGAATTATGAATACACCACAGAGTAAATAAAAATGTTTCAAGAAAATCGCTGTACGGATGCAAAAATAAGCTACTCTATCTTTCTCACGACATTCCAGAAAAAAATAAACTTGAAGGTTCCATAGGCATCAGTTCAATCAACTTCGCCATATAATAATCCATAAACCATGAAGATGACAATGGACACTGAGATCCGACAGACATGAATGGTGTACCCCTTCTTCCCTTCCTTTAAGAAACATGTTTTCTGCCATGTGTCTTATCCAGCACGAATAATAGGTAGACAGGGAACACGAGAAACTCATTTTAATTTTCCCATTTGCAACTGTCTCTGAATATAGATATTGAAATCTGTCATCTGTTTTACATGCAAATTCATTCGCATTGACTTCTACAAGTTGTCGGCTGTGATGTGGAAAATAACAATGAGGTTCTGTTTTGCAAGTGGAGGATTGAACCATAAACTTAAATCACAAGACAGGTTGTCCGAACCTGCAAGGCTGATAAAAATCTTTCAACTAGAAGAACATTTTTCCTATGTATTCTTGAGCATGTGCAGTCAGCCCCCAGCGAGTATAACGTACTAATAAGCACTGCCTCTGACGTTCAAGAAGATCAAGTGTGCAACTAATGCAAAGCCCGAGAGCATTATCACGGAACTTAGAGAGACAAGAGCACAATGGAATAACAAGACGATGTGCTACTGTAAAGCAACACAGATAATTGTTTCGATTCCTCAATCAACCAAATTCTCCCAGAAAAAGAAGAGAAAAACATCACAGAGGAAAGACAATGAATCTCACTTTGGGCCAGTGCAGCCCATCGTCGTTCCCAAACCTCCATTGAGCTTCAGGACGACGAGCTTGTCAAGAAGCTGCTTCGTTGATTCAATATCTAAATGGATCCAGCACAGTCAAAAACCAATCTCCAAAAAGTGATCCTGGATAACCAAGTAGAGTGATAGGTACCTTCTGGAGGAGGTCGCAAGCTGTCATAAGGCACGACCACTTCTTCTGTCGGTGTCTGGATCTTGCTCCATTCGATCTCCTGTGCTTCTCCACTAAAAAATAGGAGAAACGGAAGAACAAGAGGATTGCTGGCGTAATCAGAAGAAGATACCAACGTCTTGAAGTGCCTCCACAAATAAATACGCCTCGAGCCAACGTCAATTACTGAAAAATAAAACCACAAAGGATTCGAACCTACCTCAGGTATCTCGTAACGAGGCTGATGAATCCGACCTTTTCGTTCTCACTGCAAGAGATTTCGAATCGAGCCGGATCTGAGAGCATGCATCTAGGGAGAAAAGGATAAACAATAGATCCGTCCACATTACGGTACAGAAGGCGCTTTCTGACCTGATCTGGTCGAGGTCTGCGACTTTCTCCTGGAGCTTAGACAGTTTCTCTGCCTCGGGGGACAGGGAAGCCGCTGCCACAGCCACGGCAGCCATCGGCGGGCGGTGAGCCTCGAAACGGAATGAAGATGCGGGCAGCGAATCTACAGGCCGCAACGCAGGAAGAAGCGATAGATCACTAGCACCTCATATTGTATATATCACACATAGCTCGGCGATTGGCTTGTTGCTCGCTTCTCCATAGACCGCAGGCCCGCACCTCACTCATTTTGTCTTACTCCCGGCGTCCGCCCCCGCCCCCAAATCGCACGTGACAGAGATGACTAAAGAAAAAGGATAATCCAGCTCACGCCATCGCCAACCCACGAGCGCCGCCAAACTACCCACCGACCAGAGGGGGTGTCTTAACGACCGACCCCTGAGAAGGATAGAGAAATACATAAATAAATAAAATAAAAACACCCCTCTCTCCGCTCCTCTTCGACTATGTGGAGTTCGTGGCTTTGACTTTTCTTCACCATTCCAGGGTCAGAGTTCCCAGGCGGGGGCGAACCAGTGGGGACTTCCAGAAAGAGGAAGGTGGGGAATATATGGTATGGTTCGGCATGTACAAAGAGGAAAACACTCTGGCGGGGGGGAGATCGATCAGCACCATCTCTGCCCGTCGCGTTCAGGAAGGTATGTGGTTATCCAGGGTGTAGCCATTGGGATCGGACGGGCTCGAACCGGGTCTGCAGCAGAATAAAAAGAGGAAAGCTTCACTCGAGATCATTCAGGGAGAGTTGACTCGGGGGTTTCGTTCAAATGGGTGTTTACCTCTTGTTTATGATGCCGTAGTGAAACCTGACGCTTCCGGCCCTGACGTCTTCAATGTACTGCAGGGAGAGTCGGTCATTACATGAGCAACGAGTTCATCGAGATGGGGAGAGAAGGAAGAACAGTCTGAGGTCTATAGCATACCAATTTCATGGCGACGATGATGGACGAGAAGGCGAGGGAATCGAAGGGGATCTCATCGGGGGCAAAAAGCGCACATTCCAATGACTCTGGGCCCGGTGAGAAGTGGGGCTTTCTCAGTTTAGCTCGGAAAATGACATAACTCTGTATTGCAGGTGACACGAGATGGATGATCTTCACGACATTAATGGCAATTCAGTATACAGAGTACCGAGGATTCGGAAGAGAGTTCTCCCCACGTGGCCTATTCCAGGGATGTCGAGCTGGGCGAACGGTGAAGTCACTTCCACGTCCGCACATGCTTCTTCCAGGGTTTCCCTGGTCGCCCCTTCCATGGCGGATTCCCCGACTTCCAAGTATCCTGCAGGTATGGTCCTGCAAAGACATCCAAAAGAGTGGGGGGGTTTCAGGGCATCCGAGGGTTCGTTTGGGTTTCGAATCCTGACACAATATATCCATCAATCAGGACACGCGCATGCCAAACATTAGTTATTATTCCGAGCTAATCTTTCAAATGTTTCCCGGTGATAACCGTGCTTACAATGTTCGGATCACGAGAAGAAGAAGAAGAAGAAGAAGAAGAGACAGACTTCTCACAGATTTTATCATACTAGGTGATTAGATAATTTAGGACTAACAGCCAGAAGACAATTTTTTCGTTTGGGAAACACTGTAACTGAGCTTTTCCGTATGATTAAGCATCTATTGACGTTCGGCACTGAAGAAAAAGGGATTTTATTTCACATCATATCTTAGTTGATACAAATACAGAATTAAGATTTCCACTCTTAAGTCCAGACATACGACAGAAAGACTACTGCAAAGTGCGTACCAGAGTCCAAATGAAGGTTCAATCTTCCGTTTGCATAGCAGAACCTTATCGTCGTGCTCCACTACGCAACCAACAACCTGTAGAAACCATTGGTAACGAATGAGCATCAAAAATAGATGGCAAGCTTCAACTTCTAGCATTGAATATGCGATAAAAGAAAAGGATCATAGACTACAAAATGAAATTTACGCCATGTAATGGTGCAAGCATTAATATATCCATTATATAAAAAGCATACAACAACAGTTGAGCAAGCTGAACAGCAAAAAATCTTTCGATGTTTTCGTCACTTTGCCAGTGAAATTGAGGAGGAAAATTCTTCGTTATAAATCATAACACTTTTCCAGACGCTCTGCCGTCTGTGCCATAATGCACTTTACCCATTCTCGAATCTTCTATAAAAAACCAACCAAGAAAATTCGCACCATTGATACCTTCCTCCTGTGACTCTCTCTGAATATGGGACGAAAGTATTGTACCTGGGTTTTCGATATCCTAGATTTGCATCTATGGTACATTATTTCCTTGAATTTCTGCTACTTCTAGAGCAGAAAGATAAAAGACGTTGACCTAAGAATACAAGGCATCCATTTAGATAGAAACTCGATTCTTTTATGAGGGGACTAAACTTCAGCAGAAAAACTCCAGATTACAAACTCTATAGATACAGACGTTATTAAAATAAAACGGCTGCTCCAGCATTTAAAAGACGGTTCAAGAACTCAGAAAAAAAAAACCCCCACTAAACAGATATAAGTAACTGGGACCTAGACATAGCTCTACAAAACGTGGTAGACAGAGGACATGTTTGATGCTCATAAACCTAGATAAATCTTTACTTTGATGTGGATTATCAACGCTGACATGCATCGGCATAAACTCATCGTGTAATTGCAGAGACCATTAAGAAACTAGACCACGTTTCGTTCCTGATTCCCTACCTGACGCGAGTGACTATACGAATTTATGATATTAATTCCTCTGTTCATTGGGTCTGGGTGGTTTTCTTTTTAACCAGAAATGAATTTGCAAAAGGCCCCTTTCTCGAAATACCAATGCTAAAGCCTTTTTCAGCGACGATTTTCCCTGCCTTACCTGGAGAATATTATCCGTCATATTCAAGTTCAGCATCCAGTTCTGAGCCTTTGAACATGGCAATTCTATCAGTATGGTCGTTCAATATTCTATTTGGTTCCTAAATTTTTTGGATATATCACCTTTCCTAATATGAATAGAAGTGTTGAATTGACGATGTGTGATAAAATAAACTCACAATCACAGCCGATGATCTGGCTGCATTGATAAAGTCAGCCAGAGTTCATTTTTCTTTAAGAATCCGGTCACGATAATTAAGGCATACATGGCATATATATTAAGCGATGGTAATTTAATCATTCCTCGGATCCATCGGGCAAAATGTGGTTGCAGAAACTACACAAGCAAAAGATGCTCACCATTTTTGGATTCTCATAGTGTATTTTCCCGCAAACCGTGCAAACTGCCCTGAGTTTCTCGTCTCCATCTGGCACAATAGGATTAGTTGGAGAACCGCAAGACTGACAAAACCTAATCCGGAGTTTGTGCGCCTAAAACAGTAAATAAAGTGTCAATTCCCGGACAGTCTAAACAAGAAGAACTGATAATTGGCGGCTTATTTTTGTAACCATCCTCGTGACAATCATCTAGAGAAGTTGTAAATCCTACGACTTCAGTCTGTATAACAGACTGAATCTGAGCGACGAACAACATTCTTAAAGAGCACACTAAGATCAATCAATAATCCAATGTTCGTGCAAGGACCGTTCGTATACTTCACTTGATCGATGTTAAACCAAAGAGAAGCATAGACCATGAAATTAACTGGGAGATATAAACTCGCGTGCACCGCACACTTGCGAAGAGAGTAGGACGAATGCCCGCGACTCACCGGGGTAGTCACCGAGACAGGTGAAGATGCCCCGTCGGCATCCGTACTCCCTTCCAATGCCTTCGCAGAAACCAAGAAGGATCTGAAATTTACGCTGTGCGAGGAACAGAAGGCCGGACCGAGCAGCAGCAGCGGATGAAGAGCTCCCCTGCACCTCGTCAGGCACGAAGCCCCTCGAAAGGAAGCAGAGAATCTACGAGGCTTCCATCGGTGCCGAGGAATCAGCTCCAATCCTCGAAACAGGCGGACGGATCTGAACATCGATCTCCCCTTCGAGACAGCGAGTCCCCTCCCAAACAATTGGGGGCCGCCGTTATCAAGACGGCTGTTGCGACGGTTGCCCCGGGAGACGGCGATCTCCGACTCCCGTGACTCGGCCGAGTCAGGCGAGACGATTCTCACCGGTGGGCGGTGTCTCCGATTCCCTTCGCTTCATTCCTCGCAGTCCGAATATTTCTGATGAATTATGAATTTAGTTAATTATCCCAACAGACAAAATAATGTCTCCTACGTGGAAATTCCCGTTTTTTATTGAAGTAAAGTAAATAGGATTTTTCGGGATACGATATCAGTGAAAACAAAGTATTTCGTCGACGAACACTTCTATATGATATTTTTTATCCTTAGGACCCTACAAAGACTATAATATCGTCATTTAACCTCATAATTAAAGACTTCACATATGTGCCATAAATGGCGCGTGGGTGGAGAGTAACTGAGGTTATAAGACTAAATACCGTCTGAATAGGATTCTCACTTGAGGAACAACACAGATGTTAAAACATAGAATCAAATGGTTACTACTAAATAATACAATTTTTTTGGTATCGAAATCTAAAACTCAAGCTAATAATCCAGATCAGACTGTGGCTCACCTTATTTGGTGATACACTCTAAACGTCGGAGCCCGAGAGTCGCTTATCTGCTCTTTTGGTTACGGCGCAACGCCGATCCAACTTCCGCGTGGAGGGCCCGACAGTAATATCTGGGTCATTATTAGGGGTATTTTGGGTAACTATTGCATCGTCAAGAGTGTCCTAATTCTTAAACATCCGGCGTCAACTTTCCTCATTTTCATGTAAATTCGGGGGGCCCTGCAGTAGAAAGCGAGTCGTTGCCCACTTTCTCCCGCACTACGCCGCCGGCGCCCTCCTTCCCTCGCTCCCTCCCTCCCTCCCTCCCTCCACCAGAACCATCCTTCTGGTTTAAATTCTCCACCGGCTGGATTATTCCGATGGAACCCTAGGAGGACGTTCTTCTCCAGCCTTCCCGGGAGAGGCATTATCTCCTCTGTGGCTCTGCTGTGGAGATCTAGGCGTGGAATCCTCGGTGGGAGCCGGTGGCGCGGAGTCGTCCCCCGCGTTCTCTCTCCCTCGGCGAATTTCAGGGCTTCTTCGTGGAGGAAATGAGGGATGTTCTCGTGGCTGACAAGGATTGCGACCGCGTGCTGGCGTCCGGTCCAACGGTACGCACATATGTACAAGGATGAGAACGTTGACGATCCGCTGTTGTGGTCCAAGGACATTGGTCGGCACTCGGTGGGGGAGTACTCCTTCGCTGTCGCCCAGGCTAACGAGTCGATCGAAGACCACAGTCAAGTGGAGACCGGGCGCGCCGCCACCTTTGTCGGAGTTTACGATGGCCACGGGGGGCCAGATGCCTCACAATTTGTCTCTGATCACCTATTCCTTCATTTGATTAGTGAGTTCCTATGCTTTGTTCTCTGTTTCTGTTCGGACGAGGCGTGTTTTGATCTATTCAATTGGATTTTCTGTGCTATCTGCCGTACTGTTTATTTTTCGTTCTAGGTTTTTTGGCTAGTCGATACGAGTTAACTTTACAAATTATTTTGTTTTCCACTCTGCTACATTGATGCTAGCTTGCGATGAGATATATTTATTTCCAAGTAATTAGCAGAGCTTCACTTGCTACATCATTGTGACACCAGACTAGTTAATTATTCCTTTGTTTAGATTAAGGACTACTTCTTCTCCAACAAGTTTGACCAAGTAAAAGGGAAGTTTCCTGCATACATTTGCTGAATCTTATTTCTTGTAACGCCACATGGACTAGATAAGACCAGATTCTTTTGACAACGTTGACATTGTAGCTTGGACATTAAAAGCGGTGATAGTCGTGTGTGATTCAGATCATTATCTTGGAAAATGGCCACGACACTTTTTCTATTTCAAATGGATTAATCTTCTCTCGTGGTAATGGAGAATATTTTGAAATTCCCGGCATGTCGTGCGATTTAATGTTAGATATTTATTTTTGACGGTGCAGAGAAAAGTATGCTTTTAGCAAAATATCTTCTAAACAATGATTAAATGGATCTCGATATTAACAAAATAAAAGCATGAAAATGCACATGGCTTCCACAGTTGTTGTCTTTTGCTACATTTGCCTGAATTTGGTGGACTGTCTGACGGATGTCAATTGTAATATAGCACGATAATAAATCGCCAATTTCTGATTCACCTACTGTAGGTAATAAGTCTCGGGCTGAGAGGACGTTGAAACTTTTGTGAGTAAACGGAATAACTGTGAAATAAAGAATTGAGAGAGTTAGAAGTATTATGCTGATGCTCAATACGACTTTTTCCTTTGAAATTTAACCTCTTCATTTAATCAATGAATCAATTTCTATGTAGAATATGCATCAGTAATCAGTATGGGCAAGCGAAAAATTCGAAGTGCTTATGAAGAGTATTTACCATGTACAATGTAACCTTTTGCTAGTGAACCACTGTGATGTGCCATTTTAGAAGTAATATCTCAATGTTATATCTGATCTTGGTGTTGAAATTTCATCCTCTTCTGTCAACTTTTCAATGTGTCAGTACGGTATGCATGAATAGTCATTGTTGGAAAAGTAGAAAATCGAAACTAGTTCACCTTCGGGTAGAAGAAGCAGAAGTCTATGTATAATTTCCCCTGTTAATCAAATGCTGTGACGTGTCATCTTAGAAGTAACAAGTATCTGCTTTCATGTGATTTTGCTTTCAAAATTTAATCCACTTTCTATTTCCAATAGATCATTTTTTCTGTAGGATCTGTAAGAACAATCATTACTGGTCAAGTAGAAAATTCAAACGAATGTGCCTTTAAACCTTTGAACTTGAATAATTCGTAGATTTTCTTTTCTTGTAAATGAACTGTAATCTTTGACTGTGTATTAAAGTGAGAAGCAGTCGAAGAATCAACATGTGCTGAATCATCACCACTTTGTTTGCACAATGAGACACACTCAGGGTTCAGTATGGTGTTGGTGTGATATTTTTCAACTGATGTGCTTGGTCATTGATTGAGTTTATTACCTCATTTTACATTGATCATCATGGGAGATTCGGGGCATGGTTTGGTTTGCCCAGAGGTGAAGATCTTCAGATTTCTCCAATCGGGGGAGTTATCCTTGCCTCCTGATTGCCCAGAAGCGTAGATTTAACTCGAAGCATTCTACATGCCACTACCATTTTCCGAACCTAGAGCCTTCATTAGAGAGAAATCAGTCATTTGCCTACCTAAGTGAAGCAGTGCAGGAAAGAGGATCTAGTTTGGATTATCACTGAAATATTTCACAAAGCCTGACGATTATCAATGTGAAAAGTGAAAGAATAGTTGCTAATCATGATACTATATATGGACGGATAATTATATTTTTTACAAATTTTTATAGTGGATTCTATGCATTGGCGTAAATTTTCTTTCAAAGGCTTGTTGGTTCTAAATATGACTTACCTGTGCAGCTTCTTATTAGGTTCATTTGGCAATTACCATTTTAAGTTTCGTTGAATTTATATAGATAGTCCCTGTGTTTCTCCTTGGTGAGAATCAAGAGCCCACCATATCAAAAGGAGAGAAGACCCATAAAAGGGGAGACAAATTACAGCCATACACGCTATAATGATGGTCTGCTATGTCGCACTTTACTGGATCACAAACGCCCCTATGATTGCGTCAGGATTGCTATGTTCTCTGAGTAATCCACCCATCTATCTGGAAAGTGAGACAATGATTCGCCCTTTCGGTGATTAGACTGCTTCTGGAGATGGATGTAAACCATCAATCTATCTCATCTACTGCATCATTGAGCCATTGTCTGTTGACAATTTTTATCTATATATATATATCTATACAGTCGAAGCCTAACAGAGATGGAATATTTCTCGTAGTACCAATGATGATAGACCATGCTGTGGTGTTTGCTTCATTTGACTCATTCATGATATGTTGTCGTAATGTGCAAAACTGTGGGTTTTCTTGTGTGGACCAGTGGGTATAAAAATTGTAGGGTCTGTGTATTTATTTTTCTTTTTTCTTTTAATTCAAAGGACGTTCATGGAAGGTTCTTGTTTCTTTGACTCGTTTGACTACACGTAGTTGCCATAGCACGAGGGGGGAAGCATAATGGATTTTTATCCTCATGTTGGCAGGACTAGGAGGACAATTGGAAAAATAATAATAATGATAATTAACTGTCTACTACTGCTTCATATTGTGTTCATCCTTTCTACACTAGGCACACGCCACCGACCATGCTGGTTCGATTTGATTCCTTCTGAATACATGATATGAAGCATGGGTCCATCGTTTTGACTGATTGATGTCTTACATGGGGCGTTGGACTTCGCAGGAATTGCTCGGGAAACTGGGACAATCTCTGAGGATGTCATTAAAAATGCATTTTCTGCTACTGAGGACGGATTTCTTGCGCATGTGCGTAGAATGCGCCAGGTAAAGCCGCTGATTGCTGCTGTCGGGTCCTGCTGTCTTCTTGGAATCATATGGAGAGGGGCCCTTTACATAGCTAACCTAGGAGATTCGCGAGCTGTGATGGGCTGTGTGGGTAGATCGAACCACATTGTCGCTGAGCAGCTGACTCTCGACCACAATGCAAGTGTGGAGGAAGTTAGACAAGAACTCAGATCTCTCCATCCAGATGATTCCCACATCGTGGTCCTCAAGCATGGTGTATGGCGAGTCAAAGGCATCATACAGGCAAACTTCTGCTTCGATTAGCTTGGTCGCTCCTCTCTGAAATTCTAAACATTTGACTAAAAAACAAAAAAAATCGTCCCCTTCAGGTCTCGAGATCCATCGGCGATGCTTACTTGAAGAGACCTGAGTTTGCCATCGACCCTTCGGTGCCTCGTTTCCGGCTCCCAGAGCCCCTAACCCGCCCAGTACTCTCGGCTGAACCATCTGTCATCAGAAGAGTTCTTCGCCCACATGACAAGTTCTTGATACTCGCCTCTGACGGCCTCTGGGAACATCTGTCGAATCAAGAAGCTGTCGAGATCGTGCACAGTCACCCGAGAGTAGTATGCTCCTCTCTCTCTCTCTCTCTCTCTCTCTCTCTCTCTCTTTCTATCTGTCTGTCTGTCTGTCTGTCTGTCTGTCTATTGATCGCTTTCTCTGTTCATACATGGTAGGGTATTGCAAGACGCCTTGCACGAATGGCATTGCAGGAGGCGGCCAGGAAGAGAGAGATGAGGTACGTGGATCTCAGGAGAGTCGAGAAGGGGATCCGCCGCTTCTTCCACGACGACATCACCGTCATCGTCGTATTCATCGATCACGAGCATCTGGTGCAATCCAGTGTCGACGTGCCCGAGATCTCAGTCCGCGGGTTCGTCGATGCCACCGGGCCTTCAGAGTTCTCTGTGTTGGACGGGATGTGACTGTGGGAGACGAGCTGTCCAAACCCTGACCACATTGCTGGCTTCTTAGACAGGTTCAAGTTTTTCCCCTGTGACTTCCTATTGCATTGATTTCTGTTCATTGCATTCCCATTACAGTCTATTGAGCACTTTCCGATCACAATCTTAGTGGTGCAGGCTACAAATACCCGTTACGATTTTAAATGGTAAATAAAAATATCATTCGAATACCTTTGATGATCCTGGTTTCCTAGTAAGTTGGAAATTCCTCTCCCGGCTGATGTACCGAATGTCCTAGAGCCTCTTATGGATGGGCACCGGTGAATATGCATATTTTTCTTCTTATTGATGTTTACTTTTATTAGAAATAATATCTTGCACGGTCGATTGTGGAATCAAGAACGCTTGGCGCCATGCGGAAGCTTGAAACTCATTTGTCCACCACATTTGCTGAGGACCTTCCAAGGAAATTGGAGCAGATTCGAACCTCTGAGGGACAGCGTCAGTATGCTCCTCGTGCATAGCAAGTCAGGTCTTTTGTCTCCCAGGTCAAAAGGATTTATTCTTTCTAGATCCTTTAATATTTTTTCATGATAAATCATATATATATATATATATATATATAATCCAATATGCATTCGCACACACAAGAGACCCAAGTATAATATTTTTTTTTAAAAAAAGAGCTCCTTCACTGTGAGAAGATTAATATTCATGCCAGTACAAGTGTAGATATGAAATTGAGTTGATATTGTAAGATGAAATAAAAGTCAGAATGAGTTTGACAATTTTTATCAATATTATCTTATACTCTTTAAGTTTTATGCAATCCAGATTTATATAAAATATAAGATTTAAATCGCTTCATATATCTCCCAAGAAAAAAATTAAATTAGAATTTATATGCTTTCATAGCACGGGAGATCATTACCCTGTGAATATATATTTATTAAAAATCTGGAAGGTTTTGGGAGGCCAATCACTCGCAAACTCTAAAAATCATTTTCATATTTTTGTCTGGAAATTATTTCTCGAGTGACAACAAGTCATTGACCAGCGTGAAGAAGCCCGGTTAATCTGGAGAGCAGTCAAAGATTCCCCCAGATGATATCTTTACCATTGGATCAGATCGTGGAGGGTTTGGGCGAGGTGAGGGGGGAGTCAGGTCAGCAGCGTGGAGATACGCGCCAAAGGCAACTTCTCCACCGTTTTTTGTCGTGACGTGGGCACAGGGTTTTCAAACGGAGCCCCCAACGCGGCAAGCTTCGACGTAGCATGTCGGATCGGGGAGTCGGGTACCTGATGGACGAAGCACGCGCCCCTCCCGGAGACTCAGTTTTGGGGGGGATCTTCTGGACAGCTGGTTAGCGCCAGAGGTATAAACCCTCCGCCTTGCGCCCCGGAGGAGATTTCTCGGAAGCTATCTGAACGTTCGGGGCCTCAGTGGCCGCCTCGGAGTGCTTGCCGGAATCGGATTCGGTGCTTGGATGCAGGGTACGGGAGGATTTGGCTAGGTTCGTGGCGGAGGAGGGGGCCGAGAGCGTAGTCTTCGGAGGATCCGCGGAGGGCCTCTTTCGATCGTGAGCTCTGTTCTCATTTGGTATTCCGTGTTCGTAGCGCCCGAATCTCTGCCGAGGTGTTCGTCTCTTCGCGCGGGTTTGGGCAGTCGACCTCACCGTTTGTTCGTGTGGAGCCTCTCCCGCCGGTCACTTGTCTTACATTCTCCCCGCTAGAGGGTTTTGTTTTGTTTCAGTTTGGTCTGTTCCCGCTAGGGTTTTGTTCCTCTCTAGCTTCGAGATAAGGGCGGGCGTTGTCTGCTCGTCTCAGCGGATTATATCAGTTACCCGAGAAATCATGACGTTTGGCGAGCCTGATCGGATGGTATTTACTTATTTTGTAATTGGAATAGCTTTGCTCTGTGTGTAACATTTTACATCAGTGTATCGTCCTTGCCCATTTCAGAAAATGTCTCGGGTGGAAGCCAACTGGGAGCGGTTGGTGAGAGCAGCATTGAGATGGGAGCGGGCGGGAATAGATGCCGTAGGAAGGCCCGTAAGTGGAATTGCTGGATACGTCCCATCCTCATTGGGAAACAACTTGCACATAGACGAGATACTAAGAGCGGCCGACGAAATTCAAGAAGAAGAACCTAGCATATCTAGGATTCGTAAGTACCGCCAATCTATATTTTGGCATGCTTTGGATCTTAGATATACTCCACGTGCGCTTAAGACTAGCTTGTACTTCCGAAAATTCTTTTCATCTACTTTGCATGTACAAAGTCGAGAGCTTTCCTGCTGGTGACTTTGATTGTCACTTTTCTCCAATTGACAGCATGTAAACGTCAAGCAGTGAATTTTTTTAGAGTAATTGAGACATACTCCTAGTTTTGCCTTTCAATCTGAAATTATTGTGCTGTGCATGGGTAATTATTTGGAGTTTCTGGAAAAGTAGGAAAGGTAAGAAATAAGTGATATTTTAAAACCCCTAGCCCCAGTGGGGTGGTGATAGGTATCCGTTTATTGATCGTAAAAATAATTTTTTTGAAAGATGTTAATTATACCACAAAGCAATATAGGCTTTTTGAACTATTTATGGTAATAAAGGAGGAGACTACCTGTTGCATCAATTTCTTAGCTATCATTTCTTTACCTATGGTCTTTCCATGTTCTATGGTTATTAAAATGTGAATTGTAGTTTGGCTTCATTAATCAACATCGTCCATCTCTGATTCTGAGTTGGGATTGAGCTGAGCATTACCCATCAAATAATTGTTCCTATGAGTTGATAAGGATAACGGATGGATTAGTTTGTAAGTGATTAGCATGACATTTGGTTAAATCAAAAGGCTTGGGGTAGAATCCTCGGGGATGTGTGTTCCTGAGAAGATTTTTGTTGTCAATTGTTGGAAGCTGAAGTAATGGATGCTTTGATTGTTTCGTAATGACGGAAAGAGTGAAAATTCTAATGGTTGATTGCAAATCCTAAAATGAAAAGTGCTTTGATTTTATCATATTTTTATCCGGGAAAAAAACGAATGATTGGTCCCAAACGGGAGGTGCGACTTTGATGCATATTTCCTGATTTTGGGCAACTTGGACTGATCGAATTGGTTCTTTGCAGATCCAATCCCTGGCGCTTATCAGGATTAGTTTGTCATGTAGTTGAGCTAGTTGAAAATGAAAGCTATATTTCGAGAGTTTTGAGGACTGGGTTGTAAGTTTTGGAGGCAAAGTTTTGCTGCCAGTTGCAACAAATGCCGTAGACTCTCCTGATTCTTTCTTACCACGTGTCAACTTTTTGATGCTACCTCTACTTGGTTACTCTTTTTCTGTCCGTTGTTCCTACATCCATACTGCATCAAACTAAAAAAGTCCGTTCAACAAACGTTTAGACAGTTTTTCTTTTTGTGTAAATGATGTGTGAAAATCTTTGGCTGCATTACATAATTTGCCTAAGTTTTCTCTTAGTGATAGTTTTGACAGTTTTTTTGTGCAAATGATGTGTGAATTTTTTCGACTGCATTACATAATTTTCCTAACTTTTCTCTTCTTGATATTTTTTTTCTAGCTAATTTTCGAAATACTCGCATTTATCTTTTAGATTCCTTTACCTGCTTTCTCCAGTTGGGGCCTCGCAGATAATGATGTGGGTCCAATGTCTGAGTGGATGTGCGCCATGTTTCTGAACCTTGTCTCTCTGATATTATTGTCTTGCTGTTGATGATTTTTCCCGGGATTTGTCTTTTTTTCAGTATGTGAGCATGCATATTCCTTAGCTCAGAATTTGGATCCTAATAGTGAGGGCAGAGGTGTCCTACAGTTCAAGACAGGGTTAATGTCAGTAATCAAGGTATGATTTTTCCTGGGAAATGGTGAATCCCTTTAATCTTTCTGTGAGGTGCTTCATGAATGTTGCATTAGTTTTACCTATGTGTGATGGATTTATGTAAAAGCCTATTAGTACATTGGTATTTGATTTTACTTTTTAGAGTCATTTGCAGGGTTCTTCCCTGAAATTCCCTTTTCGAGTTCTTTGATCTGATTCATTCTTGAAAATCATTGGTTAACTAACTGTAGCAAAAACTTGCAAAAAGAGATGGTGGGATCATAGATCGTAGTCGAGACATTGCTCGCTTGCAAGAATTTTACAAGCAATACAGAGAGAAACATAAGGTAGACGAATTGCGCGAGGAAGAGATGAAGATGAGAGAATCAGCTGTCTTCAGTGGCAACCTTGGAGAGTATGTTTCTAACTTTAATCTTGTGATTAATTGTATCTTGTACTTTTATTCAACAGAACTTCTGTTAAATCTTTAGAGTTTAAATTTTTTGGCTAGAAGATATTCATACGTGAGGAAACAATATTTCTTTACCGCCGGTTGCACTTATCCTCTGTGTTTGATGACATTTATACATACACGCTATGTTCAGTCATTCACTGTATGCTGCACCATATTACACCTTTAAACGTTGCATTGCTTTTGATGGATCACTGTATGTGGTTTAGACTTTTTCCTACTCGAATTGCTTAGTTCTTGAAAATTTCACAGGATATTCTCTGTGCTTATTTTTCAACTCATCTTATCCGCAATTTGTGTTTTCAATGCTTTTACGTTTTAATATTTGGTGGTTATCCCTAGCTGTATTGCGAGCTATTATAAGAGAAGGGTGAAATGAAACACTGAGAATTTGGCAAGAAAGAAAATAGAAGCTTAAATTATAATTTGTGTGAAAGTGTATAGAACGGGGGCTTTGATTCTTGTTAAATAAGAGAGAACGCATGGTCAATACCGATATTTCAAGAAATAGCAAATCGGGCTTTTAATGAGGGTCAATCCTTCTGTAGGAAAATTCTACGAAAGAAGCAAGCCAACCCTTTAAGGCAGGCGAATCAACTAAAAAGCCACTTTAAAATAGCTACTTCCTCTTTTTAACAAGGGATAATCAACCGTATTAGGAACTCTTGATAATTCGAGGGAAACAAAATTTTTAAGGCAGTGAACTATCTTTCATTTTGTTGGATTTAGGCGTGTCATCTTGCTCTGCATCAATCTGAGCCCCCGTTAGGTGTTGGAACTCTTCTTTGAGTTTACAATGACCAGAAGAACAACTTCTGATTGATGGTGGCTCGTAACTGGAGGGGCAAAGCTATTGACAGTAGCCTTCGGTACACTTCCACTGCAACAGAAGAGAGATGTATCACCACTGTAATGGATTTTAAAGAGTGCATTTGTTCTTTACATGATCAGTGACGCCCAGTTGCTTACAGAGCCATTATTGTTTGAGACTGATGTAGCAGACAGATTCCAGGCATGGTACCATTATTAAGTTTAGCAATACTGGGTTATTAGAAAATGTCTGTAAACTTTTCTCGGAAATCAGTGGATCCGCTCAGGAATAGTTTCTGCTGTGGCAAATCTAGGACATCGAAGATTTCTCCTCTGTAAAGAAGAAACAATCGAAGTTACAGAGATGTTCTGTACACGTGGTTTCAGGAAGCACCCACAGGAAATGAAAAGGATGCTTCAGGTTGCACTGTTATTGTGAACTTAAACTTGCTTTTCATATCCAGATTCAGAAACTAGGAATTTGTGGATGCTTGGCATATGTAGGGCAATAATCATGCCTTAAACATAATGATTTTTCTGTTTGATTTTTCTTTATTGCAGCTTGGTCATAGGATTTTTGGGTTTTAATGAGTATTTTATAATATTATATTAAATATCATAATTTGTAAAACATCTTGACGATATATGCTATTTGCTAAGATGTTCTGAATGTGGATATCTTTTTGTCCCTGCCTTTGTTCACTAAACTATTACCTGTTGTGGAAACAGGTTGGAGCGTAAGACCATAAGAAGGAAGAAAATTTTTACAACTCTGAAGGTGTTAGGGACAGTGGTGGAGGAACTTACAAAGGAAATATCTCCTGAGGAAGCTAAAGGGCTGATAACCGAAGAGGTCTTCTCTTACCTCTTGTGAGATTTCTTTATTAATTTAGCTAAAGAATGTATTCTCATCAATCTTAAAATATTTTATAAAATGATGAGGCCATTAGAAAAGAAGGCTTGAGATATGAAAGATTGTCTATCCAATATACTGGTGTCTTTTGACAATACTAGACTCGATTCATGAGTTGTGGGCCCTTTGATCCTTATTTTGCAAAATTTATGCACCCAGTTTGTCAAATCTCCTTATCTTCTGGTAGTGGGTATATTGGCTGGTTTCATTGGTTGTCTCCATCGAAACCATTCATGCTATTTTTTACTGCTTCTATATGTTATTTTGAAGATCTGTGTTCGTTCGAGTGCCAAAGTGTTTCATATTGAACTTGTTTTCAACTAATTTGACGTTCATTGCTTTATATCTCTAACATTAATGTTTTTGCTGTCTCCTAGATTATTCCCTCTGTTTTTCTATGTTCCTCAATAATCACTACCTCGTTCTAATTCTTTCTAAAATACAAGTAATCGTGTGCTGTTGTATTCCTTTTTTTAATAGAGCTTCATCTTGTGTTCCAATAGACACAAGTGAGAAGTTGTTTTTTGATGTTTCTAGTTGAACTTTTATGTTCTATCAATCTATTATGCGCCTCTGCATTTAGCATTGGGTAAACCTCATACAATGACTGTCCTAGTTCTACCATACCTTTTGTTTCATTTCGTTCTTTTATTGGATATATCATGACTTGTAATTCTTATATTTTTCCTCCCTAATAATTGCCTTCAGATGAAACGTGTGATGGAATCTGATGCGGCAATGTCAGAAGACGTAGTTGCTTATAATATTATACCATTGGATGCTCCGTCAACTACAAATGCCATTGCTTCCTTGCGAGAGGTATGTGTTGATCTCACTAATAATCTGCCTTTTTCCTATCGTTTTCTTCAATCCTGGAATTTTGTTGCCAGGTTCGGGGAGCCATTTCTTCTTTGAAGTTCCACCGTGGCCTACCCAAGCTGCCTAGTGAATTTTATGTATCTTCAACGAGGAGTGCAGATATGCTAGATTTTTTACGCTATGTCTTCGGTTTCCAGGTTTGTAATATCGTTGTCATTGCCTGCATTTTAGTTTTACATGTGTACATGAAGACTGTCCTACTTTAATTTTGTTTTCCTGTTTTCTAGGAATCCACGAATGAAACGTTCGTATTTATCAGAGGATCATTTTCATCCGATAATTTCTGTTGTTTTTAAAACTGGCTGGTTTATAATGAAGGATTTAGGAATGAAAAACAATGGATAGAACGTCGTAGTCGTTGCATCTATAAAGAGCTAGAGAGAGATGACTAGAATGTTTTACTATCAGCTCAGAAATAATTCCCACGCAAGAACGGTAGTCTGCACTAGCACAATGTGGACTATGTTGGATGCCCAAATGATCCAAAATAATACCCACTTTTTTTGGCTAAATCATTAGATTAAAACTCCTAGTTTTAAGGACCAGTTGTTTTCCCAGATATGGTTTAAAAGATCATTCCACTGACGTCACTGTTAGTGATTCATTTAAGTACACAAAACTGTTCTTGCTCTCTCTCTGATTTATTCTTTCCTTCTTGTTGATGCCATCAGCTGTTGTTTGTGTGAAGCAGCGTTTGCCTAATCTACCATAAATCAGAGAACCCCACGAACAGGTTGTTGACTACATACGTATATGATGATTGATATTCTGCTCGGCTGTGAAAACAAGTTTATAAAGATTATAATTTCGTGTTAGCTTTCTGTTCTCCCTGGAAAGTTTTCTTCTCCCTGAACTGGCTACCAATGACAACTCTGGCATTCCTTTTTGGTACATTTAAACTATGTTTGTACATCTCTTTTCTGCTTTAAGCTATGTTAGCACATGGCTTTTGAAGACATCGGGTAGCAGACAGTAACAACATCTGAGAATATTGATGAAGAATTAGTTTGGAATTGCGAGGAACCTTGGAATCGACACTTGGAACTTAAAAAGATGATGCGTTTTTGTGGTAAAGCGTGTCTTACGTTTGATTTGTTCTCGTACTTCGACTTATTGTTGTCTTCCACTGTTACAGTGTATTAAAGGTTTGTTTCTTTAAAATTCATTTGTACCCAACAATTATCGCTTATACTAGCGTTATCTTTGGAACAGGAAGACAATGTCTCTAATCAGCGTGAGCATATTGTTCACCTTCTTGCTAATGAACAATCTCGGCTTGGTATTCCTTCTGGTGATGATCCAGTGAGTATATCTATTTTTCAAGAGTTGTCTAGCTATTCAATGTCCACCATTAATGTGAATTTTATGTGTTTAATTTTTTTTATTGCCGTCATCCGGTGATAGGGTGCTTCTAATGGAGTATTTGAAGCACAATGCTGATACTTCTACCGTTTAAATTTCTAGAGCACCTATAAAAAATAAGATGATGCATAATGAAACTCGAGTGAAAGTTTATGATAATCAACAGATCGTCAACTCTTTCTTTTTGATTTAATTTTTATTTTGATTATAAACATTATTTTTTGATTTTTTTTTTTCATTCACACGGTTGACCATATGAAGATTAGGAAAAATATGATCAACCTGCTGGCATTACATTGGAAATTTATTCTAGTTTAGAGATGATAAGTTTAAGCGTATGCTTAATAAAGTGATGGACGTGAGAAATTGCCCTGGAATATGGTTCTTAGATGAGCCTTGGTGGAGAAATGGTCGTCACGCCTGGATGTGTCCTTCCACCTTTTCCTCGTCTTTATGTTACTCCATCTCTTAGAACCTTTGATTAGGTTTACCTTGGTCAGTCTCATCATATAAATAAAAACAATGCTGCTTTTTTGAATATTTATTTATGGTCTACTGTAATAATTTTTGGAACATGAACTACTATGTATCTCGTTTTTGCTCATGTCGACAGAATGTTGGATACGATTTCTGTGTTTTGATGGGATTTACACCTAAAATTGACTATGCCACATTTTTATGATTTTCAATCCGGGCCCTAATTTGATAGTGTACGAGAATTTATGAAACTGTTGCCATATCCTATCAGTGTTTTCTTTTTCTGTGAATTATCTGGTATTGGAAGAAGTGCATGCTGTTCTTGTCAGATATCAATCATTTGTTTCCTAATTTAATTGGCTAACAGTTGTTTTTTGAGTCTTGTTCGTTGTATCAGAGATCAAATTCTGTTCTGACCTATGATGAAATCCAGATATACTTTGCTCTTCCTGAGTTTTATTCATCCAACTAACTTTTTGATATATGAGGTGTTGGAAGTTCTAGGTCGTAGGGAAATAGTGTAATTAGTTGAGGGTTATTTTGGAAAAGTGTCTAGGATTTCTCCCTATACTAGGGGGTGTAATGGTTGAATGGAATTGAGGCGGTTTCTGCCGTTCTCCCCTCTGTCCTCCGTGACAGAGCTCGTTTCTCCAGTTTCAACAGGAGGAATTAACGAAGATTCTTCTAGGGAGAATAGCAGTACCATTCTCTATGCCTATCTAATCTCTGCTTTTTCTCTGCGCAAAAATGCTTAAAAGAGAATTTTCATAGCAGGTGCTATTCTTGTGTGTGTGATCTTCTTGTTCCACTCTTATTGAGCTACTAATTTTCGTTGTCATCGTTAGTTTCCTTGATGTAGTTGTATTATTTCTGACCGATTTGTTGTTATTCTCCCATCTCTGTGTAGTCTATGGTGAGAGAACCGAACTAATTTCTCATTGCAATGATTATTCATTTATTCTTTATTGTAGAAGTTGGATGAGGCTGCTGTTCAAAATGTTTTCATGAAGGCTCTTGATAATTACAACAAGTGGTGTATCTATTTGCCTCTTCATCCAGTTTGGCACAAGTATGTTTCTCTGTGATGCAGGTTATATCTTTTAGTTGTTTGGAAGTAAGGATTTTATTTACTTTTTCAGTCAGACTTTGTGCCAAGCCTTGTGAAATGCTCTTAGTGTATGTGATGCTGCTTTGATTTATGCAGATTGAGCCTCATAGTCATTGATTTATTTCATGGGTTATTTCTTCTTTCTGAAAATATGAGGGTCATGTTTGATTGATATGATCCCTAATACTTTTAGATCTAAATCTTTTGATGGTGGTCCCGAATTGATTTTTAATTAAGACACATTTTTTGTAACATGTCACTAACTTCTGATCTATGTTTGAGAAAAAATACTCGTTTGAGGCATATAATCATCAATAAAAGTGAAATTCTCTAGCTCTCAGAATATGAAGGTTAGACGAAGGTCCTCAAATCTCACCGTGAATGTGGTAAAATGGTTCCATACTTGTTTCATAACTGATAGGAAACGAGAAGCGTTTGTAGTTGCCAAATTCACATACATCACAAGACACAATGCCTATAACTTTTTCCTTGAGATAGAGGGAGAAGTAAAATTTTCATTGTTCTAAACGAGGGATGGTCAAGGCGTCTATGATAGAGCAATTTTTTTTCCATGTCGGATGAGGAAGTCATAGAATTTGATAATGAACTGGCCTCTGTGATGTGAGATTGGCTCAGCTCTCCCAAGTGTTAGAGTCCTCGCTCTCTAACATGTCAATCTTCCAGTCTGACATCTTGTCTTATAACAGACAAATGTTACTAGTAAATATAGCTTTACAACTTAGATCATCTGTTAGCTTCTTAACAGGCATAAGGTTTTTGGAAAGTTTAGAGACATAAGATATTTTTTAAGATCCCTTATATCTCCATCTTTACGTCACCTACCCTAGCTATGGTGATCAATGATCCTTCTACAGTGGCCACTTCCTTACTAATAGGACATGGGTCACATCGAAGGAAGTTGTGGTAAGTGAGTCATATGATTAGTGGCACTGAAGTCTAGGATTCAGGTGGAAGGAGTCACAGGAGCCAATTAATCCAAGAGAGGGAGGAAACTCATCAGAATGTGTTGATGAACTTGAGGCCATTCAGTTTTGAGCTTTTTAATCTCGTCCTTGAGTTTCTCCAACTTACCTTCTCTACCAAGTCCTCATGAGATGTGTTTGACTATTTGGTTGAGGCCTCCAATGTAGCTTCCAGTATCGCTCCCTGGTGAGTTGTCTCTTGAATCAGTCTTCTGATTTCTACCTTGACTAAGCTGCGATTGAGGAGCTGTGTTGTCCTTATGTTTGGCTACTAATGCTGAAGTATCTATGTTCTGGGGTTCCAACATAAGAATTCTTTGATTCTCCTCATTTCACACAATGACGATCACTTCCTCTAAGTTTGACATCTTCTCTCAATCGAGAATCTAGCTTCTTGTTCGAATTCCTAGTTAATGCTAACAATCTCTTCCTATGAGTAACTACTTTTTAGCGGTCTATTACAATCAATTTCTTGCCACAATCCCTCCAATTCGCGGGCATATTCTCTCTGTTCTATTGGGCTGCACTAGGGTCATACCATTCCCTACTGTCCTATAAATTTGTGCTCTATCATGTTTCTTTAAGAAGTCTCAGTATGGGAAAAAATAATTTTTTTTAGCCCATTCCCGGAGCAATAGTGCTGCACAACTATCTTTTAGTGATCGCTTCCTCCTCTTTTCATAGGCGATATTAAAAATCTGCATCATCAAGTGCAAGACCAATTGGGTGATTCAATTTCCTTCTTTCTGTCAGCGCGATTTCTATGTATTCACACCATTGAAGGACGTTCCTGCTGTCCAATCTGAACTGTGCAAGAATATTGGGTAATTCTAAATACAAATTAGATTGATCTGACCATGATTCTCTCGACGTGGAGGTTGTCTCTACACTTCAGACATGTAATATATTGTTAAAATAAATTGTTCCAATTGAAACAAAGATAAGAAGTGTTACTGCCAACAGCTCCCGATGCTCCCTCTTCACCAAATCAAGGAAAGGGGATAAACAGGTTTTGTAACACCTTTTAACCTTCTCTTCGTGGCCTGGAATAAGATTTGCATTCACTGAAGAGAGTTTTCCCCCAAAGCCTCGTGAATGGAAGCGTATATAGGGCTAACTGGCAAATCTGACGGAACAGACTCACGAGCAGCTGTTTGTGGACCAGAAACAAGATATTCTAGAGGAAGAACTCTGAATGACCAAGTTTCATTGGAGCAATCTCACCTGGTTGGCTCTGATACCATGTTGATGTTGGTAGAGCCGCTGGTGGAATCTTAGGATGCCGGATGGTGAGTCTCGTGAGGAGGAAAATGGGAAAGACCAGAAAAGTTATAGTCACTAAGGACTCATCGGGTCTTACCCGATGTATATTATAAGGCGATTCAGTCAAATGGGGTCAATTGAGATCCGAATCGGATCTGTCTCATAGATATAGTTTTACATAACAGAGGACAGAAATACAAAAAGAAAAAAAACAGGGCAAAAACATGAAATCCTTCAACAAGATTTTATGGCTGCTAAGCCAGGGTCAGGCCAAAAATTCTAGTCAGTACTCTGAGCTTGATAGAGGCCATAGTAGCCTTTTGTGCCCATAATAAAGGAAGGATAAAACGGTTGGGCCATATTTAATTCTAACTCAAGTTGGCTTGTTTATCCAATAGTTTGCAAAGTGTGCTTTCATACAGATGTACCAGCCCTGGGACCATGCTTTACTTTATTAATAGCTGGAATAAGGCCGAGAAATTTATTTGACTGAATTATGCCTCTCTTTAAATGCTTATTATCATGTATGTTCATTTTCTTGTGTGCATTCACGGCTGTCTTTGTGTGTGTTTGTTGCTGTGTTTACGTATTTATGTTATATGGTGATAGTTTCTCTGATGTATATGCAGCGCTCCATCATTAGACAGAGAGAAGATGCTGCTGTTTATCTCTCTGTACTTTCTAATTTGGGGTGAGGCTGCTAACGTTAGGTTTCTCCCAGAATGTTTGTGCTACATTTTTCACCACGTAAGTTATTGTCCTTTATTTTCTGTAGGCAAACTGGAATTAACTTTCTCACATTTGGTTGTTTCTCTGCAGGCTTCTCCATAGCTATGTTACTGCTTGCTTTTATCTTTAATCTTCTTCTCGATGCACATAGTATGCTCTTCTTATCTAGGTTCATCGATCCCTTTGCTTTTTATCCGTCTATGAGACTGTGTGCTGTGCAAGTTTCATGGTGCGTTTACCTTAACTATTTCTTCTTTGCTCTTGCTTTGTGTTTAGTGACATTCTGACGAGCATTACTCTTCTTTCGGCAAGTCTCTTTCAGTTGATCCATTTAGCCTATATCATATGAAACGGCGCCATAATTTGCCTCCCGTTGAACTTAATGATGCACCACTCCACAGAAGTCTGTGTTTTGAACCTTGAGAGCTTCTGAAAGTTCTGGAAGTAAATCTCTTTTTCAATTTTAGTAGTATCAACGCAATAAAACTCAAGGAAGCCATACTGCTAAAATTTGCACGACTTTACCTTGAAACCTTTCCTAAATACACTAATGAAAGCTACGCAATAGGGACTTGGGAAAGCCCAACTATGGATGGTCGTCTAATGGAATAAGTGAAGTAGGATCTTCCCTGCTGATTCAGATTGTCATATTGGCGGCCCTCTTATCTGTAACTTTTATGGCATCCCAACGCTGAACTTGGTGCATTTTTAACACATTTCCGGACAGAGGGTGTCTGACAAATTCTCCTCTCCATACGTTTCCTTGGGAGTTTAAATATCGTTTTCTATTTTGCATTTAGGGGCTTTATGGTGCTCAATTACTTTTAATGCTTAAGAAAATCAGAGTCAGTATTTCTAACTACTTATACCGAATCAAAGGATCAGGGTTGCCTATGCTCATGCACCATATCCACTGATTTTAAGGAGGAAGAAAATTTTCATTAACCTCCTCTCTTCCGCATCATAGCGGATTTTCTTCTTTCTTTGCATAAACGTTATGACATTTCATATAAAACTCCATTGAAGAACGCTGAAACAATCATGCAATAAATCAGAGAAGTAATGACGTATGAATGAAGCATATTTTTCAGATATATTGAACAGCTTTTGCATGCAATCTGTTTTAGGTCATTTATCCATTTGATTTAGTCTGTAACTTATTTACTCTACCCCCTTTGGTTTGGCAGATGGCAAGAGAACTAGACGAGATACTTCGGCAGCAGATTGCTCAGCCAGCAAAAAGCTGCACTTCTGCGAATGGAGTGTCTTTTCTTGATCAAGTCATTTCTCCATTGTATGATGTTATTGCAGCAGTAAGCTTCGTTTCCCTCCGTGTGTAGCATTTTCTTCTTGTCACTATTTTTCCGACTTGTATTTTTATCTGGGTATTGAGAAATTTGCAAAATCTTTCATATTTTTTGGACGAAGTTGGAGGGGAGAAGGGAGGTCTCATTTGGCAAAAGCAGTCTATTGGGCTGAACTGGGGATGTATCTTGCGAAAAGAGATGCTGTCATTATTGTGCTTTGGTTACTTTTTATGTGGACGGTTGTACTGTCACTTGAATTATTCTGTGATTGTTCGGGCAGGATTGGGAGAATCCTTCCTGTTTCTTTTGGTAGGATCTATTCTCTACAACCATTCTTATGTGGTTTATTGGAGCCTAACAAATTGTGTTTCCACTCATCTTTCTAAGTGGGCAAGTAAGTGGAAGGATGTAATACACAGCGGAACTCAATTATCTTTAGGCTGAAATTCAAGGTTTGTGGAATAGTGATGCCTATAAAGAGAACCTATAAGGAATACCGTCATTATGCATCCTAATAATTCCAAGTACTTCTTACTTTTGACGCTGTAAGGGCTGTTAAACACCAGCTGATGGAAGTTGTTAATTCCCTAGAGCAGGACTTATGGATATGTAAGATAAATGAATTATTTTGTTTAAACTTTCCTTTGTGTCACTCAGACATGCCATCTGGGAAATTACATGTTTAATACCAGAAGATGCCCTCCAACAGTTACATTCATATTTCCGTTTTAAATGACGCGAGATGCCATTTTGGACACGCAGGAGGCACGAAATAATAACAATGGTCGAGCAGCACATTCTGAATGGAGAAATTATGACGACTTCAACGAATATTTTTGGTAAATTAGTGAACTTGAAGACTCTTTTACATGTTAGAATTGCTATTTTTTTTACTTGTCAGTCCCGGTGTTAACGCACCATGTAAAAATCCAGAGTGCACATCCACATCATTGCTAACCCTTTGCTCCATCCTTTCCCTTTCTGCCAGATTCTTGGTGTTAACCTCCACACCATCAGCAGAGATCCCACCTGTCTCCTTCCAGCATATCCCATCTTTATCCTGGTTGCCTTACCGTTTCCCTGTCACCCCTCACATCCTTCTTAGCAGCTCCTCCTGTCTGATTCCTTACTTGCCTGGGGAATGAAGAGAAAGGGGTGATGACAACCGTCACCATTCTACATTCCCCAAGCAAGAAACCCCCTCCTACAATAGTCTCTCCCAGTCTTTTCTCCGTCCAACCACAGTCATGCTTCAACTTCCTTGGTGGGCAGGCCTCTCAGTTCAGTGCCTCCCCTCGTCTGTCTCAGTTCAGGCCTGCTCCCTTGTGGCTGGTGTTCTCACCTGCAGTCACCATGTAGCAGCTCCAACAAATACGCCTCCCTGAAAAATACTGCTGGGCGTATGGCTAGTTGGTCTGGGGTGCAGAGGGTTGGCAAGGCCCAGGCCTTACCCAGTGCCATACTCACCTTTATTTGTAACTTTTTTATATATAATAATCTTATTCCTTTAAACCATCTTGCCTAAGTTATGTTTTCTTACAGGTCGCATGATTGTTTCCAACTTCGTTGGCCATGGCATCTGGATTCAGACTTTTTCTCTAAGCCCATTCCAAAGTCCAAGGTTATTCTTTGCTTATTCCCTGTATTGTGGTCAACGTGGTTTCTGGACTTTTTTGTGGCTAAGTTTTATGTTAGCCTTGTGCTTTTTGTTTTATATCAGGTAAAGTGCGTACCGGCATTTAGTTCTTCATTTGTTCCTTTTTTGCTTGTTTCCCTGTGTTATGTACCATACGCTGGTATAATACTTAGTCACACAGAGCTCTTTGGTGAAGAGAATAGTTGTGTCCATATAGATTGGGGGAGTGGGCTTCAAGTATTCTAATGAGGAAGGAATTGTGTTTGGCGTCCTCTTTTTGAGTCTATGTTTAATCCAATTGGCAAAGTAGTATGCACGCATGTATGGGGTTAACAAGCACATGCATGCACCCTTTTCCTTTTATAATTGACGAATATGTCATACCACATGCTTTAAAAATAACATTGCTGACGCAATGGGAGTTGCATGAAAGAAATTTTGACTTTGAATCCACAAGACACAAAACTTCAAGGAAGAAACTAGGTCATGAATCCACAGAATCTGGAACCTTCAATCCTTGAATCCTTAAGGACTTGTTGGAGCAACACTTGATCCACAAAGATCAAAATATTATGTTGAATTCACAAGAGGGCGCTTGAATCCACAAGTAGATAGATGGGAAAATCTTGAAGAGGAAAAAATTGTACTAACTTAGAACGAAATAGGGTTACAATACTAGCACCTTTAAATAGGCCGAAATTTGGTTGGGGCGCCTCGAAAAATGTGGATCAATTTTAACAACGCTTTTAAACAGATTCAGTTTTTTTAAAAAATACACTAAAAGTAGGAACAATAATTGAACTAATTTCTGACACGTTTCTCACGCGTTTAATAATGTGCCTAATCTTATTTTGGACTTTTGGGATCCTGTCATCTCTGTAGCCCATCCATCAAGCTTCCAGAATGCCTGAGCCACCAGTTTTGGGCCATTTTGGTCCAAAACTTTTCGCCCTTCTCTTTTCTAGAAGTGCTCCTACATCAATTACCATGGAAGAAGTACCTCATACATCATACTAATTCACTGACCAACATATCTAGTACACTAAATTAGCTCCATATATTCGACCAGCGGATATTCTGACATGCCTGGTATGAAGGAATGGGGTTCTAGACGCAGAATCTTGTTGCTGACATGAAGTCAGACTGGTACTAGAGTGTGTGTCGGTCTCATCTCAATGGGAGGGTTCTATGCTCAGAACCTCATTGCTCCATGCCAAGAGTGTCACAAATATTTCGTGGCATCTTGTTTCATGGGAAGTTTTATTGTCATAATTCTTTGCACTAGCCAGGGCGACAAACTTTCAAATTACGGTTTGTTGGCAGTTTCTTGGTTTCATGCATATCACTTCATTGTGCAAAATCTTGGGAAAGGAAGTGCATATAGAACTGAAGGTCGGATAAAGTTATGCAACATTATGTCATTTATGCACTCTTTTCTTTAAAATAACTATTGGATGGGTTCCAATCCATTTGTTATTATAGCCTGTTGGCATATGATTAAATATCTTCAGGCTAGTGCCCATTGAGATTTTTCAAATCCCTGCCGTGAGCAAATTCTATTATTTTGAACTTATTGCCTGACCATCTTATTTTATTATCTTAATGGAGAAGTATTTGCTGGATCTTGGTCTTGGTGGTTGATTGTTGTACTTCGTTTAATTTTTCTTTGATTAGCTTACTGCTGAATTCATTTTCTCTCTGCTCAAGTGTATTTTGTCTTATTCTTGTTCAATAGGGTGCATTTTCTTTTGGTGGAAGCAAGCATCAGGGGAAGACGTCTTTCGTTGAGCACCGAACATTTCTTCATCTGTACCATAGCTTTCACCGCCTTTGGATATTTCTTTTTATGATGTTCCAGGTTGGCAGTTATCCGAGTGTTTTTCTGTTTTATTGTTTCCCTTATAACACTTAAATTTGTGCCATTTTAACGTCAATAGCTCTTTGCATCTAGAAGTACATGCTTTAGTTATCTTGAATATATCAACCCTTTCTTTATTTTCTAGTCGCCTGGAAGGGACAAAAGAAACATCTTTTTCAATATCTGAATCTCTTGTGAACCTTCCAGTAGGATTCTGTTTTCTGACATTAAATTATTATTGTATTTTTTTGACGTTTGTGAGCTGTCATTTTAGCATACAGGTGGCTTTACGCACTTTTCGTTTAATTGATGGATGATGGTTTTCAATGCTATATGGAGGTACTAATTGGGTTCAAACAGTAATTTGATACGTAAACGCAATCGAAACGGTGGCGACCACCTCATTTAAAATTCTTCTCTTTATAAGTACCAATGCGGGGGTACTGTTGGATAAAGATCTGTGGGTGTCTGTGTTTATACAAACATATAGATGCATATGTGTCTATATCTATCCGAACCCTTGTGATCAGATCAGAGAACGTTCCTGCGGATGCACAGTGGGAATGCTTAAAATGTTTTATTCCAGTTGTGCCTGGATCAGTTTTGGTGGAACTCTATCGAGATGTGAGAAATCGTTTCTAACCTTAAGGGTTACTTGTGTCTTGAACTGTGATTTCTCCACGCCAGTTTCATGTAATTTAAGGCTCCTGGTGTTAGTACAAAATCGTTTCTCCACGCCAGTTTCTTCTCATAAAGTTAGATTCTAGTTCAAGAGAAAGTGGTTTCATTTATGTGAGGCCTTCAAGTGAAACGTTTGGCAGATTTCTTTTTTTTCTTTAATATTTAATAAGGGGATATCCTTATTTGTACTCTCTGAAAATTTTGAAGTTTCTCCCTAATTTTTACTATTGATAAGTTTTCTGTCGTTACAGGGCTTGACCATTATTGCATTTAATGGTGGTCGTTTTGATGACACGACCCTGAAGGAGATTCTTAGTCTAGGCCCAACCTATGTAGTGATGATGTTTCTCCAGAGTAAGCATCTTAATGCTAACCCACATTTCCTCAGAGTAGCTTTTCAGTGTGAGTTCTTCTAGTTATGTTTACTAATTTTGATTAAATTAAGAGTAAAATGCATTTACTATTTCAGGTGTGCTGGATATCATGATGATGTATGGGGCCTATAATACAACACGCAGTGCAGCTATTCTTCGAATCTTTAGTCGTTTTTGTTGGTTTTCTCTTGCGTCAGTGATTATTTGTTACCTATACATGTGAGTTTTCCACTGTTAGTTTTATGAGCTTGTCATTTTCTTTTTAAGGTTTTATGACACTCAGTGTCCTTAGATGGTCATATTTGTGCCTTTTGTACCCTTCAAATCTGCTATGAAACTTGCTTCCTCTGTCCGTGAAACACATTCTTCGATCCTCTTCTATCATTGTCATAGCAAGTGATGGAAACATTTTTATTATGGTGATAAAATCGTTAAGTTCACTTATCCAGCAGAAGCCGGGGTATCTCACTTTATATTGACGAAAATGATTGCACTCATTTGATTCGAGTTTTAATCTTTTGTTTTCAGAAAGGCTTTGCAGAGGGGTACAGATTCATTTACTTTCAAGTTGTATGCAATTATCATTGGCATATATGCTTCACTCCAATTCTGTTTTAGCTTGCTCATGCGAATTCCATTATGTCACCGTCTCACTGGACAGTGTGACCATTGGGTTCTGGTGCGTTTCGTAAAGTGGATATATCAGGTAAATTTTGTCCGTTTCGTGTCAGTAAATTAATCATTTATGATATGTATGAAATGTCTAGCCTTTTAATTGCCAATAGATGTATATTCTCATCGTTCTTTCCATTTCTGTGAAGGAGCACCATTTTCTTGGACGAGAAATGTACGAAAGACCAACTGATTTTATCAAGTAAGTATTACATGATTTTCATTTTCTAATGAAAATTTATGTTCCAGCATTTAGTTTTACTTACAGATACTGAACCATCTATTTGTGTTAGTAAAACATTAGATTCTCATTTATGAAGCCAGCTGGATTGCGTGTTCCCACATTTGATGTGCGTCACAGAGTCTGTTTATATTTCAATAGAAAGCGATTTGTTGATGGTATAATGGGAATATAGAACTTTCATGAGATTTTAAGCTCTCATTCTGCAGTTTTTACCATTCTTAACATCTCCATTTATGCCTGAGAATTATAATAACGAGAAATAAAGGGAGTTACATCTCACTTGTGCCCATATGGAAATGAAAAAAGAATGAACGAGGTGGATTATATTTGGCTTTTGTATAACCATTCCTAGGGATTTTGCTGAGTAACAGACATTTTGATTGTCTTCGTTAGATCTTGAGAAATTTATTCGTTTTGTTAAGTGGCATCTGGGTTAAGAAATCACATTTTATTCTTTCTAATTGTCGCTGTATAAAATATCTGTTGTTATCTGGGTTACTGCGCTTCTTGGGGAAATTTTGTTGAGGCATTTTCTGTTTTTGCTTCTATGTGGCACTGCTATTCCTTTTGATATGGGATATAGGCTTTTAATGGTTGTTAAATACTTCCTTGATTTTGAAGGTATGTGGTATTCTGGCTTTTGGTTCTTGGTGGAAAGTTTGCGTTTGCTTATTTTCTTCAGGTTGGTATCCGAATCTTTGTTGTCATTCCACGTTTGAAACGTAATGAGCTCAGTCTGGTTCTTTTTAATAACGCAGATCAAGCCATTGGTGTCACCGACGAGGATTATTATTAATCTTTCTGGCGGGATTGAATACTCATGGCATGACTTCGTGTCCAAAAGTGAGTTTGATCTGTATAACTTTGCATTTATAGTTCTAATGAATCGTGCAATTTGTGGAACGAACATTGCATTCTCTTATTTTTTATGATCACTTTTATGCATGAGATGTAGCTTTATAAATAGTGGAACAAACGTTGTTTCATTACTGTTGTTTTAGTGGAGGAATGTTATAGGTTTGTTGTTTTCTCTTCTCGTAATAATGTGTATTGTTGGTTGATATTGTTTCGTCACAACATGATATAAAATTTTGTGCAACTTGATGCCTATATAAATTAGATAAACCAAGCTCTACGAAGAAGTATTGGGTGGTACAAGAGTAGTCTTTTACATTTGTTCTATTTTAATTTTGTTTGTATTTAATAACAATGAACTGTTATGTTATATGAGGGTATTATGGCCATTTAGTTAGGTGATGGAAGAACTATTACTTTTGTTTTTTTCGTTTTCAGTAGTACAATTCCTATTGCTGTGTGGAGTTTTATTCTCATCGAACTTTTCATCCTATTGGTTAAGTTTCTTTCTGCTAGATCCTGACTTTGTAAGTTGACTACATTGGATAACACAAAAGTGAGGGTTTTTCCCATACCATGGCAGAAAATTGTGAACTAATATGGGGGCATAATTTGAATGTTGATGAGAGTTGAAGATATCTCTAAGATTCAAATCTAGCAATAACTAGCTATCCCTCCCAATGATGAGGCATGTGGTCGGGTTTTTCAAGCTCAATATTTATCTACACTGCAGAGTCGGTGGTGTATCCCTACTCTATTAGACAAGTGATAAAAATAATGATTTTGGGACACAAATAATTCTTTCAGGTGGAAGGGCATCTTTTTACTGGTAAACTGGTAACGGATAGATGACTTCGAAAATGACTATAAATTGAAGGTTCAACTTCCTATGTTGAATCGCCTGCTCTAGTGAGGAAATTTCTTGACAGGTCAATCCTGCTTCAAGGGTTTTTGAGGGTTGAGAAGATGATGATGTCTAATTTTCTTTTGAGAGATTATTCATAAGCAAGTTGCTTAAGTTTTTGAATATGCTACTGAAGTTTTCGGAGCCTTAGTTTGCACCGAACTATTTGAGATAGTCCTTGATAGGTGGTGTCAGCTGGAGAAAGTGAGAATGCAATCTGACTGGATGGATGTTTCCTCAGGAATTACCAAAAAGCACAAAGCTATGTTGATTTTAGGTTTTTTCTGTAGCCTATCATTTCTTCTATGAAAATCACTAGGATTGAAAACAAGGCTGACATTTGTTTGCTGCATTGCCCATGGGGAGGATTTTAAAGTTGCTCAAATTTGGAAACCTTCAACTGTTGTAGACCTTGGGAATATGGCATAAAGGGCTTTTACGATAACATGTGGCATAATTAGTTTTGTAAACCTTAAACTGTCTTTATCATTTTCTTTTGATACTGAATGCTTGGGGTACTGTTACAATTTAAGAATAAACAGTTTTGCATATATTGCGACACATTGCTAGTAAAAGGATCATAAATCTAGGATTTAGCAGTTAATGTAGTTTATTTGAGTGCACATCTACAATACAATATTTTTCAGGTTATACTAACTGTTATTGTGACCGCAGATAATCATAATGCACTGACCGTAGCTAGCCTGTGGGCACCTGTCGTTGCTGTGAGTATTTTTTATGAGTATTAAAAATTTCTCTCGTCGTTTTCAGTTTAGTAGGTTCGCTGATTTTTTATTTGAAGTCCACGGATCATTTATTTTTTTGGTTACTATTTGTCCACATTCATTTTGTAATCTCTTCTTTTTTCTGCAGATATATCTGTTAGACATTCATGTGTTTTATACCCTTTGGTCAGCCGTTTGGGGTTTCTTGCTTGGGGCTCGAGATCGCCTGGGGGAGGTACAGTTCTCTATTTTCCTTTTGAGATACGAACTTCCATTAGTCATTCCGATATTAACAAACTTTGGTATTTCATTTCATTTGTATTTTTATGTTAGTGCCTGGTTCTTTTGGATTTTTTCAGATCAGATCCATGGAAGCCGTCCATCATCTGTTTGAAACTTTCCCAGAAGCTTTTATGAACAATCTTGTTGCTCATCCTGAGAGGTTCTTGTGCTTTCTGCGTTAAGTTGTTTTCAAAATTAGTTAATTTTAATAGGTTTGACGTACTTTTTATCATGCAGACGGTCTCTTCGCTCCTCTGAACAGGTGTGTGAAATTTTCTCTGTTACGATTTATTTTTTATACAGTACTCTATGGAGTCACCTAGCTGCTTTCTTTTCTAGGATGTATTTTTTACTCCTGGATTTTTAATTTAATGCGTTGTCTTCTCGATTTTTCTTTTTATATTTGGATACCATTGTTTTGATTTTTAATTCTTAGATATTGAAATTCTTATGAAGGTGGTAAGTGCATTGGCAAATCAATGAATCCATAAAGAATGCTCAATATATTTTGTCATTTTTGGTTCATCAAACTAGTGATTCCGCTTATACTTTTCCTATCTAGCATAGTCATCAATAGTTGAGCCCTCTGCTTTGTCATCTTGATTTTGAATTCTTTTATCATTTTGCCCTCCCCAAGTTAGGTGCTAAAGATTCTCTCCGTTTTTAGGCGGTTGTACGGATGGCATGTTAAATTTAACTGTTTGGACAGTCTCATGTGGATCATATCAGCTAAACTAGTCAGTGGGTAGAATACCATATTCAAGTTTAAAAGACGCGTGAACAACGGTATAATGATTGAGGGTAATCATTGTTATTAAAAAGTGTGTAACTCTGATAGTTTTGACTTCTTTTTTTCCCCTGTACAGTGGTCAGAGGTGGAGGCCGGTGATCTGTTGTGGATCTAGGAGAGTTTTGACTTCTTTTTTCCCGTGCTCTTTTTCACCCCCTCCTGTGGCATTTTACTGCGGTTTCATATCCTTATATCTGCAGCAGTCTTACCATGAGCTGCGGGATCCAATGATATGTCAGATCGGATCATAAATTTTGACGATTTCAGTCTAATTCAACCTGCGACTTGACCAATTAAGTCCAAGAGGAGGTTGTAAAATGATGGTGCTTGAAAGGACCATCCATTTTACCTGGTTGTTTTGCAGAGGTCTAGGCAACATTCTTATGTGAAGGAATGCAATGAAATACTTTTATGGGGGGAAAATGGGAAGTGAAATCTGGATATGTCTTGTAGTTGATTGCTCCACTTGACAATAGGGGTATACTAGAATTCCACAAGTGCATCTGATGTACTTTGCCTTTCGGAGCTACATGTTTTATGTAGTGTATAAAAAGTAGGATGCTTTGAGTTTCTCATTTCTCTTCAAAGGTTTATATTGAACTGATCTGAGTCTTGGTGATTGGGACCATTTTTTGGGAAAGATTGTTTTGATAATTATGATTTTTAATATACTAATTCTATGTAATACTTGAAGTTGGTTGCTTGGCATATAAGCTATTGATGGTGACTTTGACATTGCTTCGATTACGCGTTGTTTTCAACCTTTTTCTGAAATATGTTACAACTGTGGAGTCTTTCTTTGATGACTTTTTTGTTTTTTCAAGAACTTGGATTCAAAGAAGTCAGACGCAGCAAAATTTGCACCATTCTGGAATGAGATCATAAAGAATTTAAGAGAGGAAGATTACCTTACTAACTAGTAAGCTGTAGTGTGGGTTCTCGCTTGTAATTCTGCGTGGCCTTTTTATTTTTGGTTGAGAAATTGGTTTATCTTTTTCAGCGAAATGGATTTACTTACTATGCCAAAAAATTCTGGAATTCTACGTTTAGTCCAGTGGCCACTAGTTCTACTCGCGAGTAAGGTATGCGATATACTGCTTCCTGGTGCTTGTGGTCTTTATAATGTATTTTTTGAAAAAAAGTTTGGTTTTTCAGAGGTAACTCATATATTTATTTTCAACCAGATATTTGTGGCTAAAGACGTTGCGCTTGACAACAAAATATCCCAAGAAGAGCTTTGGGAGAAAATCTCGAGGGACGAATATATGAAATATGCTGTTAAGGAGTGTTTCCAAAGTGTTGAACTAATCTTGATGTCAATTCTGAATAATGAGGGGAAAATATGGTATGTTCTTATAATTGAATAGTCACGGCTATGGGTTGCAATGTAGTATACTTTCTACTCTTTTTCTCCCTCCTAGTGTCTGTACTTTGCTTTTGATTTCAGGGTAGAGAGGATATACTCAGATATTAATGATAGCATACAAAAGAAAAGCATCCAGAAGGACTTTCAACTGAGCAGGCTTCAGCTTGTTATTTCAAGGATTACTGCGCTAACTGGAATACTGGTAAACGAATTGATTTTCAGAATAGTTTCTTTATGCTGTTTAAACCAATATCCAGTTAGTGGACGATGTCGTGTATAATAAAAACAACTTACATGCATTCAGTATTGATGAAAAGTACATGTAGAATGTTCTACTCCTTTTCGCCAATTTATCTTACAAAAATCATCTCATAGGATTTTTAGATGATTTTAATTGTACAAATTGATGAGTTTTTGAACTGATCCTTGTACTCTACTTTCTTAAATATCTTACTTCTAATGTCAGACAGTTATAGTTCTGGAGCTACGTAGTAGAAAATGTTCGTGGGAATACAACTCAGAAGACTTTCAGTGTTATAGTTGCATTGTCCACTTGTTCAGCTATAGCTGTTGCTAGTCATTGTGTACACTCTGGGATATCTTACAATTTAGTACCAATTTTTTCCCTGAAATTTTTTTTGATTAGCCCCCTAGTATTTGGGTAATAATCTGTTCCTTTAATTGTTAGTTTTTATCACAGATCGTTCAGATATTTCAAATTCTTGTTCTCACAGTGTTCTTCCTAATGGTTCCATTATGATTATTTTTTTCAAAATTCTACCCAAAGTTCTCATTCTATATGAGATTTTGATTGTGATGCCGTTTCTTTTTTCTCTCCCATGCCTTGCCAATAAAGAAAGAAGCCGAGTCAGTTGATTTAACTAATGGAGCTATTAAGGCGATTCAAGATTTGTATGATGTTGTTCATCATGATGTGTACTCCCTAGACATGAGGTACACCTTATTCTGGAGAAGTCCTTAAGCCTGTGCTCTTGTGCATTTTTATTTGTTACTTGACCATAATTTTTATTTTTTAGAGCTAACCTTGATGTATGGAACAAAATATCACGTGCAAAAGTTGAAGGTCGTCTATTTTCTGAGCTCAAGTGGCCTATGGATCCTGAACTGGTATTTTCCCGTCCTTTGTTTTTCCTTACTGGGGCTGATGATTTCCTCCCTTGTTTTCGTATCTTCTGATGTTCTTCTATTCTCATTTTTTTTTCTAACAGAAGTTACAAATTAGACGATTGCATTCATTGCTGACTATCAAAGAGTCTGCTGCCAATGTACCAAAAAATTTAGAAGCTAGACGAAGATTGGAGTTTTTCACCAACTCCCTTTTTATGCAAATGCCTGAAGCAAAGCAAGTTCGTGAAATGTTGTCCTTCAGGTGAAAGAGTTGTTTCTCATATAGTCTGTATTTTTCTTATCTATTTTGTACACTACTGATTTTATGTGTTTCTAATTTTCCTAACGTGCAGTGTTTTCACTCCATATTATTCGGAGACTGTGCTTTATACTGTGGATGAACTCCAAAAGAAAAATGAGGATGGGATATCTACTTTGTTTTACCTGCAAAAGATTTTTCCAGGTTATTCTCCTTGGCTTATTTATGGATTTAAGATTGTGTGGTATTTTGCACGTCATGTTGAGCATTTGATAACCGTCTTTGATGTGATGGGCGATAGGTTCTCTTGCAAGGACGTCAGGGTTTTTATTCAAATTCAACAATCAATTATCAATTTAGTTATGTTTACTTCGTTGCAGTAGTATCAAGGAATATTGTCCACATAGCAATCTATAGAAAGTGTGGCAATGACCCGATCTTCTGTCACACTGGTTGCCAATGTATTGCCATGACTAGATTAGTTATTTGCCTCGATCTTCTCTCACAGTGGCTATCAATGGGCAATGGTTCCAGTGAAATAGGTGTTAATATTGCCCAGCAGTGGTGTTTTGTCTCCCCCATTTCCCTTTGGACTGTTTCAAGAATATTGATGTCATGTGAGTTTCTTGCGATGATTAATCTTCCTGCACTTGTTTTCTTTGTTATAGATGAATGGAACAACTTTCTTGCACGAATAGGAAAGGATGAAAATTCACTTGAGTCTGAACTTTATGAGAACCCAAATGATGTTTTGGAGCTTCGGTTTTGGGCTTCATATCGTGGACAAACTTTAGCACGAACTGGTAAACATTTTTGCTCTCATTCTTTTATGGTTGCTGATGTAAAATGTCTGTCAGTCCTCTTCATCTGCATTGTTTTCGTCTTATGGTGGTGGAGCAATATCAAACAATGCAAAATTTAATGATCTATCGAAAGTCAGCTTGTTTGGAATCTGTGAACTACCTATGCACCTTGTATTCATATATTTCACTAATGACTATAAAGCATAAATTATCTTTATATGCCTCATTTAACAGATTTTTTGGTTCTTGTAAATATCTTATTCTTTATCTTTTGACGTTAATTTTCCTTCTGATATCCAGTCGTTATAAAACTGCAAGCTGGAAGTCAGTTGTGGTTTACTTGTAGGTTTTTCTTGTCTATTTATATCCAAATATCGGTTTTGTGTGTGCACTATTGGTTTGCGTCAATTGAGACTCACGAAACCCAAAGGTGGCATCCGCCTTACCATGAAACTGTCGAAAGGGTACTACCGTAGTTCATTATAAATATTTCGCCTTGAGGAGATCGTCTAGTTTCTCATCTCCATTGAGGATCTGGATCCCCATTTTGCTGTTGCACCAGAGGTGGACTGAACTGAGCTACCTTATGCTTCTGCTTGCAAATTGTCTCCAGGCATAAATTAGTTTTGCTTCAATAGTTTTCTTTAATATCCTAGTCTTTATACATAATGCTAAAAGGCACCTTAAAACTAACGAAACTATTTTATGTATTATTTATTTATGATATATGTGAAGTAACTAATACCGCAAAAAAAAAGTCATGTTGAAGTTCTATAGTTGCTTTTAGTGAATTATACTATACATTTAAAATATTTTTTATTTTTAATGAAATTTGATGAATAATTTTGTTTAAGATATTTAATTCTTGAGCTATCTGTGTCAGATTGGCGTTGTTGGTAATTGATTGCAATTTACTATGAATATTTGTTTATCTGGTGCTGTACTAATTGTACTTATTATTAACGCTTAAACAAAACTCTGCGAAATTTTTGGCGAAGAAGACATGGGGCTATAGCCTGGGTTGTATTGTTCAGAAAATGCTGGAAACTGGAGTCCATGTAGAAGTACCTCACAAGAGCAGGGAGGGAAATGATCAGATTTTAGTTTGATGACACAATAGTTATAACACTTTGAACAAATTAATTGCACGAGGGTCACGAGATTTGCAGTGGATTGGTCAATTGCAGACATACTCTACTTTTCAAGCCACGTGAAAATTTTACTATGTAATTTTATAAGTTAGCACCACGATGTGTAAGGTAAAACTTCACATTAGCTGCCCAGTATTACTTTATAGTAAGTTTTCTCTTTCAGCAAATGAACGAATAGAATGCAATAAAGCATTTTACTAAGTACGTAGTACAGTTAGAGAAAGATCCATGGTGTCGAAGTCTTTGTCAATCCTAAATGTAAGAATCTTTCATAGATCTTTAAGATTTTCCGCCCTTTAAAGAGAGATTTAGAATCTTGACGTTTACTATGCTATAGTTCAGGCAGGTCTTTTCTTTTATTATAATACTTGTTTCTGAGGTTTGGACATGACTTCGGTTTTGGCTTCTGTTGTATATCGAATTAAGTCTGGTGCACTGGAAAGAACACCCTCGCGCCTGTGGACAAAATGTTCTTTCATTCAAAAAGATTATTTACAAAGTGCAGGGGTCTGGTATTTATAGTAGATTCTGGAAGGTTCTAGACAGAACCCACACTTAGAAGGTTCTAGACACAGCTATCCTTGGGTCCCATCAACACTTCCCCTCAAGCTGGGGAGATACCCTTGGTAAGCATGTCTACCAATTGATCGTGAATAGATATGTATGGCATACAAATCAAATTTATCTCTAATTTTTCTTTGATGAAATGATGATCAACTTCTACGTGCTTGGTACGATCATGTTGTACCAGAATATGCACAATATTAATGTTGACTTGTTATTGCAGTAAAGTTTCATCGGACCAGCCAGAGAGATTTTTAGTTCATCAATATTTTCACCCAAAATAACTCTGGGCAAGTGCGCCCTAAATTCAGCTTCAGCACTTGAACGGGCAACTGCATTCTATTTCTTACTCCACATAACAAGGTTGCCACTAATCAATGCGAAATGTCGAGAAGTCGATCTTTAGTTAGTCATTGATCCTGCATTGTTTGCATAGTCATTGATCTTCTGACCACTAGATTAAATTGTGCCCAGTCAATTTGAATTCCATAGGCATTGTAGGCAGTTCTACCAATAGTCGTGGGGCAGTGGTATCAGGATTAGAATTCATTAAGGATGAAGATCTCCCATCAAAGAAGATGAAAGATCTCCCACTTATGACATAAAATCACAAGAAAAACAGCCAGATTTGCTAGATTTAATCCTGTAAGCAATCACTCGACTCAAAAGGTGACTAATGGCTCAAGAATCATTAGTATAAAAGAATAGATTACTGTGGAAGAGAAAGGAGCAATCACACCTGGATTCGCTCTGGTATCATGTTGTATATCGAAGGAGGTCTGGTGTGCTGGAAAGTCCGCCTTCATCCCTGTGGAGAAAATGTTCTGTCATTCAAAAAGTTATTTACAAAGTGGAAAATTCTGGTATTTATACCAGACCCTGGAAGCTTCTAGACTTCTATTCCTACCAGACCCTGAGAGGTTCTAGACACAGCTATCCTCGGGAATATGCCCGTCAACAGCTTCAAAAATCATGAGGTGTCTCTAATAATTGATGTGAAACTCCTCTGGTTTTGTTTCCATTTTTTGCTCATTCTATTAGTATTGAGGCTTATACTGCGTTGTCAACGTGTTAATTAACCTGATTTCTTAATTGACCTTGTGGAGAATAAATCTTGAATATTTTTTGTAGACACTTGTAGATTGGTCTCCAGTCTCTTTTCTAGTAGACTTCTATGCTGAGTCTTCTCTTAGAATCATTAGCGTTGTCGCTAAGCCTGCCTTCAAGAACTATGGTAGTAGAGAAGCAGTACGAAGTTGTTGGGTAAGAAAGAACGCTAGACGTTAGAAGTAAGCTATTGAGCGAAGTTTAGCCCGACTAAGGCTTAGCTCATCACAATATACGCTGAGGTCAACGTATGGACATGTCAGTTCGTTATCAATTTCTTAGTTTCTAGTTTATGTTTTGAAGTAAATGTGTCAACATAGAGATTGGCTGTCAGCACCTTTTTATGTGGTTAAACAAGCGCCAACTATATGGTGTCTGGCCTTTGTTCGTGCAAAGTGCAATATTGGTTTCTCTATTTCCACTGTAATACACAAAGTTGATCTATCTCTCATTATATGGTTTCCGGGATTGCTCTATATATGTTATTTTGTACTTTCCTTTTCTGTGGGAAATTTATACAATTTGTCAATTTGTGTAAATGATCACCTTTCTGACCATTTATATTCTGTGATACTTAGCATTTCATCTTAGTAATATGCAGAATATCACCATTATTTTATCCTTTACCTTGTTGATGTAAAAGTCATCTTTTTAGCATATGCTTCTTAGTTACTTTATTTTCATAGCTATTCATTTTTTTACGTATTATGATAAATTACGTTGCTGTTTTCACGTAGTTGATTACATGTCATTTGGGTGATCCTTGTTATCACTTTACTTCTGAGATTTTGGTACTTTCTTGCAATATTAAAAGCTTTTAAATGGTGCAGTTCGTGGCATGATGTATTATAGAAAAGCCCTAATGCTGCAGAGTTATTTGGAGAGGAATAATTTTGGAGGTTCGTACATTGCAGAATGGTTTCTTTTGTGCGGCATTTGTTAGATCCCTCATCGTATTCTATAATTTCAGATCCAGAAGCTGCATACTCTCTCGATAATACAGCTGACACTCAAGGATATGAGTTGTCACCTGAAGCCCGAGCTCTGGCAGATTTAAAATTTACCTATGTGGTTACATGTCAAATTTATGGCAAGCAGAAGGAGGAACAGCAGCCGCAGGCTGCAGATATTCTATTATTAATGCAAAGGTTCGTCTACACCATATCAAGGTCATGTCAGTCTGCCATAAATATAGATAAGTGACGAATTTCTGACTTTTGGTTTTGTAGGAACGAGGCTCTTAGAGTTGCCTTTATTCATGATATCGAAACGTTAAAGGATGGAAAGCCTTATATTGAGCACTATTCGAAACTCGTGAAAGGAGATATCCATGGCAAAGACAAGGTCTCTGTTTTCTTAATTACATTCTTGAAGTCTGAGATATTACGTTTGCATTTTTCTCTGAGACATTATACTGTTATTTTTTTTCCTTTTTGATTTCCTACGTGTATCATTCACAATTTGAGGAGGTCCTCTAATTATTGGGACAGCTGCTCATCGAGGGCATATGCTTTACCGAAAATGAGAAAGAAAGAACCGGCTCCAAATTAGTTGATTCTTAGCCAGATTGGGGGGGTGGGGTTGCCGCAATTAATCTTCCAGATTCCTTTCTTTTTATTCGCCCAGTTACTGCCTCTACTATTCTTCATACTCCCACATAAACACCGCCATCCACCTGTGTTTATCTTTTTATTTTCCGTTCATAGTTTTCTAAATACGTACCTTCAAATTCTAGTCTATTGCTGCCATCGAGCTTTGTTGATCATGTGTTCTCGTCATTTTTCTGGTATTTCTCCCCTTATACTTAACTGCTCATAGACTTCCATTTATGGGCATCGACTCGTCTTTACTGCTTTTATATTTGACTTTGAGATATTTAGCTCTATATTAATCTAATTTAGTATTGTTTATTGCATCTGGAACTCAATTCGTCAGGATATGGTTTCATTTCACTTTTGCAGGAGATTTACAAGATTAAATTGCCAGGAAATCCAAAACTCGGTGAAGGAAAGCCCGAGAATCAAAACCACGCTATAATATTTACCCGTGGAAATGCGGTACAAACTATTGATATGAACCAGGTAATTTTTATTGAATTTCGATTCGATTCCTATGAAGTTATTTGTGTGAGTAAATGAACGTTTTATCATGCGGGATTTAGGTGTAATTTCATTCGTTCAATAATCTGTTACCGTTAACCTGTTTTCCTTTTTTAATATGCTTCGTTAATTTTAAGATTTTCAAATATCTGTCAAGTAGAATGAGATTTTATCCATGATTATAGAGGTTAGTCTTCCTTATCGTATATGCTTGCTAGTAATGAGGTGACTCTGACTAGAATTGTAGTTACAACTAGTATTCAAAGGATTTAAAATTATTGAACTATCATTATTGAGATATTTGTATTCCGTGTGGCGTGTGCACCATGGGGGTTCGACTTAGTGTCTATCTATAGTTCTTATCGAGGATATTTTCTTCTTACTAAACCTTGGTGAAACTGGATATATGGGATAGTATCGTTCAGGATTAAGGCTTATCTTCTGTAGAAATATTGCTTGACGGCTTTTTTATAAAGAAAACACCGAATACAGTTTCCTGATGATAGGCAAGGCTCTTAAAGGTTGACAGGTCAGGCAACATTTATTCGTTTTACAAGGGTACAATAAGAACGAAACGTAGTGTTTGGCATGACTTTATCTAAACCAAGTTCAACACGACAGGTTCAGACGAGAATTTTAAAGCTCTTAACTGCTTTCAGAAATGTATAGTTTCAGAAGGTGAATGTTCGTTGAAAGTCAGGTTGCAACTAGCATTAAGGTTTATGCAAGTATTGAAGTGCTTTTTCTATGGACACTGTAGATTCACATTTTATGTGGCTTTATGTTCAAATAAAGGCTGGATTCATTGTCTAAATATATTTAGTCTAAATATGTTTTATTTTCCCCACGTATCAGGATAATTATTTTGAAGAAGCTTTGAAAATGAGAAATCTTCTTGAAGAGTTTCGTGGTGATCATGGCCTTCGTCCGCCAACCATTTTGGGTCTGAGAGAGCATGTCTTCACTGGGAGGTATATTTGCTATTGTTCTTTTGCAGGGATTTTATTTTCTGACTATCATGCTTACATTTGCCTGTGAAACGATATGCAGTGTATCGTCTTTAGCATCATTCATGTCACATCAAGAAACAAGCTTTGTGACATTGGGACAACGTGTTTTAGCAAATCCTCTAAAGTAAGTAGATGTTTTGACCAGATCTTCGTTGTTCTTTAATGTCTTTAACATAGTATAACTCCAATGTGTACCAATTTATAGGGTGCGTATGCATTATGGGCATCCCGATGTATTTGATAGAATTTTCCATATAACAAGAGGTGGTATCAGCAAGGCATCTCGTGTGATAAACATCAGTGAAGACATTTACTCGGGTATTTTTTTAATACCGGAATGCTGTCGTCTATATGCTCAAATTTTATTCTTTTGAAACGCTTTGGCAATGCGACTTGGAAAATCTTTTGTGGAGTTTTTCTTTACTGCTCTGTTTTCTGCAAGGCAACTGCTCATTTCCATGTGTGAAATCTCTTTCAAATCTCCTTTCACTCTGCCAGATATCCGTAGCGTTCAAGATGTACGTTTTTTCAACACTTTCTTGTTGAATCACCCTCGTTTTCCATTCGTTTTGCTGGAAAAAATTTAAAGGGTCGAATTTCACACTATACGGTTAGTCTCTATGAAAAGCATCTCTTTCACTCCCAACATTCCATTTTTTTTTTCGTCCCAAAACTGTTCTTAAGGATGATCATATTTCACTCCAAATGAGTCCGATAAGTCAAATGAGACCAACCGTATAGTCTTTCACATCTCATCATTTAATTGTTGGTCATGCAAAATTAGCCTGTTTGAATTGGAGGTTCCAAACTCTTAAGCAAGAAGACATGAAATATGGAAAGTGGCTTCTATTGAAGAACATTGTAATTTCGTTCTAGCCTTGAGATTTGGCTTATGATTCTGTGGAAGAAGAGGGCTTCCGAGGTGCCATTGCATGTTACCAAAGCTAATGAGACTATTTCCACTTATTCATGTGGTGGCTTCATAATCACCAATGTTTTGTCAGTTTTTTCACACTTAAACGAAAATTTATTTCCGATTAATAATTATTTTCTATGATAGTTTTGCAATAGTTTCGTATTCACAGTTATCATTCATGTTTCTTATTTCCATCACAATGATTATTTTTTATTCTAATTGTTGAAGTTTTCCGCAGGTTTCAATTCAACTTTGCGTCAAGGGAATGTCACCCATCATGAGTACATCCAGGTAATGAAAATAATGCTTATCATGTTTCCTTCTGATTACTCATATTTCTTTCTTCTTTTTATCAAAAAGGTTGGCAAGGGAAGGGATGTTGGATTAAATCAGATTGCAATATTTGAGGGCAAAGTATCTGGGGGCAACGGTGAACAAGTTCTTAGCAGGGATGTATACAGACTTGGCCAGCTCTTTGACTTCTTCAGGATGATGTCGTTCTATTTTACCACTGTTGGATACTATTTCTGTACAATGGTATGTTTTCCTTCGGTGCATGTCAGATACCAACTTCCATTCTTTACCTGCATACAATTTAGTGAATCATGTCTAAAAAACGTTTTTGGTAAAGTTGTCTAGTCGTTTTAAATTATTAATGAGTCAAAATTCACACAGGAGAGATCTGCTGCTTTTTTACCTTTTAAATTAAACGTTAGAATTCACATTGTGCACTAATCAGTTCAAAGTTATAATAATATTACATCATTCACAGGGAATTGAGAACCTGAGCTGGGCCTCTTTCGGAACACAGAAGATAAAAAGACAATAAATCATGAATTGAGAAGTCTTGGCAATAAAGTGCCGAACATGCTCTTTGAAATGCATTTACCCTTAATAGAGCCATATTTCCACATTGACAACCGGTCTCAAAAAACTTGTGATCATTCACCTCGACCTGCCTCTTCTGAGACTTGGGAATTTCAATTAGAAATATTATGAAGAACATGAACTGATAAACACCACACGCTACAGCCTAAAGATAAACGTACTTGCATATTATCATGCATTTAGTCTTGATGAAAGTTTAGGCTATTACATGTTTATTTTACATACCAGAGAGGTGATGTCTTTGTGTGGCTATTCATTTTTCAAATAAGGCGGGTATTTGTTTTAATATAATTTGCATATCATATTTTTTACTGCTTTTCCTATGTTGTAATAGTAATTTCTGTCTCGGTGCAGTTAACAGTTTGGACTGTGTACATTTTTCTTTATGGGAAAACCTATCTGGTGAGTATGATACATCCTTTATGAGATATAAATCCCGTCTGGTACGAAGTATTTAATATCACATATGAGCCCAATTTATGTAGCTTTCCTGTAGATGTCTTACCTGTATGTTATCTCCGGTCTCTATCATATTACACCCTAGCTATAACCCTAATGTTCTTGCCAGGAATTGTTGTAACCAACTATATTTGTTGATGATTTTGTGCATCATTTTCCTCCATTATTTCCATCAAAGTTTGCTTGGTCGACTCGTCGATTTTTATTTGTGAGAATTTTTCTTTACATATCTTATTTGAACTCTTGACTTTGAACTTGGCCTATCAGTTTTCTCGGTTTTTAAAGCACATCTGCCGAACTATGGAGCTTTACTTGTTCCCTATTTACCTATATTCCTTTTTAAAAATGATCAAGGATGGCATGAACTAGACTAGAAACTGAAACTAATTTTAGTACTACCAGTTTGTCAACTGAAACGAATGTTAACATGAATTAGTGCTCTTTTTCTCTTATCCGTCACAGGGGGTTTTCTCTTCCTAATAGTTATCATTATTAAATTCAGTTTATCATGATTCAAAAATAAATTGAATCAGGTTGATGAAAATGGATATGAGACACATTGGATGTTTGTTTATTGATTAATTTCCCCAAATCTTAATTACTTGGTTTTCCTGGGGATGATGACGATGATGGTGACCGCAATGATGTTTGTTTTGTGGTTAATTCGTGTGCATGGCTGGCTTGCATATCATATATTTATTATTACTAATGACAATGCATTCGGTTGTTGTCACAATGCTTTCTACTCTCCAGGCATTGTCTGGTGTTGGTGAAGCTATTCAGGACAGAGCAGATATATTAGGGAACACTGCATTGAGTGCTGCTCTCAATACACAGTTTTTGTTCCAAATTGGCGTCTTTACTGCAGTTCCAATGATCCTGGGTTTTATTTTGGAGCAAGGTTTTTTCACGGTAAGTTTACCCATTTTCCCACTTTTGCTGGAGAATATGGTGTTGAATCGTGACCCATCGAGAAGTTGTCTTAAATCTTTCTGCAGATCTGAATTTCTTCACAATGCGCACTCTTTCTTTAATGTTTCGATTTCTTGACGTACTGAAGTTTCATTTTTCAGGCTGTTGTCACCTTTACCACAATGCAGCTTCAGCTCTGTTCTGTCTTTTTTACTTTTTCTCTTGGAACGAAGAGTCACTATTTTGGTCGAACAATTCTCCATGGAGGGGCAAGGGTACAAAGCTATTCCTTTTCCTCTTTTCTTTGGTCCTTCATCGGTGAATATTTTGAAGTGTTGACTATTGATACTGTCTTTATTGTTTGTGCTTTACTCAGTATCAAGCAACAGGAAGAGGTTTTGTAGTTCGCCATATAAGATTCTCTGAGAATTACCGGCTCTACTCCCGTAGCCATTTTGTAAAAGGGTCAGCATTCTTTGATAGATATTACTTGAAATTTCATATATTCTGACCATCTGGTAATGCTTCTGACTCCAAGTGTTCATCATGCAGAATGGAAGTTGTCCTTTTGTTAATTATATACCTGGCATATGGCTATAATGAAGGTGGTGCAATTTCGTATATCCTTCTTAGCATCAGCAGTTGGTTCATGGCGCTTTCATGGCTTTTTGCTCCATATTTGTTTAATCCTTCCGGGTTTGAATGGCAAAAGTAGGACTGACAACTTAACTTCCTTTCCATGCATGTATACTGATCACATATCCTGATCATCAATTTTCGTTATTTCCGATAGGGCGGTGGAGGATTTTAAGGACTGGACAAATTGGCTTCTCTATAGAGGTGGGATTGGAGTTAATGGGAAGGAAAGCTGGGAAGCATGGTGGGATGAAGAAATGGTATGCACATCTTTCTCTCACATCCTTGAATGGTTTGATTGACAGGTTTTAAGATATTCGAGTTGAACGGTTTTATTTTCCCACCCAGGCACATATCCACACGCTGAGAGGAAGAATACTGGAGACCATATTGAATTTAAGGTTCTTTATATTTCAGTTCGGCGTGGTGTACAAGTTGCATGCAACTGGATCTGATACATCATTAACGGTGACATTTTATATTTCTTTGCCCATTTTATTTTTTAGGCGATTAATGTTGTGTTTTCGCTAACGGTGACTGTCCTGCTACCTCTGAGCTGGTCCTCTTTATATATATTTATATATATAATAAGAACGTTTTTATGATCGTAATTTCATGAGGGTGGTCAGTGGTACTGCATGTGCAGATGAAGCAATCTGAACGTGGGGATTTGTGTCAGTGGTCTTTAAGAGTTTGAGATTACATATATAAATGAGCCTATCTATTTTGCTTTGTTATTCAAATTTACTGAGTAAATAGCGTTCTATTTACTCCGCATGCTTGAGGCTTATTCAGTTGTTTCAAATAACTCAAGCATTAAAGGAGTCTTCGAAATGCCACCTGGGTGTCTCAAAAATTAGAATTCATTGAGGTTTTAGACGAGGTCGTGTTCTTCCTTGCTGTTCAACGCTTGCAATTGTCATGTACTCTCCGGAAACACGATTCTTCCTCCCTCCACAGACAAATTTTACTACTCATGGAGATGATGTTTACCCAATCGATTTCTTATCTCTTTTCTTTTTTTTTCTCCCTTTTTTTCTTTGATTATGCTCATTTTCCCTCTGACCCAGATGCTCACAGTGATTTATTTGTATGAGGGACAAGCATTGGCTTCTTTGTTTTAAGAAAAAAAAACTGATCGGAGATGTCACGCTCAATGAGACATTGAATATTTTATTTCAAGTGAAGAGACCCTTTTTCCACCAAAATCTCGACATAATCTTCCCTTTTTTTCTCATATTTTTTCTGTACAGGTATATGGCCTATCATGGGTGGTACTGGCTGTGCTGTTCATCCTCTTTCAGGTCTATAATATGCCAGAAACTTCGTAAAGATCCAAGATTATCGACGCAGACACATCTCTCGATGCATTTCCTCTTATGCAATTTGTTTCATCCCTGTGATCGTCAGGTGTTCAGCTTCAGTCAAAAGGCGTCCGTAAATTTCCAGCTCCTGCTGCGCCTTATTCAAGGCGTCTCCTTCATGCTCGCTTTCGCCGGAATAGCGGTGGCCATCGTGGTTACAGATCTATCCGTGCCCGATATCTTTGCCTGCATCTTGGCATTCGTCCCCACCGGCTGGGGAATTCTCAGCGTGAGTAATAAAATATCTGCTTTGTTTCTCCCACGCATTGTCTTATTCATCTATCTGCCATCGGGTTTCCTCCCCAGTTTCTTTTCGTTTGGCTTTACAACGAGCAGGGTGAAGTATATTATGTGGACTTGCTTGGTAGTTGATCTCCGCAATGAGTTTTCGACTTTCTTAGCCATTAATCGCGTTGACTGGTAGGCGAAAAGAAGAAAATTGGGTTTATTGTTTCAAACTTCTTTCATTATTCGTTTTATAACTAGAAAAGGGGACATGATATCCCGAATCGGCTGATCGGCTGATCTTGGGGATGAATCCGGAATACCCATCATTTCTTTCTTCTTGTTGTTGTTGTTGCTGGAAGAACAATCCTTTATGCCGCTTTCAGAAGGTGCTATAAATAAACCCTAGTTTCTAAAAGAGAAGATACCCCAATAATCCATCAAAGAAACGAGAGCTGCTGGCCACTGTTGCACACCTGGGTGGCTGTACTCTTTCTATGATTATTATTATTATTATTATTATTATTATTCTTATTATTATTATTATTAACTCAATTATACAACATTACTGATAATCCTGTTTTCCTTCTCTTTAATCTTGATAATCGTTTCTTTTATTCATGATTATCTTCTGGTTGTTAACAACCGATTTGGTATTATATTATTTTAGTTTGGGGAGATGTTGTATCATATTTTTGTTGTTTCTAAGATTTGGTATTACATTATACGACATCTATCATTTTGTTTTTTGCTAAAAGCGCAAGTAACCAAAAGAAAAACGTCGTCGTCATCGTTGTTGTAGATCGCTGTGGCGTGGAAGCCGTTAATGAAGAAACTGAAGCTGTGGAAATCGATCCGCACCCTCGCACGGCTCTACGACGCCGGGATGGGCATGTTCATCTTCATCCCGATCTTCGTGGGCTCGTGGTTCCCCTTCGTCTCCACCTTCCAGACCCGGCTTCTCTTCAACCAGGCATTCAGCCGAGGTCTCGAGATCTCCCTCATCCTCGCTGGAAACAACCCAAACACCGGCCTATGAGCACAGACTCCACTCCCACTTTGACTCCAACACCCAGTCCTCCCCCTCCACAACGACTTGGGAAGAGGATTCTTCGCGTTCATCGGGAACTCGAGCCAAGCGGGCGATTTGTTTCTTTGAAACGCCATCTGGAACTGTGCTTGATTTTGCGGAACGCACTCATCCGTTACCCTCTCACACGCTCGAGACGGTCCAGTTATTAAGGTTATTAAGTTTTGAAGATGCTCTCTACTCTAATCTAATCTAATCTAATCTAATCTCTCGTCGAGATAAATCCCTAACTCTGGACCGATGCTGCTCTCGTTTTTATACCACATGGTTGACGACGTCCCTGGTCAGCTTGTCCGTCCGTCCGTCTGTCTCTCCTCGCAATGAATGCTCCACCTTTCCGCGGCGTAGGTCTTTATATTTTATACGCAGAGGCGGACCCATTTAATAAAATCTGAAAGGCCCCGGTCATCATTACCTCGGCAGCCATGAATAGCAAGTAATAAATAAATAAATAAAAAAGGAGGGATATCTCATCTCATCTCATGGTGCCCACATTTTATAAGCAGTCCGAACAGCGTCAACAGCATTAAATTAGAAGAAAGAAATGAAGCAAGATCGGGGGGAGGGAGTGATGATTGATGATGGTCCAGACCCAAAGAATAAACGAGGGAGAGGATGACACGGGAGAGCACAGTTTAGGATTGTTTAAGGTTTTCATCCTTCTGGGGTGGGGCAGGCAAATAGATAGAGAGAGAGAGAGAGAGAGAGAGAGATACGAGGGAACGGGGTGTTGTCCCCCACCCCACCCCCCTTTCAGCCAGGACTCTCTTTCTTTCTCTTTCTCTCTCCTCAGAAGCACTTCCTGTGGACAATTGCCGGGCCCGACTCGTCGTACTCCGCCTTCGAGATCCACATCTACACAGAAAGAAGCACACCCACCTTGAGACATCATCTAGAAAAGAGGGGAGGCGTTGTTGAAGAGAGAGAGAGAGAGAGAGAAGAATTGATTTAATGTTGATGTGCGTCCTCACTCACCTGCTGGAAGGTGCTGAGAGAGGCCAGGATGGATCCGCCTATCCAGACGCTGTACTTCCTCTCGGGCGGGGCCACCACCTTGATCTTCATGCTGCTGGGGGCCAGCGCCGTGATCTCCTTGCTCATCCTGTCGGCGATGCCGGGGAACATGGTGGAGCCGCCGCTCAGCACGATGTTGCCGTACAAGTCCTTCCTTATGTCGACGTCGCACTTCATGATGGAGTTGTAGGTGGTCTCGTGGATACCGGCGGCTTCCATCCCGATCATTGACGGCTGGAAGAGCACCTCCGGGCAGCGGAAACGCTCCGCGCCGATGGTGATGATCTGCCCGTCGGGCAGCTCGTAGCTCTTCTCCACGGAGGAGCTCGTCTTGGCCGTCTCGAGCTCCTGCTCGTAGTCCAGGGCGATGTAGGCCAGCTTCTCCTTGATGTCCCGCACGATTTCCCTCTCGGCCGTGGTGGTGAACGAGTACCCGCGCTCGGTGAGGATCTTCATGAGGGCGTCCGTCAGATCACGCCCGGCCAGATCAAGGCGGAGGATGGCGTGCGGCAGCGCATATCCTTCGTAGATTGGAACCGTGTGGCTGACCCCGTCCCCCGAGTCCAGCACAATACCTATTCATTCACACACCGCCATAAGCTTCCGTCGTCCATCCATCGAGACAGATCATCAAGACAATGCCAAACCAGAGCTCAAACGAATGAAACCCTTTCTAATCTTTATAAACACTGACACAGTAGGCTTACTTTTCCTGTTATGAGCAAGAACAGCTCGCATTGACTTTAACAGACCAGGGGATATTTAATCCATTATACTTCATAGTTGAAGTCAAATCATAGAGATCAAGACTACAATCCCAAATTCAATATATATATATATATATATTATTTTACTTTTTCTGGCAAAAAAAAAACATTTCAAATCTTCGAAGCAAATCCTAAAAATGAAAAAAAGGAGAACAGGAGTTCCATAAATGAAGAAAACATAAACTTGGTTCACATAAGTAATCCTTGAGAGACTTCAGATGTACAAGAATACTGAGACAAATATACACAAAAGCATTAATGACAAGAGCTCCTACTTCAAGATCAAAAACAGCCAAGTACACACAATTTCAGATCAATATGGCTACAGACCCGGAGTGATAGATTTTCAATACCTGTTGTGCGACCACTGGCATAGAGAGAGAGAACGGCCTGAATTGCAACATACATAGCAGGAGTGTTGAATGTCTCAAACATGATCTGGGTCATCTTCTCACGATTGGCCTTGGGATTGAGGGGAGCCTCAGTAAGGAGCACTGGGTGCTCTTCCGGGGCAACACGCAACTCGTTGTAGAAAGTGTGATGCCAAATCTTCTCCATGTCATCCCAGTTGCTGACAATCCCGTGCTCAATTGGATACTTCAGGGTCAGAATTCCACGCTTGGATTGGGCCTCATCCCCAACATATGAATCCTTCTGTCCCATGCCAACCATCACACCAGTGTGACGAGGGCGACCCACTATGCTAGGAAAAACAGCCCTTGGGGCATCATCTCCAGCAAATCCAGCCTGAAAAAAAAGGACACCAAGGTAAGTTTATTGCACATGATTCTGCAAAGAAATTTCGCTCCATATTTCAAGACATCCGCACCATTGAAACTTTTCCTCGGTCTTCTTGGGCTCCCCATTTTCATGAATATTTCAACAGTGACGATACCCATATTATGCTGTGGATACTATAGCAGGTGCGCATTAGACCTCTCGTACGTGTGTGAATCGAACCAGAAACGTATAGCATATAACCCATAATTTTTTTAACGAGATAAGACGTTTTATTGTGGATTAACTTTAGTACCATAAGAAGATAGCAAAAGCCGGGAAGATGAATCCCTGAGTAGTTACCTTGACCATTCCGGTACCATTGTCGCACACAAGGGGTTGAATATCATCAGCATCAGCCATCTCTTACGTCTGAAAAGGAGAAATCTTCAACGTAAATGCGGAGGCACGAAAAGGTAATAAAAAAATGCATGCGTAGATTAACCAAAGCATCTACTCCTGGGGAGAGCCGTACAAGATTCAGTCTCATATCCAGGTTTACTCCGAAACCACACTTATCGGTAAATACTCGGAAGGAGAAAAATGAATGAAAACATTAAATCATAAGCTTATGAATGAAAAAGGTGTAACCAATAAGTGATTAAAAAATCAAGGGATTGTTTTCCAGATTATGAAAAAAAAAATACCCAGCGTGGACACCCTCAACGCATTTTTATGGCTAGGATTCTTCACTATAGGATACGTGTGTCAAAACCATCGTAGCAGCAGCTTTGGCGAATCATCTTGCGCGTGAAAGATAATTGAACAAAAACATAGAAGACAATAAAAGATCAAAACCTACGGAAAGATGATAAACTCAGATCTGCGAGCAGCACAGCAATGAGAAAAGAGATGCAGGAAAAAAAAGCAGACTCAATCGTCAAGAGTATCTTGAGCCAATGACGACGAATAGCGAATCGCGTCGCCAGCATTATTCCCGCACCGCTTTTGATTCAAAAAACAAGTGCACACAAATGCGCGCTCTAGCCCCAATGTGGCCACATTCCATCCGCCTAGAGCAGGAAACGGCACATTGTCAGGACGTCGACGCACCAGCCGTCTGACCAGACAATCGAATCACAAAACCTAGGTCTCAATAAAAACAAAGAAGAAACAGAAGGAGGATCTGCAAACACGGGGAAACCAAACATTTTCCTCCTCGACCTCTACGAGAGGAGCATAAGCATCGAGAAACGAACAACGACAGCGGCCCCCGGGGATCGGCACAGAGCGGAGATCTTGCTCGATCCATCTCAACCAACGAAGAAAACATCAAGAGAGAGCGGATGCAAACCTCGGGGTGAAACCCTAGCTCGGAATCAACCTTGCCTGGAGGAGCAGCCCCCGCAGCGTCTCTTCGCTTCCTCGTCGCCCTGTCCAACCCCACGTATTGTCTTCTCACCCCGCCTCGCTGTTTAAAAGGAGGAGAGAGAGAGAGAGAGAGAGAGGTGGGGGAGGTTTTCTCGGAAATGAAATGGAAATCTGGGGCAAATGAATTTCTCCTTCCTTCCAAATGAAACGCAAGGCGGGGGAGACGCGATCTGGGCCGTCCGTTTCAATTATGCGGACCGTCCCCCCCCCTTCCTCCCTCTCTCTCTCTCTCTCTCTCTCGTGTGGACAACTCGGCAATTATGTGAAAATTAATATCCATATATAAAAAGAAGAATTAAAAGATAATATCATAGAAAAAGTTCTTTACGATTTTTTTAGAATACTTTCCCTAATATTTTTTTAGGTTATCTAATAATTAAAAAACTAAGGAATGTTTCAAAATCCTCTGATATTTTTATAAAAAGCCATCTAATTTTTAAACAAGAACCAATAAGAAACTTTTAATAAGTTCTCTAATATATATATATTTAAATCTAATAATTTAAAATATGCTATATATTTTTATAAAAATCATTAAGAAATTTTTAAAAAAATCTCTGTGAAAATTTATTTTAAAATAGAAATTTTATTTATAAAAAAACTAAAATATTAATTCCATAAAAGGTAAAAAAAAAATTTAAAAAAATTAAGATACTAGCCTTACGTTCCCTGATTTATTTCTTCTCTATTGGTAAATATCTCCGATTAAAATCCCATCTCCGGAATTTTTAAGTACGTAGAATCCATTTTTAGGAAATTTGTACTCCTGATCTTTAGCGCATATTTATCGGGTTCGGCCCATTTTCCCCTGGTTTAAAGGGAAGGCCCGAAATAAAATTCTGGCCCGGCCCAAATCGAAAATGGTCCAGGCTCTATTTGTGTGGCCCCTAAGACGCCCGGCCCGTTTATTGGCTCCTTCACAAATCCCTAACGGGTAACGGCTTTCATCCCCTCTGTTATTGTTGTCTTCTTCCTCTCTTCGCTCCCTCTGTGGAGATGTCCCCATCGTCCAGCTTCCTCTCCCCCGCGAAGATCGCGTCGTAGGAAGGACCGATGATCCGCCGGCGAACTTCGTGTTCCCTATCTTCGAGCACGTCCACCGCCCTTTTTCACAGCACTGCGGCGCTGGACCGCCGGCGGGGGAACCAGTGGAACCCTGTGAGACTCGCTGAGTACTTCGTGCCATTTCGTAATGTAGCCTCCTCTAGTATTATTTGGTTCTTGTGTTCTTGGTGATTCGTAGATCGTGTGAAGTAATCTGGTTTGGTTAGGGGCGTCTTATAAATAGGTGCAGAATTGAACAAACTGTGATGAAGTTTTTTATGCTTTTTTTTGCTCTCATATGGCATCCTTTTCTTCATTGCCCTTTTTTCTGGAAGGTGCTCGTTTTGTTCATCACTCGTCACCCTGATGTTGTCTTATTCTCATGTCAAACGTCGTCGCCCAGAGTTATGTTATTAATTAAATTTATTTTTTGGTATGTCACTCTATTTGTGTATGTCATATAGTACCGATAGAAGTAGTCAACTTGAACTGTTTTATGTTTTTTCTTGCTTTAAATTTAATTTCTTGATTCTTCGGCAGGTAAAAGTCACTAAGACAACAAAACCTGATTACGGTTTGCTAGACAACTCATAAAGGAAATTTAGCTCGTAGGATTCATCTTCATTGCGGACGAAAACCACCATGATCGTTTCTCCTTCAAGATGGCTGCCTTGTATGCTCTACTTAGTTTACTATAATCGTAGCTGAAAATTGCTGATATAAAAGTTTGTCATCATAGTGACTTAGTGATGGCAGTCCTCAATTTGTCCACAACATTCTATATAAAAAATACTCCAGTCCTTTTTTTAAAAGTTCTAGGTACAACAATTTGGCTCAATTCATTCTCTAAACTGCGAAGCATGATTCAGAGACTGACATGTCTATTGTGACCCCCCAGACTCATGCCCAAATTTTCTCAATATGTTTTCTTGCCTTATGCTATTTCTTGATTGACCTTGTGTCTTTGCTGATTTATTCTGCAGAGATTCAACATCTACACAAAGAGATTGAGAAGGATGGAAGCGAAACAGACATTGTTACGTAATGTTAGCAAGTATGCAGAGTATCTTTTTCAGGTTATTTCTGTTCCTGTGGCTAAGTAGCTCGTTAGAAATAATTTTAAAATACTTTTTCTTTAATGAGATGGAATAAGCTTGCACCCTTTTTGTGGTGCTCCATCCACCAAGGTTTTTGGTTCATTTCACTCCTCTTTCTTTCACAGCCTTTGTCTAAATCGCGATTTACTTATTTTTTCCAAAATAGACATTGATTTTATATTCTTTGTGCCATTTATTGCCTCAACACTGTGATCATTCATGATATTTCATCTCGAAAACGTTTTCAGATATGTTACAAGGGAGAACACGTTCGGATGAGTTTTCTGCTTGATTTTTCTTTCTGAAATGGAACTTACTCAACATTCAAGTGGATTCAGCCATTTTCCTCTTCTTTTCATCAAAAGTTGTGGATGGAGCATGTGCATACTCTTCAGTTCATTTGCTGCATAGCAGTGTTTCATGCTCCTATTTGGGGGAAAAGGCAAAACAATGATATGAGTCTCTGATATAGTAGAGATGCACAAATTGGACGAGTAAATAATGGCCCGTAATTCCTTGGTCACAACTCCGTAAATAATGGCCCTAATTGGACGAGTAAACCCCTGGTGGAATTTTTGTGTTACACCCATTTGTCTTATCTTTTAATGTATCTAATTATGAAATCCTCTTCCTTAGGCTTTGGAAAGTCAACGCCCTGATGCAACCTTCTAGGTTGCCTGCCACTTGAGAGAGAGGATGAAGGGAGAACAGAAGAGAGAAGTTGAGAACCTCTGAAACTCAAAAGCTCACCAAAAGGAACTGGATTTCTCATAGGAAGAACCATGAATTCCCAATATTCCATAACTCTTTTCTTCTCAAACTCCAGGGTATTCAGTAGAGTTAACGAATATCAAACTTGCAAGAGTAGAAGCTCTGAAATACGCAATTATCTCAATTAGCAAACCCTCGCTGGGTTCACTGCTAACAACAAAACATTCCAAATTGGTTGCATTTGACTTTGGCAACTACCAGTATGTTGAGTCTCTTGCCACACTTTGCCTTTTGTTCACACCTTTACAAATCCCATCACTCGAGCCTTCCAGCCTCAATGCGGCCTGCATTACATCTGTATATCATTAATGGCATAAACATGTTTTCTGATACAAAACATGATGTAAGATGCACACAAAGAGATGAGGGTATTTGTATGTTTGTCACTTGTTTAATACTTCAATTTCTTAGGCAATTGAGCTGCGTGAGGCATTTCAAACTTTTCTTAGGCAATGTATTTGATGTTTGATCTTCTCCTGTGCAATTGCTTCGAATCAATCCTTGAGGGGTAAGGGGTAGCCTGAATGCAGCACCCCCCCCCCAACCCCCAACCCCCCTCTTCGCATAATTGTGTTCTATTGTTCTATTATAAGGTAAAGAAAAGTGTATGATGTACTAATCTACTAATCTGTCTGATAGTAAGAATCTAGCTTCGGTTCAACTTTTCTTTATTCAGGCACTTCTCGTGGTTTGTTTCAGGGAACTGAACTTCAATTATATAATAAGATTTATCCGCTGAGGATTGCTGTATTATGCTTCCCGTGCCACAGTTGTGCATTCTCTCTTTTTCTCAATGATCATGTGGCGCTACCCACTTTCCGGAAAAACATTATAATGCTCTTTTATTCATGAACCTTGGATTAGCCTTGCTCAGCTCTCACCTTTGGATTGCTCGTTTCAACATTCTAATGTGATACCTGTACCTCGTATAGGTTTTTTTAAGAGCTCACAGAACATCTGCACTTCCCTCCCCTTATTTTCTTTCTTGAATGACAGTGGTACCATCCACTTTCAAAAAATGAAAAGTAGTTAGTTTACACTTTGCCCTAGATAGAATAATCTGGATCGTTATCTTTCAATCAACTAAACTAGTATAAACTTTGAATAGATATAGCTTGTAAGAGATAACAACATTATTCAAGGAGCAAATTTTCCGAATGATTTCTGATTAAATAACTGTCTTTATGGTGTCTTTGTTAGTGACTTCTTGAACTACGCCCTTTGGCAGTTTTAAATCGCTTATTTTTACCTGTCAGAACATATTGTCATTCTCTGCCTAAAAGAGTCCCTCTGTTTCTCCTACGAATTGACTGCAGAGCTGGAAGTATGATGATGATCGAGGTGCTTCAACTAATTCATCATGGTACGAACAAGAATATTGGGCAAGATTCGCTAAAACGAATGGTTCTGGTCCTCAGAAATCTCAGTGGGATACCTATAGGAACCGAAGTAAGAAGTGTTTATTTTCCGTCATTTTTTTAAGAGCGAATTGACCAGTGACATATAGAAAAAATGTCTAGATAAGATCGGTTTCTAGTCTGCTTCTGGTCCAGTGCTATTGTAATATCTCCAGTTCATGCTGCATATAGATCTCTGATTCTGATATGCCTGAAGTGCAAGTTAGTTGTCAGAAAAATAAGCTAAATGAATAAAAAACAAATAAAAGTGTAGCCTCCCTGACATTCCATAACAAATATCTAAATCCCTGATTTCATCAGAAAAAATCAAGTGAAAAGCAATGACAGAAACTGGATGAAAGTGTTGTATTGGAAACTTTTCACATTTTAGGTACTTTCATCTTGTCTAAGCATAAATTTTATGAACCTTGGTTAGGGAAGGGACGTTTTCAGTTCTGCTTCAGCGATGATGAAGAAATCAAAACTGAATTTCGGTCATCGTTTGGAGCAAGGCAGGGGTTTTACTGGTCTTTCAGCGATAAAGAGAACGTCCACTGCGGTTATTCATCAGGGTATGAGAATCGGAGAGATTCATCATACTGGAGATACAAGTCTGAACAAGACGAAGATGATACTTCTCCAGAAGTGAACTTAGCTTCTGAGCGACTAGCGCTTGGACTGAGTGCTTCAGGTCCTTTAAACCTTGCAGAAGTTAAAGAAGCGTAAGCTTTCTCTTTCTCTTACTTTGAGCTCTTTGTTTCAAGATTGCCTTTTGCATTCTGTTGACTCATGCACCTGTATGAAAATTATGAACACCATTTTCCTTTCAGATTTCGTGCCTGTGCTTTAAGATGGCATCCTGATCGCCACCATGGTTCTTCAAAGGTACTTTGGTTTCTTTGATCTGTTTTTTTTCATTTAGATAATACCAACGTATAATCAATCAGCTCTCAAGAAGACCCTTTCTACGGTAGTACCACATTTTTGCTCTATGACGGTGTGGTGAGTCCGAGGATTACAACATCTTTAAAGTCAAGGAAGAAAGTCTTTCCTCAGTTATGCAGAAATTTCTGCCCTCTCTGCTGCACAGCTGAGATAGCTAAAGATCCAGTTTGCATTAGGGCATCACACCACAAAGTTGTCTAGTTTTAGCTATAGAATTTTTTTTTGGCTTAAAGGTCCAGTAGCTACGAGTTGAGCAAGATATTGACCCCAGATTCTACTGTATAGTGTCAGATAATATTCAAGTTTGAAAGTTGCCGGAAGCCTTCCCAGCATATTCATTCCTATCTTTTGACTATTGAAGCATTCAGTCCCAAATGATCACTTGGTTAAAAACCCGTTTCGATCATCTTAGTAAAATCTCAATAAGATGTATCTGAAATAGTGATTCAATGTGATGAAGCCATTGTAATCAAATCTAACAATAAGGATTACTAGTTATTTTGGGCATGTGCCTGCTATGATTTATAAGGTGACGGTGTTATGAAATGAATTCTAACCGACCAACCCTTTTACCTTCCACACCCTCCTGCCTCCTGACACTCAAAGATGGCTCTTGGACAGAATGCAACCCCCCCACTCCAAAAATAAAATAAAAATTCTGGGAACCAATTGTACTTCCATGTCATCCAGTGTTTTTTAACTTTGGCAGGTTGAAGCAGAGGAAAGGTTCAAGAGTTGCCTTGCTGCATATCAATCCTTGAGTGAAAAGCTAGCTGCAGGCTAAAGTGAGCATCCTGTATTTTTTAATTAATCTACTTCCATGTCTCAGATGCGATTTGAGCTAAATCCTTACGATGCCTTTGGCAAGTAGACCACAATATCCATGGATAGATGCGGTGTACCTATCAATAGATGCCTGAAAAACCTCCTCTCAAGGATGTCATCCATGCAAAGCATTCCCCTCCTGATGGGCTTCCATCCCAAATTTGGAAGGTATTCACAGACCCACCTTGTTTAATGTTGGCTTTCTGGATCATCCAAGTTTTGTCAGTTCTTCCGTTGAATAAATCATCCAATACATGACGGATTCGAATGTTGTGTTGAACACGTGGTTTTTGAACCTTTTCTGAGGCTGGCCAGCCTTCTATTTGACTACTTTTTATATTCTTCATTATCTATTCCCGTTACCTTAAAACAGATCATGGCTGATTCTGCTCAAAATTCTGTAGAAAAATAGCACAAATTTAGAGAAAATATTTGTCCTCCCGTTGAGTTGATTGGAAGGATAATTTAGCCTTACCTATGTAACCAATGGATTTCAATCAGGGCCCAGAAGCCCAGATGTATATCCGCTCTCCACCATTCTTTAGACTGAACAAGAGTGATCACAGATGACCAATTGGATGCGAACAATGGTAGGTCTATGAACCAGGCAAGGACTCAGGAGGAGCTGTTGGAGTGAACCCCTTTATGCAGGAAATATCTAGCGGATTAAAAAAGCCCATAGAATGCAGTAAAAACTTTATAAATATCCCCTCGAATATTGGGCCTCGCCCATGAAAGCCCTGCTATTGGGAAGCAGAGTGATCAGACACCAAAATCTCACAGATCATCTTCATCATTCTAAGACAGCAGCTATCTGATCAGAGCTACGCTGAATACAAGTCAGCACTATTTTAGTCCAGTTTATTGATTATGCTCCTGGCTTCATTTCAAGCACATTATTTCTTTTAACTAATCAATAGAATCTCAAGAGATTTGCATAGCCTTGATTTAATTTTTTTTTCCCTTGAGAAATTCAACAACTGTAGCCACAGGAGCTTCTAGTTGCTCCTATCTCGAGGCTCATACATCTGTTCATGTGTCATCTCCTGTTGGGTCTATCGGCACATACATGGATGAAGATGGTATCTTTGTACCCCCGGGTTATTCTGATCTTATTGTCGATATATCTGAAACAAGTAAATGATGAATTAAATCAGAGTATTAAAAATAAATGCACATTATTGGCTTCGGAGTAGGGGTGAGCAATGCTTACAGCAGTTGCATGCTGTAGCTTCTTTTAACATCCAGGAGAAATCTTACGGAGCCAACCATGATTGCCCCATCACTCATCGTGATATCATATGAGTCGTCAGATTTTCTGCTGAGATTCAATTAAAAAAGGAAAAAAAAAGTGTAAGATTCTGTCACCACTCTCTGATAGAAGCTCCATTATTTTCCCAAAAATTCCATTCTCTAATTCTTCCCACCGAACCCAACAGATATGGCTCCAAGTCCTCAGGAAGACTCACACAAGGCTGCCGTATGTGCAGAGCTTGAAGCCGGGAAAGATGTCAACCAAATTCTCCACTCTTCCACTTCCCCTGAAGATCTGAGATGAGGTAACCCTCGTCATGATGACTAAATAAAGCAGTAGGCAGCACCTGGCCACATTGGTCAACCCCCGGAATGGAGTAATAGAGGTGGATTTGGAGGGCTCACCTGAAGACCTTTGAGACCTGCGGCGGCAGCCTCTGGCAGACTTTCCTCTATCATCTACAAGGTGAAATCACAAACCAGATTAGTCATTGAAAGGAAGATCAATCTCAAATCCAGATACAACTACGTTGGCTTCCTACTCCCAACTTTTTTTTAAAAAAAAAGCCAGTGAGAGGAAGGAAACATGGTGATCAGTGCCAGGAAAGGGAAGAACCTGGGAAGCCCAAAGCAGCTGCCATTCACCTTCCAACAGTGCTTCCTCTTCTTCACTTGTTCTACGGCTACTGAGGGAGATGAGCTCATCCATGGCCTAATATCCACAAAGAACAGTCGCCACATGCTACAACGGGCAAGTGGAAAGAAAGAAAAGCATCTCAGCAGCTATCGATATTACCTCTTTTACACCGTCACCAGTTGAAATCGCCGACAGTAGTCTCTGCCTGGGCTCCGTCCTCTTCTGCAGCACAAACGTGGTGCCCTGGGACATGAGGGAGAGATGAAGTCAACGCCACCGTTCTAACCCCAAACCCATCAAACTGAAGCAACGATGATGGTCAAACTGGTGCGCAGAGGAGTGAACCAGGACCGAGGAGGGGTTCTCAACACCTTGTTTCCTCTAGAGATGCGGATGTTCCCAGTCTGAGAGAGATAGGTGGTGTCAAGCCATCCCTTGGCTTCATCTCCAAGAAGCCGAAAAGGAACGGGGTATGGAACCTTAAATGGCAAAGCTTTGAAGCTAAAAGCTGCCCGGTCAAACCTGAAAAGGATGCGCACTCCATCCTTGATCGTCGCTTCTGCCTGCAATAAGAACAAAAAGATAGCTCTATCTATATATCTAGAGAGAGAGAGAGAGAGAGAGAGAGAGAGAGAGAGGTGGGATTTCCCTTTTTATCTAAATGCTTGCTGATGGAGGCCAGAGGAGAGGATCTGATTATACTGAAAAAGGGGCATACCTCTACTTTTAGCTCACCCACTGCATCTGAGAACCGCACGATGTTAGATACTCTTGGATCGCCTGATCTCAGATAGACCTCCTGAAAGACTAGAAAGCCATCGAACCCCACGAATGTTCTCTGCAAGAAGTCAACTCCTTCAGTGAACACCATGCTTCTGATCATTCTAGTATTTTATACAGATTGCGCTCCCTCCGGTAATTCATATTTTATTAAGTTTGCTCCACCTTCAGACATCAAATTATCTTACTAGTTCTAAAGATTATTAGAGATGTCTATCTCATCATCTATCAGCTACGAATCCATCTTCGACGATCCTTTTTGAACTGCTTCCAGTGTTTCTCCACCTGATTCAAGCATGCCACCCAGCTCGGAGAGACCCAGGATGAGGGTTTGACCGAGGGTGAATCCTCCTTTATGTGGATATTTACCCTACGTAGATATACTTTTTTCAGACAAAAAAGGAAGATTATCTCCTCTTTTGCCATGAGTTCTATCAAGACATCTTCCCTGTCTATGTGTCAAATGGTGCAAAAAAATCACAACAAAACATGAGAGAGAGAGAGAGAGAGAGAGAGAGAGAGAGTTATTCATGGATCAATGGGAGATGGTAGTGAGTTCAAGCAAGAACCTTACTTGAATAGGGGATGCCGTTCCAGGCCTAGTAGTGAATATAAGTTGCCAACGGCCCTCGATCAAGCTGGAGCTCGTCTACAACCAGCAATGGCAGCATAATGATCACACATTTGCACAGAATTTCAAGACTTGTGGGGTAGAGTTCTTACTGATAACTCTCGATCAATATCTTAAACACGGCAGCGGCAAGGAATACCAAAACAAATAAGGTTAAATCTGATAGAGAAAAACCATGGATGTTCTTCGTACATGCACAGATGATTTGGTGTACAGAACACAAACAGGCTCTGATTAATTCAGTTTATTAGATTTCTGATGAGCCTACTGCGCTTAGAATGTGCCAAAACCCCTCAACTTTTGTATGTCTCAATACCCCCGTGGAGGGAATGAAGGAGTGAATCTGGGAGGGAATGGTGGAGGTCAAGTGCCCAACAAATGTGTGGCTTGGAGAGTGGATCAGCAAACATTGCGGCTGTGGATGCCACAAGTCAACAGTTCATTGCCCAAACGGGAGAAGTCAACGATACCACTGTTAGAAGTGAAAAGGAGCAGGAAGAAAATGGCTCACAGGTTCTGGCACGCCTTTGACATGTTCCAGGTCCTTCACAGCTTGGTCAACTTCCTGTGAAGGCGGGAGCCACCAGACTGGTCATGCACCTCGAGCGACGAGGGCAGAAGAGCGGGTGAGAGAGAGGAAGGGAGAGAGAGAGAGAGAGAGAGAGAGAGAGAGAGGAGAGTGCCTTGAGCTGCTGGGAGGTTGCAGAACGGCCCCGTCCCTGGACGCCAAGAAGCCCCTCGATGAGTCGGACCTCGAGATCGGTGAAGGCTAGCTCGCCCTCCCTCTCCGGCGCCCCCACCGCCGCAGAGCACGACAGAGGGAGAGGAAGGAGCCTCTTCCTAGGGCAGGAATGGCCGAATGACAGAGGAGGACGCCACCGTCTCCCGCAGCAAGGAGGAGCAGGCGGCGACGCAGCGTCGCCAGCGTATAGACCGACCGGCAGCCTCAATCTGGCCGCTCCCACCGCCATTCCCGAGATTCTTCGGCCAACAGCGCCGCCGCCGCCGCCGCCGCTTCTCCGATGCGGCGATCGGAGATGCTTATGCCGAATTCCGGCCACCGAGGGATTCCTTCCGGCGCCGCCGCCGCTGAATCTACCTCGCTCGATCAGGAGGATCAGGGGAAGGGACGATGGCGGGAGTGAGGAGGGCCAGTCGTTGGACGGGCCCCCACCAAAGCTTGGCGGCTGACTATCCTGCTGCCAGCTGGCACCCCAGCCTTCTGCCGCGGCAAACCCCTAACCCCCCCCCCCCCTTCTCTCTTCCGGGCCAGATAAGCTTCTCCAAGCCTCTCCCGCTATAAAATGGGGGGGACTCTATCCTCTATAAGACAGAAGGAAGGAGACTTTCGTCTACAGGAAAAGGGAAGCTTCTGAGCGAGGAGTGCTTAGAAAGAGCTGAAGAGGCTACGATGCGACGAAAGCGAGAGAAGAGTTGGCGGTAGGTAGAGAGAGCTAGAAGCTGAGAAGATGAGAAGAGAGGTCGTGTTGGGTTCTTCTCCCTCCTATGTCCTTTCCTCACTACAAGATCTTAGTGAGTTCTTAAAGTGATGTAGAGGACTATTCAACATCTTAGAGTGACAACTAAAGTCGATCTCAGGCGAGAAAAATGTGAGAAAGCTAGAGTCCCCCATGACAAACTGGTGTCAAAGCGTGCTACTGCTGGAAATAGCAGCACCAAAGATGTGATGAAGCCAACAATGATAGAGGCTCTAGGCCCTTCAAGAGTATCTTGGGCTAATGATGTTGATGTGGCAGAATTCAAAACTTCTGTAGAAGCTTTGATAGCAGCAGATGTATGTCTATTGAAGTGTGCTCTCCCAAAGATGCAGGAGAGCGGCAGTTTATCCTGTGGACTAAGGTACTTGAACCCAAGGTTTTTGTAGGTTCTAAGAATGCCGAGTTGGGAACTTCCTTTGAGACCTAAGCCATTATTTCCAAACGATACATATGTCTAACATAGAGAAGGTCACATTAGTGAGCATATCCTTACTAGTGAAGGAAAACTATGGTGGTGCACAAGAATGGAGGAATTGGTTTTAGATTCGTCAACAAATTGTGGGTAGACTTTGTTCGGGAATTGACTCGATGAATAATGCATGGATGGCTTGATAGGCACTTCAAAGACTTTGCCATACTAGACCCTTGAGAGAATATATGAAGCAATTCACTTCACTATATATTGGATGAAGATAAACTCTTCAACGTTATGTCTGGACTGTAGAACTAGGTGTAAGTGGAGCTACATTGATAAGGTGCAAGAGATGTTCAGTCAGCCATAATGATGGCTAACATGTTGGTAGACTATAAGGCCACCAACAACTCGGACACCAACAATGGTGGTCAATTGAGAGATGGCTCAAGGAAAGGCTTCAAGGTGGGCCACAATCATAGAGGCAACCATGGTACAAATCGCAACCATAGGGCTGTCTTGATAACAATGAAGGGCAATGGCCATAGAGGGGTCAAGGAGGACCCAATGCAAACACCTCATAGAATAATTTAATGAAGCAAGATTGTAATGTTTGTGTATGGTCACATCAATACAAGGACTACCCCTCTAGAGTTAACAAGGTTGCACTTTGTGCCATGGTGTAAACTATGTCGGCAAGTGATATTCTTACTCTCAACTCCTTATAATTGTTTAGTATATTATAACATCATTGATAAGTCTTCATTATCATGAGTTAATAATTAATAAATATTATAGTTTTATCCTTAATTCATGATAAATAGACTTATATTTATGTTAAAGTGTGAAAAGTAGTTTTTAATTAATTAACATAATTTTTTAGGTAATTATATAATTTTATATGAATTTATATGATTTTTACTATCTTACTTTTAAGATAAATAAAGAAAAATAAATAAAAATAAAAATAAAACAAAATGAGGGGGGACTCGTCGACCAACCGGGCCTGTAAGTGGGTCGAAAGCATAGTTAAGGAGTAACTACGAGTAGGGGCTCGAGCAACTTGGACTGATAGAGGCATGTGTACGTCACTCTCCTTTCACGTCACTAGTGGTCAGTTGGTTGTGAGACAAAGAGTGGTCATACATACGCGAGAAAGGGACTTACTTTCAAATGTAATATTACTATATATTTATCCGAAACTTTGGCACACAAGTGATGTGAGACTAAACCCGAATCATACCTTCCCCAAAAAGGCTTCAATAATTTTAATATCTACAATACCCCTTATTTATAATAGAGATATGCCATGATGACATCATTTGATATGGGCAATAGAGTACTTATATTAATCTCTTTTATGTAAGTGGGCAATTACTATAGGTTTGAATCCTCCTAGAGCTAAAACTCATATTTTTATTTGATTATCACGACTTTCCTATAGATTGTCGGTGAAGGATTAAGCTGTCAAAATCGTTGGATCATCAGAAAAAATCTCGTCAATGCGATTTGCAAAGTATTGTTACTAAAATTACTAAATGATTTGTGATAAAAGGATCATGAATACATCGAGTAAAGTATCTTCGATTGATTGATGAACAAGTTGTCATCAAGAAGAGGACGATCCATCGAGAGATGAGTCACCATTTTTTGAGAGCATATCGGATGTGATGAAGAGCCTCCTCTTGTTGTGCAGAGTTGAGGATGAAGCTCCCTAACATGTGTCTCACCTCCATCTAGCTCTTCTTCGTCAAGTGATAGTCGCTGGAGAGCCGTAAAGTCACTATTTTTCTGCTCTATCGAGTGGCAGCCACCAGAGATGATTTGACGACTCATTTCATTGATCTCTAGACTTTGCAAAGAGATCTAGAGATTGTCTATGTCATCCTTGTCTAAAGAGAGCTTTTGAGGCTGTGGACACTACATGATAATCCTCCCGAACGCTCAAGATTTCAGTGCATCACCGACATATTACCGCTGCAACATCAGAACTCTGTTTTCCTACTTTCAACTTAATTTTCACTTCATTTAGTGATAATTTGTGTGATTTAAATTTATCAAGATATACTTCATTCTATTACGATTCTTTCAACTTTTATAGATCTTAATTTGATCAATTAAATTATTTGTAATTACTTACATCAGAATCACTAGGCAGAACTTTATTTTTACCTGATTCGCATTTGCTAGATACTGACGTCATTTTGACGTCCGCACTCTTATTTCATTTTTTTATGAATTTTAAATATATTTTATTTTCATTTATTAGTATAAAATTTATAGAAATAATATTTTTTGAAAAAAATTCTAAATAATTACTTGATATTATATTACATCTATATGATCGACTTAAAAAATTATTATTATTTTTGAAAGTTTTATTTAATTATAATTGATATATTTGTTCATAAATATTTCTAAATATTTGAAAATTCATATTTTCTAGTTTTATAAATTTTAAATTTGTGTGATTTACTATACAACGACCAAGTCACATTAGATATTGATAACATGGATTCTCATGACTTGATTGACCCAAAAATGGGTAGAAAATCTCCATTTGGACAAACCCTTTGGCATTTGTTAAACCAAGGTGAACCTTAGTAGTACAGGTACAAATTAAAAATGCCTCTATTTGACGAGCACAACCTAGAAGGCTAAGTGTTTCATGTAGAGCTCTACTTTAGCAAGACTCTTGTCAAAGGAGAAACTCTCAATGACTAGCCTCAATCTCAAAGGTAAGGCACTTAGTTCAAGTGGATGGATGACCATATGTCATTCCACATATGGGAAGACTTAGGCCAAGAACTTGAATGTTTCAGCCACAATCACTCAAGTTATCTTTGCCATAATTTTCTAAGCATCAAATAATAGGGCACCATCTCCACTCCTTAGATGACAACTATTCAAGTTAGATTTTTCTGTTTTAATTAGTTTTATTATTTTATTTTATTTTATTAAATAGCATAATAAATATAGAAATATATTATTAATTTTAGAAGTTTGAAGTTAAAATATTTAATATTTCATTATTATTATTAGAAAAAATATAAAAATAAAATATAAAAATATTACATAGCACTCGACAATTGACCTAGAGAGGTGCTGCACTTGAGTGAGTAAACCTAGATCGGGGGGAGTTAGGGCTCAAGTGGTGAAGGACTCACTTCATGCACGTGTGTCACTCCCCTGCCACATCTTAGTGGCCAATCGATCATGGACCACCTTTAATATATATTCAGCTCAAATCTTCAAAATAATTCTAATGTGGGACTAAACTTTCTCGTATGTTTTAGAGTAGTCATCTAGAGTGCAATATGATCCAATAGTGCTCAATGGGCAACATCATTAGATAAGGTAGATCCTATAGTGAGCAAATTACCATGATACCCAAAGCGTAAAGCAATCTATCAGTGGTTCGTAAATCCAATGTTGGTCGGCATACACATGCCCATAAATGATGATCCACTAGCTACCAAAGCGCCATAGTAATAGAGACTTAAGTTTTCGATTGGTAGTAATTTGTGGTGGCTTAATCCGACATCACTCAACATGCCATGTTAAGAACATCTGATCTAGTAGCTCAAGAAGTGTCACAATACTGGAAACCTAAGTTCTCACATGTATTGCCATCAAGGATATAAAGACAATAATCAATTATTATCTTGTAAAATAAATATTATATTTCGTTGACAGTCGTGAAGATAGCAATCCACGTTTCCCTCCTTTCGCACGATTAATGCCTTTGGTGATCGACAAGCTTGTTCCTTCTTCTCTCGACTGTACTCATAGCCTCTGATGAGTGGTCAACTCTTCTCTTCTCTCCCCAAACAACGGTGATAATATATAGTGACAATGTGGTTGACCACACTTTTCAGCAAATCTCTTTGGCAAGCAACGCAACACTTTTAGATGATACTTTTGTGACTTCTGGTGTGATGTAGTATGTTTAGATGAAACCAAGCCACCACACTAGTATTTTCAGTTGCCTAAGACAGACTAAACTCAGACAATGATTTAGTTTCTACTTTTGTTATTTATTTACATACATTTGAACATT